GGACTGACCCGGGTCTAAACCTGGATCACACCTGGACCAAACCAGGACTTCAATCAGTACCGGACAAAACCTATCCCTGCTCTAACCTGTGCTTACTCCCGTCTCGAGACTTCAGCCCGGGTCTAACCCGGTCCTCCTTGCTGCTACTCAAAGCCAGAGAGACAAAGGCAGTAGCGGCAGTGAACGGTCACAATGCGCTGACTCCGCACTCGCTTCACACACGGCAATCACAAACTGCACTAGCACATGCCGCTCGCGCACGCACGTGCACTCAACCACAGCCTACCTTCATAATCTCTTCATCTCGTGCGCGTTTCCCGCTCTTTGCTGCGGGTTCGGGACCGTCAGCGCCGTTTATTCCACCGCTTCTGCCGCTGATGCTGCCGCTCTGCCGCCGCTGGAGCCGCGCCGCTGTGACGGACGGACGCACGGGCGGGTGCGCGCGAGCGTCACACTAGGGTTGCGCGTGCAAGTGGTGCGTGCATGAGGTGCAGTGCAGGTAGTGCGCGTGCGTGAGGGGTTGTAGTGAAGCACGCGTCAGTGCCGCTCCATCCTCACCGCACATCAGTGAGTGTATGCGTTAACGTGAGTGTAGGCGCGTGCATGGATATGCGTAAGGTGCGGGGGGTGCGGGGGGTGGGACCAAAAGGGGGATTCAGGGTGAGAGGTGACGTCACAGCGCATGTGTGAGAAATGTTTTTTGCTGCAGCGCGAGGACTGTTCAATTTCGTGATCAAAGTACAATATGACTTTGACCACCAGAGGGAGCTGTCCGTGGTCATGGGCCAATCATGAATATGTAATAATCCTAATAACATCCATGGTCCAACCACAGGCTGTACTCGGGCCAGTCCTGTACCTGGTAGGTTACATCGTCCGTGTAATGAATATATATATAGTCTATGGTTAGTCCAAACTGCGAGTTTTCTTAAAAGCAAGAAAATCTTACTTTATCTCCTATGACATTTTTGACATTTAAAAAAAATAAAACATAGAAAAGTGAAGTGAAATCACTCACACAGAACTTTAATGCACAGAAAAGCTCAAACAAACAGAATGAAATAAAATTAGAACTCTTAACAATGATTCTCAACAGTCCTCTTAACACAGTCTGCTGCTTTTGCTGTCATATTTAATGTTAAAATTATGATAAGCCCTATGGCGCCAATATGGCTTGATGCAGGACACTCCAGAGGATAGAACCATGTCTATCATACTATGTACTGTGCTGGGGTTACTTTAGAAAAAGTAATACCCATTACTCGTTACTTCATACTTGATACTTGAACTTGACTACTACTACTCACTACTATGTTACTAAATTGGGATTTCCATCCATCCATTTTCCACTTATCCAAGGTCGGGTCGCGGGGGCAACAGTCTGAGGAGGGAATCCCAGACTTCCCTCTCCACACACACGTCCTCCAGCTCTTCCAGGGGGATCCCCGAGACGTTCCCAGGCCAGCCGAGAGACACAGTCCCTCCAGCGTGTCCTGGGTCTTCCCCGGGGCCTCCTCCCAGTGGGACATGCCCAGAACACCTCCCGAGGGAGGCGTCCAGGAGGCATCCGAAACAGATGCCCGAGCCACCTCAATTGGCTCCTCTCAACGTGGAGGAGCAGCGGCTCTGCTCCGAGCTCCTCCCGTGTGACTGAGCTCCTCACCCTATCTCTAAGGGAGCGCCCATCCACCCTGCGGAGGAAACCCATTTCGACCGCTTGTATCCGCGATCTTGTCATTACCCAGAGCTCATGACCATAGGTGAGGGTAGGAACGTAGATTGACCGGTAAATCGAGAGCTTCGCCTTACGACTCAGCTCCCTCTTCACCACAACGGTCCGATACAGCGACCGCATCACTGCCGACGCTGCACCGATCCGCCTGTCAATCTCACGCTCCATCCTCCCCTCACTCGTGAACAAGACCCCGAGATACTTGAACTCCTCCACTTGAGGCAAGGACTCTCCACCCACCCGGAGAGGGCAAGCCACCTTTTTCCGGTCGAGAACCATGGCCTCGGATTTGGAGGAGCTGATCTTCATCCCAGCCGCTTCACACTCGGCTGCAAACCGCCCCAGTGCACATTGCAGGTCCTGGTTTGATGAAGCCATCAGGACAACATCATCTGCGAACAGCATAGATGAGATCCTGTGGTCCCCAAACCGGACCCCCTCCGACCCCTGACTGCGCCTAGAAATTCTGTCCATAAACACAATGAACAGAACCGGTGACAAAGGGCAGCCCTGGCGGAGTCCAACATGCACTGGGAACAGGTGTGACTTACTGCTGGCAATGCGAACACAGCTCCTGCTCCGGTCATACAGGGACCGGACAGCCTTAGCAAAGGGCCACGGACCCCATACTCCCAGAGCACCCCCCACAGGACACCACGAGGGACACGGTCGAATGCCTTCTCCAAGTCCACAAAGCACATGTGGACTGGTTGGGCAAACTCCCACGAACCCTCGAGCACCCGATGGAGAGTGTAGAGCTGGTCCAGTGTTCCACGGCCAGGACGAAAACCACACTGCTCCTCCTGAATCCGAGGTTCGACTATCGGCCGGATTCTCCTCTCCAGTACCCTGGCATAGACCTTACCGGGGAGGCTGAGGAGTGTGATTCCCCTGTAATTGGAACACACCCTCCGGTCCCCCTTCTTATACAGAGGGACCACCACCCTGGTTTGCCAGTCCAGAGGTACTGTCCCCGACCGCCACGCGATGTTGAAGAGGCGTGTCAGCCAAGACAGCCCCACAACATCCAGAGACTTAAGGTATTCAGGATGGATCTCATCCACCCCGGAGCCTTGCCACCAAGGAGCTTGCCAACCACCTCAGTGACTTCAGCCAGGGTGATGGATGAGTCCGCCTCTGAGTCCCCAGCCTCTGCTTCCTCCTCGGAAGACGTGACGGTGGGATTGAGGAGATCCTCAAAGTATTCCTTCCACCGCCCGACAACATCCCCAGTCGAGGTCAACAGCTCTCCCCCCGCACTGTAAACAGTGTTGGTGAAGAACTGCTTCCCCCTCCTGAGGCGCCGGACGGTTTGCCAGAATTTCTTTGAGGCCGTCCGATAGTCCTCCTCCATGGCCTCCCCGAACTCCTCCCAGCTCCGAGTTTTTGCCTCTGCGACCGCACGGGCTGCAGCACGCTTGGCCCGCCGGTACCTGTCAGCTGCCTCAGGAGTCCCATGAGCCAACAAGGCCCGATAGGACTCCTTCTTCAGCTTGACGGCATCCCTTACTTCCGGTGTCCACCACCGGGTTCGGGATTGCCGCCGCAACAGGCACCACAGACCTTACGCCCACAGCTACAAGCGGCTGCATTGACAATGGAGGCTGAGAACAGAGCCCACTCGGACTCCATGTCTCCAGCCTCCCCCGGAATCTGGGAGAAGTCCTCCCGGAGGTGTGAGTTGAAGATCCCTCTGACAGAGGGCTCTGCCAGACGTTCCCAACAGACCCTCACAATACGCTTGGGCCTGCCAGGTCCCTCCGGCTTCCTCCTCTGCCAGCGGATCCAACTCACAACCAGGTGGTGATCGGTTGACAGCTCAGCCCCTCTCTTCACCCGAGTGTCCAAGACACGCGGCCGGAGGTCAGATGACACGACGACAAAGTCGATCATCGACCTCCGGCCTAGGGTGTCCTGGTGCCACGTGCACTTATGGACACCCTTGTGCTCGAACATGGTGTTTGTTATGGACAAACTGTGACTAGCACAGAAGTCCAATAACAAAACACCACTCGGGTTCAGATCGGGGAGGCCGTTCCTCCCAATCACCCCTCTCCAAGGTGTCACTGGCGTTGCCCACGTGGGCGTTGAAGTCCCCCAGTAGAACAACGGAGTCCCCAGTCGGTGCACTGTCTAGTACCCCTCCCAGGGACTCCAAGAAGGCCGGGTACTCTACACTGCTGTTCGGCCCGTAGGCCGACACCACAGTGAGAGACCTGTCCCCAACCCGAAGGCGCAGGGACACGACCCTCTCGTTCACCGGGGTAAACTCCAACACGTGGCGGCTGAGCTGTGGGGCTATAAGCAAGCCCACACCAGCTCGCCGCCGCTCCCCGTGGGCAATGCCAGAGAAATGGAGGGTCCAACCCCTTCAAGGAGTTGGGTACCAGAGCCCAAGCTGTGCGTAGGAAGTGAGGCCCGACTATATCTAGCCGGTATCTCTCAACCTCCCGCACAAGCTCAGGCTCCTTCCCCCCCAGCGAGGTGACATTCCACGTCGCCACAGCCAGATGCTGTGTGTGCGGAGCAGGCCGTCGGGACACCCGTTCCTGACCGCCGCCCAGTCCTCTATGCACCCGACCCCTATGAACCCCTCTGCAGGTGGTGAGCCCACTGGAGGGTGCACCCACGTCGTCCTTTCGGGCTGAGCCCGGCCGGGCCCCGTGGGCAAAGGCCCGGCCACCAGGCGCTCGCATTTGAGCCCCAACCCCAGGCCTGGCTCCAGGGTGGGGCCCCGGCTGCGCCATACCGGGCGACGTCACGGTCCTCGATATTAAACTATTAAATTGGGATTTCTTTATTTGTTATTTTGTATAAGTGAATCAAACATGTGCTTTTATGTTTTATTCAAGGCATTTAAATGGTGTTTTTTAAACTGTCTCCAATGGCATAACACTAAAAAAAGATAATTTAATTAATTAAATTACACTTATTTTCACAGTAACACTACTGTATTTGAAAAAGTAATTAACTGAATTACAGAAGGCTACCTAAGTACTTAACTCAGTTACACCACACAACAATAATATTCTAAAGATCTCTCCTGTCCATAAAACCAAAACAATTAACCATGAAAACAATATTGATCCAATATTCAAATTTATTACAAGCATTTCTCTAAAAACTACAGCCCTTTCCAATATGGCGTCTATTATCAACGCATTGCGTCACTATTCTGCGCCGCGTCTGTCTGACATCATGTGTGCGAGACAGTTGTGTGTACAGTTCGCGCTCACAGCTGCAGCTGCTCTAAAAGCAAATGAACAAATAGTTGAGAAAAAACAAGATTAAATCATTGGTGAGTAGAAATGAACACCCACGTCTTTATTCACGCATCAAACGGATATTATATATGGATACGAATAGGTTACGGACATATTTGAAGCTATTTTAATTCCAATTGTTTTGCTTGACTATTTGACTATTTTGCATATTCATTATTAGTAGCAGTTATAGAGCTGTGTAGAGACAATGACATATAGACTTGCATTTTTAACCATGAAGGATAAGATTTAAGTTACCTGAATTGTAAACTGTGTCATTCACATCTTTAAATAATAATATTTTATTATTTAATAGCCATGTTCATTATAGGAATATGCTGCAATAATTATAAAATAGGTATACATGATTCATACACAGGCGTTATATGTGGAGAAAATTGGTGATCATGTAATAAGTCTTATAAAGCAGTTGTTTTATCAACACTATTATTTATTCAGTAGTATATAAATGTCTTCTTTCAGTTTGACCCCTGTTGAAAGATGTCCTCCAGGTCAGATCCTTCTGATTCTGGACCTAAGTCTGTCAGACGGTCCCCACGTTTCTCTCCACAGGTTTGTTTTGAATCTTCTACCCTATCCATAAATCCGACATCAGCATAAATTATTATGAATAAGTGAAGTGTATTTTCCAAATTACAAAAACATTTAAAAAACAGTGGCTATTTTCACATGCACATTTGATTATTATCTGATATTAGACATTTAAGATTATTTAAATGAAATTCAAACCTCAAAATTTGAACTGAGTAATCAGCCCCGGGGGCCCATGATCACAGAAAAATTAAACGATTTTGCAGTTTGCATGTCAAGTTTAATAGTCTTATAACACACAAAAACAATAATGATCTGATTGCATGTGCATATAACCACAGCCAGTGACGCATTAGGTTTACATGTGTATTGTGTAACTTTTCTGGTGGAGGGTTTGTCAATTGCTTTTCTCTGTGGAGATGTTATTGCTTTGTATGAAATGTTTCACAGTATGGCATAAAACTTTACTATCTTAATGGAGGCCAAACCAGACAGTTACAGGTAAGATCTGTGGAAAGGTGACCCAGCTCATAGTCAGAATAATTGTTTTTCAAGGCATTTTTGAGCAATTAAATTACCTGTATTTGAATAAATGTAAAGTAGAGCTGTTTAATGTCATACTGTGGAACATTCTAAGCAGAGCAATCACATATATATAGAAACAAGCAGGTGACGGCCCCCCAACTAGAAAGTTACAGACTGCACCTTTAATCAGTTGTTTAAACTCATCATAACAAACCAGCAGCCTCTATCAGCATCACCATAAAGAGGGCCTCAAATTAAAATCGCCTCCTGTATTTGCATGTGTTTCTGTTTATGATTATCTCCTGCGAATGATCAACTTGGACTCTGCCCTGAACATTTTTTTTTTCTCACATGTTTGTACTGCAGTTATTTTCATGTAAAAGTGTGTTGTCTGATTTAAGGGAACAAACAGCAGCTTTGTTGGAGAATCAACCAAAGGAAACTCTGACAGTAAAGGAGGAGGCAGACTGCAAGAGGCGAAGAGGAGAGGAAAGATGGAGAGAGAGCAGAGAGAACAGGAGCTCAACCAGAAGCTACAGCAACTGGTAAAGAACTTGACTAATAACTACACTACAATAAAAGCTTGGCCAAAATTTAAGATATAAACACATAAATCTATCAGAAAATGACAAGTTATCTTAAAATAAACTATCTCTAGACTAGAATTAATCCAATTTAGAGCTAGTAAGTAGATAGTAAATCTGAAAACAAGATAAATAACCTGATTTAAGTTTTAAAATATTCAGTTTCAACTAATGATTCATAAGTTAAGATGTTCAATGTGTTTTTTGCTACTGTCATGAACTAAAAAGTATTGTTTTATTTAAGTTAAAGGGCCCACATTATGCTATTTCTGATCTATGTTATAATGTTGCTTCTTCAACAAAAACTTACTTGAAATTGTGTTTTGTTTCAATCATACACCTTCAACACACAAACACTGTCAGTTCTTCTCTCAAACTGCAAACACTCTGTTCCACCTTGTGATGTTAATACTTTGGAGACGTAGACAGACTAATAATAAAGGGTTACTCTAACGTGTGAGTGAAACAAAACACAATTCTGATGAGTTACACTGCTCCACCAGGACTATCACAAGGTGGAACAGTTTTATAACATGGCTTAAAACTCACAAGAGTAAATTTAGCGTAATATAGGACATTTTTCCAAGTATTTCACACTAAAATTTGAAATATGTCCCTTTTATATATTATTTTGTTCATGTTAACATTGCATTATACTTCCAGGACCTGTCGAGTCGATCAGCTGCTGTAGGTACTGGACTAGTGTATTCTGAAGAGTTCACCAAACATAGGAACCTCTGGGACACAAGGTAAAATCCTGTTATAATACACAATCTTTCACTATACTTTTATGTGTGTACTGTATTTTAATTTGCGATGTTTAGTCACCCAGAATGTCCGGAGAGACTGCAGAAGATTGTGGAGGAGCTGGAAAAACAGGAACTGCTTAGTCGCTGCACCAGAATCCAGGTAAAAAAACAAAACAAACAAAACACCTTTAAATGCCAGTCTGCTTCATACTGGATTTAATTAGTGACAGGAAATTGTAGCTGCTATAACTCCAGCGATTGAGTATCCATTTGAGCAACCACTCTATGATAATGACTATTTAATGTTAAAAGCGGACCTTGCTAAAGTACAGGAGGAACTTGGCTTTAATGTGCTCCACAAAGTTACTCTTATCCTAACACGGAATAAAACCCTTGCCCAGTGTAGTGGACCAAACAGAAAGGCAAAGACAAGGTATAAAAATAAATTAAAAAAAATAAATAATAAAGTGAAAAAAAAAGATAATATAACAAAGGCTCAAATTAGGTAAATCATTGACAAAAAAGCCAGGATCAACTGGGGTAACTCATATCAAACTGAACAGAACAAAACTAACCCAACCAGAAAAAGGAACAGCGGTGTTTAAATACAAAAGCTGCCGTTTAATTCAATAAGCTGATGACTTAAATATCCCCTCTCTGAGTGTGTTCATATGAATTTGAACATATGAAAACGCCGTTGAAGCTGTAAAACAGTTGTAATCTGTAGACGCTCCACTTGACTTCCTCATCACTCTCTCCCTCCCACTTTCACCCGTCATAATACCAAATTCATATTGGCTATATTTGGAAGTTCAGAGGACGTTTCTAACCAAATATATATTCATGATCATCTTAATTACTGTATTTTCTGGGCTATTGGACGCGCTCTTAAGCCTCCAACCCCATCAAAAAACGACTGCGCGCCCCACAATCCAGAGCGCTCTATACACAAATCCACTCGGGTGTCCCAGAACGACTTCAGTAAACTACAAAGCCGCACCACCCGCAGCACACGCAAACACACACAGAGCAGACAGCGACCGCACAGCGAAAAACAACCGCAGCCACACTCATCACTCCACGCTTACGAGGAGTGGAACTGAGTCACTGTGAACACGGCAACAATCCAGCGGTCCCAGACAGCACCCTCCCTACACGCCACAACTGAACAAAGCCCAGAGTCACCATGAACGTGCCAAACAAAGTCCAACTGACCCATCTAACTGCTGTGTTTCGTTTAAAGTCCGGTGCGGTTTATTTGTGAATAAAGTTTGAAAATAGACCATTTTATGATAGTGCGCTTTATAATCCAGAGCTCCTAATAGTGCAGAAAATACGGTATTTGGATTATGACAGAATTGTAGCATATTCACAATTTTGTCAGCTTCCATAAAATATTGCAATAAATATCGTACCATGAGATGTATATCGTGAAAATATCGTATCAAGAGATTTGGATATCGTTACACTGGCTTCATTATTTGGAAACAATTTTTAACCAATATTCGAAGCGCACAAATGTACGAAATATTCTAAGGTCACTGGAGAACAGTTGGGTGAAATAAGCAAAGCACTATGTAAGATGCTTTGACCACAATATAAGCTATGCGATCACATTTATGTATTTAATCAGATAATAAATACATACTGGAATGACAAGAGACCAGAAATTAGATGGGCCCAGTGTGTTTTAAAAGTTTCAAATGCTTGTTCTCTCCTTTTTAAGTGTCTCTGCCAGTGTGCTTTCTTTATTACATTCTCTTTTTAATATCTTTTTATGTTCAGCCACGAGAGGCAACGGAAAAAGAACTGCTGCTCATTCACTCGTGAGTTTCGTTTGTATTCTGGGTTAACTTTTTTACATAGTTTAGACACTGTATATATGTGTTAAAGGGTACATACATATGTTACTCTGTTTTCTGAATATTGTTTCCTCATCACAAACATCCTTTGACTTTAGGCTGAGTCCTTCTCTCAATCAGAAAACACTCTGTTCCACCTTGTGAGGCCATGTTGTAATACAGGAGGTCCTCCACTGTGTTTTTAAACTCCATACACCTTCACTAGAATCATCTGGATCATTTCAGACCAGGATTTGCCTATCTCTACTGAGCTAAATATAAAAGGAGCTGTTCACCTGAAAACTACTACTTGGTGACTTCATAAGGTGAAACAGAGCATTTTGAGCTTTGGAGATGTAGACAGACTAATAATAAAGGGTTACTCAGACATGTGTAAATGAAACAAAACACAACACCAGGTATGTTTTTGAGGAGTTAACATTATTATAACATGGCTAAGAGCTCACAAGAGTTAATCATGTGAAATATAGGATTATGCAGAATTAAAGATCTATTAGCTACACATTTGATATTATTACTTTATGATGCCATTTAATTTAATGAAATAACGCTATTGTTTTTTCTTGTCTGTAGGCAGAAGTATGTGGATCTGATGCGCTCGACCCAAACAATGACCGAGGCTGAACTGAGATCTCTGTCAGAAAAATACGACTCCGTTTATCTCCATCCGGTGAGATGCATTTAAAGGTGCACTCTGTAACTTTTCTGATGGAGGGCCCATCACCTGCTTCTCTCCACGTAGACTTTTCCAGGACATTATACTTATTTATCTCTACAGAAACAGCTAGAGACACCACAGGGCCAAGTTACTTGTCAAATCTGCGGAGAGGCGAGCCCATTCTCAGAATGCATGTTTTTAGATCAATAAAAAACATTGTTACCAGTGGATACATTTATTGCCATACCAGGATATTCTAGACAAAGCAGCCAGGGTTCTCACAGTCTTAGAAATCCAGGAAATGTCATGGAAATTGAAAATTCAATGAAAGTTTTGGAAAAGTCATGGAATTTTCATATCTCTTTCACACAACTACAGTGTTCTGTTAAGTTTTCATTAGGCTATTATGATTATTTCTGAACGTCTGCACCTTTTGTTTAAAAGAGACGACAATAAATGCACTGACAGTATTTTAAATGTTAAAAAACTATAAAACCAAACCATAAGGTGAGTGGAAAGAGTAAACATTTCAAATTTAGCCCTAAAAGTATGATCAATTCTACACATGTAGGTGCTGTAAAGTCATGGAAAATTCACTTTAGGTCATGAAAAAGTCACGGAAAAGTTTTTATATTTTGTCAGTGAAAAAGATTGGGAACCCTGAAAAACATCTCCACGGAGACAAGCAGGTGATGGACCCAGCACCAGAAAAGTTGCACAGTGCCTCTTTAAAAACCTTTTTCTTTTTTTAAATCCTGTTTTTATAATATTTAATGTTTTTGGAGGACGCAGGCTGTGAATGGTTGCCTTATTTCAGTCAATCTGTCACTGTAATCGAAACATAACAGTAGACTTTAGACTAGACTCAGTTTTGGAGTAACTCTACATTTGAAACAGTAACAGTGTCACTGTGGTAAAATAAATGATCTATTATAAACGGTATTATAGTCTGAGGCACACGACTGCATTAACCAGCCCCGTTTTATACATTAAAGGACTTAGTGAAGTTTTTCCACTGTGATCCTGATGAACATCTGACCTGAAGCACTCATTTTCTGTTATACTTCAACCTGCACAGGACACATTTTCTGTAGCGGCTCAGGCTGTGGGCTCCGTCCTGCAGCTCGTCGACAGAGTCCTCTCCTCTGAACTCAGAAATGGATTTGCTCTGATCAGGTACAACACACAGACTGACGCTGATACTGAAACATCCAGAGACTAAGATCAATGAGTTAAACTCTAACAACTGGACTTACTTTGATTTTTGTAGTAGTAGTAGTAGTTGTTGTATTAGTTGTTGTAGTAGTTGTTGTAGTAGCAGTAAGGAGTAGTAGTAATTGTAGTTGTAGTAGTTGTAGTAGCAGTAAAGAGGAGCAGTGGTAGTAGTGGCAGAAAGTATTAGTAGTGACAGTAGTAGTAGTAGTAGTAGTAGTAGTAGTAGTAGTAGTAGTAGTAGTAGTAGTAGTAGTAGTAGCAGTAGCAAGAGCTAGTGGCAGTCATAATAGTAGTAGTTGTAGTTGTAGTAGTAGCAGTAAGGAGAAGGAGTGGTGGTAGTAGTAATGACAGTAGTAGTCGTAGTAATAGTGGTAGTAGCAGCAGTAGCAGCAGTAGTAGCAGTGAAATTTGTAGTAGTTAAATTTGTAGTAGTAGTAGCAGTAGTTAAATTTGTTTGTAGTAGTAGTAGTAGCAGTAGTTAAATTTGTAGTAGTAGTAGTAGTAGTAGCATTAGTTAAATTTGTAGTAGTAGTAGAGGAAGTCCAGTTGTTTTAGTTTAACTCATTAATAACAGTTGCCGCATTATATTTTACTATGGCATTTATGATTTTCTGTTGTCCTGTGGTTAAGTTGTTTTCCTGTTTTTCTCTCAGACCTCCAGGACACCACGCTCAGAGAGACCAGGCCAACGGCTACAGTGTGTTTAATAATGTGGCCGTAGCTGCTCGATACGCTCAGACCAAGCACAGAATCCACAGGTAAACCAGCTGTTATCATTTACAAAGACAAGATAATTAAAGGTCGTATATTACACAAAACTGACTCTTGTGAGCTCTAAGCCATGTTATAATGTCAGGAAACAACATTATAAATCAGGAAATTATGTAATATGGGACCTTTAACTCGTGGCTGTAAGTCTGAGTGCTTCAATCATTCAGTCAAAACTTCATTAATTTTTTTCGTCTTTTTGTTTTTACAGAGTTCTCATCGTGGACTGGGATGTGCATCATGGGCAGGGCATCCAGTATAGCTTCCAGGATGACCCCAAGTAAAGATATACAGCTGTATTATATATTTGATTTGTGTTTGGAAAGTTTCAGTTTGCATTTCAGGTGCAATTAAAACATAAATCAATACATAGGCCACGATACGATAGATGTCACGATACAGTGAGGTTTTGATTCGATACGATTCAGTACGATATATTTCAAATCAGTTCGATACAGTTCAACAAAAAAATAAAGCCTAACTCATGGCTGTCTTTGTTAAACCACTTGTGCAAATTTAATATGAAACATGCCCATTTTAATCATCAAAACAGTGAAAATGTCAAATATACTGCATAAAAAAGTTTCCTTCCTCCAAACAAGAGACAGAACTGTATCTCTCTAATTCATTTCAATATCGACAGGCAATAATTATCGTGTGCACATTTTCTTTGCAAAAGTGGGGAGATTTAAGCCATTTTTATTTTAAAATTGGTTTACTGCGATACTGCTGTGTGTCATGGGTATAACGTAGTTTCAATGTTATTGCTTATTGCAATAATTTTCTGTATATCGTGAATTTGTCAAATCAAAATTCTTATTGTGACAAGGTTCGTGTACCATTCGTTCTTTTGAATTTCACTTAAGAATGAAAAACAATAAAATGGGAAAACAGTTTTCGTTTTAGTGTCAAAGAAACAAAAAGATTTCAACCTCTATTTCAAATATTTAATTTAATGTTTATTTCAAATAACACCAATCAAAAAACAGTCTGGGTGCCTATTTTAATTTTGATATTTTATTCTCTCTGGTTTATTTGCCCTGGAAGTTCTGCTGCTAGAAGGACTTTTTTTGTTGTTTTGTGAACAAACATGTTGAGAAACAAGTAGCAGCGATAAAATTTGTTAAACTGACACCATTATAGATCCATAGTTGAGTAGCAGAACTTTCGGGGCAAATAAACCAGAGAGAATAAAATATCAAAATTAAAATAGGCACAGAGACTTTAAACTTTAAATTAAATATTGGAAATAGAGATCAAAATCAGTTTTTTGTTTGACACTAAAATGGAATAATGAAATAACAAACAGTTTTCCCCTTTTACTATATTTTGTTCTTAATTGAAATTCAAAAGAACCAATGGTACAGGGACCTGGCTTTCCTGCTGCTCAGATTTCTTCTCTGAAAATGACCGTGGAATACTGTTTTGTCCTGTTACTTTGTTAATGCCACAGAAATAGCTGCAGTGAATTCTGATTATTTTTCTCCAAATCTTGTTTCAGTGTTCTGTACTTCAGCATTCACCGCTTTGAGCACGGATCATTCTGGCCTCATCTTTCTGAGTCAAACTCCGATTTTACGGGAGACACAAGAGGAGCCGGACGAAACATCAACTTGCCCTGGAACAAGGTCTGCATTTATCAATATTACAAAGGTGCACGGTGTAACTTTTCTGGTAGAGAATGTGCCACCTTTTTGATTTGATGAAGATGTTAAGTTTTTCCCCAGAATGTTCTACACGATGGAATTTAATTTAGCTATCTCCATGCAGACGAGCCGGCCACATCACCAGGCCAAGTTCAATTCAATTTTATTTTTTTCCACAATTTTAAATTATCCCACAAAGCACACCTTTATACATAAACATAAATATGTACATGTATTTGACATATATTATGTCTGCCATATGTGTTAACTGTGAAAAAAAACATGGACTCCCAAAGAAACTGGGCAACCTTGTGTATATGGGTCCATCACCTCGGCGTGATTAATTTAGTGACTTGACAGGTTCAGTTTTGGTTAAATTACAACCACAGACAAGACAATAAATTAATAATAATAATGATAATAATAGACGCAAAAGGAAAACAAAAACAAACAATATAAAACAGATTAAAATAAGTGAAAGAGAAGAAAAAAGAAATATAATAAAAATGAAACAAGAACATTTTAATAAATTAAATTAAGTAAAGGGTTCTGTATCTTTACCTTTTTCTTTTAGATTAATTAGATTAGATTAGATTTAGGTTATTTTGTTTTATATTTAACTAATTAATTTTATTGTTTCGATTTATTTCTATATGGGTTTGAAAAAATAAATATGGCACTGCAGACCTGTATTATGTGCAATGAGAAATAACCATGCAAAGAAGAACAAAAGGTTACAGGTCAGATCTGTGGAGAAGTGGGTCCATTCACAGTAATAATGCATGTTTTTACTGCTGTTTTGAGAAATAAGAACAACTGTAATTGAATAGATACACTATAGATTTGTTTAATGCCATACTGTGGAACATCCCAGGTGAAGCAATAACATTTTCAAGCTGATGGCAGACACTCCACCAGAAAAGTTGCACAGTTCACCTTTAATAGGGAGATCACATTAGAAGTCTATTTTTATTTAAGAATGCAGTAACATAATTCATATAAATTCACTCTCCTTCAGACTGGAATGACTGATGCAGATTACATTGCTGCTTTCTATCATCTCCTGCTTCCTGTTGCGTACGAGGTAAAAAAGGACTGTAATAAAACCTGTCATTATAAACTCTTTCAGTGAAGTCTATAAAGAATGTTTTGTATTCCAGTTCCAGCCTCAGTTGGTCCTGGTTTCCGCTGGTTTTGATTCTGCAGAAGGAGACCCAAAGGTAAAATACGACTGTCAATGCTTATTTAGTTTCAGGTTGAAATTATATATTTAAAGGGCTCATATTACGCTGTTTTCTGATCTACTGTATGTTAAAAAGTTGTTTTCTCATCATAAACAAACCTGGAGTTGTGTTTTGTTTCATTTACACATGTTTAATTTAGTTTAATATGCAGGCTTCTCTCAAACAAAAAACACATTTCTATACACCTTCACTAGAATCATTTGTATAATTTCAGTCCTGGAATTGCCGATCTCTACTAAACAAAAGGTAAAAGGTAGCTTGTTTTATGAAAACTACCACTACATGACATCACAGGGTGGAGATGTAGACAGACTAATAATAAAGTGTTACTCAAACTTGCGTGAATGAAAGGAAACACAACTCCAGGTATGTTTTTGAGGAGGTAACAGTGTTCTAACATGGCTTAAAGCTCAGAAGGGTAAATTTTGTGTAGTATAGGACCTTTAATGCTTTGTTCTTTTCTTTCCAGGGCGAGATGTGCGTCAGTCCTCAGTGCTTCCAGGTTCTAACACGTCTTCTCATGAGTTTAGCTGAAGGACGCATCATTCTGGCTCTAGAGGTAAATCAAAACCAAACCTAAATTTTAAGATGGGGCATTATGTAGGAATGGGACAATAAACAATAACATCATGTGAGTTTATATGATATGATTCTGCCCAATGCTCAGTGTCAAAAATGAAACGTATTGTTACATGTTAAAGGTGCACTGCATAACAATTCCAATGAAGGGTCAATGGAAATGTTATCGCTTTGTCTAGAATATTCCACAGTATCAATTAAACCTGTCCATCATGTGGGAGACAAGCAGGTTACAGCATTACTCTACATTACAGGTCAGATCTGTGGAGAGTCGCCCCATTCACATAAGGAATTAATACATTTTTGAGCAATAGAACCACCCATAATGAATAAATGCTAGATGGAAATGTTTAATATCATATCATGAAACGTGCGCTCTTAAGGCTCTAACCCTATCAAAAAATGACCACGCGCCCCGCAAGCCAGAGCGCCCTATACACGAATCCACTCGGGTGTCCCAGCATGACTTCAGTAAACTACAAAGCCGCACCACCCACAGTGCACGCAAACACACACAGAGCAGACAGCGACCGCGCAGCGAAAAACACACGCAGACACACTCACTACTCAACGCGGACGAGGAACGGAAAGAAGGAACGAACTAAAAAGCGAGTGCAATGTGCCACTCTGAGCCACAACTGAACAACTAAGTCACTGTGAACTCGCCGACAATCCAGCGGTCCCAGACAGCACCCTCCCTACACGCCACAACTGAACAAAGCCCAGAGTCACCGTGAACCTGTAGAACAAAGTCCCACTGACCCATCCAACTGTTGTGTTTCGTTTAAAGTCCGGTGCGGTTTATTTGTAAAAAAGTTTGAAAATAGACCATTTAAAGACAGTGTGTTTTATAATCCAGAGCGCCTACTAGCCCGGAAAATATGGTAGGTTGCACCCTACAACAGAAAAGTTTCGCAGTGCACCTTTAATATGTTGTTTTTGGAGAATACAGCATTTTCAAACCAACAAAAGGTAACATGGTGATCTAAATTTGTTATGTGTTAACAATGTGTACTACCCCCTCTTTAAGTAATGATTCCTATAATTAATAATTTCTGATGTGCCTTTAGGGCGGTTATAACTTGGCACAAACAGCAGTTTGCGCTGCAGCCTGTGTGAAAGCTTTCCTGGGTGGAGCCTGTCCCCCCCTGTCTCTACCCACTGCTCCCTCCGACAGGTATTCCCATTAAGTTACAAGCAAAGGATGGCACATTTTCATATTACATTGTTTATTAACTATATATCTTTACATTTTAGTGCTCTGGAGTCTATATCTCAGACCATTAGCTCCCTTTATCCTTATTGGGCTTCTCTCCAAGTCCTGGGTAGGTCCTGTTTTAAAACATCCTTTATTATTCAAACCTGACTCTTGTGAGCTTTCAGCCATGTTATATATTGTTACCTCATCAAAAACATACCTGGAGTTGTGTTTTGTTTCATTCACACATGTTTAAGTAACCCTTTATTATTAGTCTGTCTACATCTTCAAAGCTCAAAATGCTGTTCCACCTTGTGATGTCATGTAGTGGTAGTTTTCATTTTACCTTTAGTTCAGTAGAGATTGGCAATTGCAGAGACAACACAAGTTTATTTGTATCGCATAATTTCAATTTGTACACAAAGTAATTCAAAGTGCTTTACAGAATAAGAAATGCATTAAAATCACAATAAAAACAAACCAAAACGTAAATAATCATCATAAAATTAAAAGGAGAGAGAGACTTTAAATTAGAGAGAAGAGTGCAACATGAAAAATGAAAACCTTTCAGACATACGCACAGCTAAACAGAACTGTTGTGAGCCTGGATTTAAACAGCATCAAAGTGGAGGCCTGTCTCACATCTACAGGAAGACTGTACCAGGTTTTAACTGCATAAAACTGAAACTCTGACTCCCCGTTTAGTCCTGTTAGTTTTGAGTTGATGTGGCTGTTAAAGTTCAAGTCTGAGTCCATTATTACCCCTAGATTTCTAGCCTGATTTGAAGGTTTTAGAGAGAGAGACTGGAGGTGACTGCTGACACTGTCTTTTTGTTTCTGTGGGCCAAAGACTGTGACTTTTGTCTTGTCTGAGTTTAGCTGGAGAAAGTTGTTTTGCATCCACACAGTGATCTGTTGGATGCAGTGGCAGAGTGAGTCCACTGGTCCATACGCCTCTGCTGCCAGTGAGACATAGATCTGAGTGTTGTCTGCATAATTGTGGTAGGACACATTATTGCTGTGTATTAACTGGCCTAACGGCAGCATGTAGAGACTGAACAAAAGGGGGCCCAGGATCGACCCCTGGGGCACCCCATAGATCAGGGCCATGTGATCTGAGACACAGTTTCTAGTTTCAACAAAATACTTCCTGTCTTCTAGATAGTACTTGAACCAGAATCCAAATTATCAACATGGTTCTAATGAAGGTGTATGGAGTTTAAAAACACATTGGAGCACTTCCTGCATTACCACATGACATCAGAAGGTGGAACAGAGTATTTTCAGTTTGAGAGAAGAACTCAGTCTAAATATGGAAGGTTTGTGAGTTAAACATGTGAAACAAAACCCCAGGTATGTTTGTGACGAGGAAACAACATTATAACATAGATCAGAAGTTAGTGTAATATGGGTCTTTAAACTGCAATAAAAATGATGTATAATAAAAAAAATTTGTAGAGGGATGCTCGGTCTCTGGTGCTGAGGTATTGAGGGAATCGACCAATCAGGGAAGCTCGTGTTGCCCAAGTCCCGCCTCTTCAGTATCCACAAAGACTGGACTGGTTTATGATGAGAAGATGATGGAGCACCTCAATATGTGGGACAGGTAAGAACATTGTATTTGTGGCAAAGAAATTTATCTAATGATTATGGATTTTTAAACTTTTTTCTTTTTTTTTTTTCAGACATCATCCAGAACAACCACAGAGAATTTCAAAGATCTACTCTCGACATCAGCAGCAGGGTCTGGAGCAACGCTGTGAGAGACTCGAGGTCCGACTGGCGACAGAGGAGGAGCTCCTGATGTGCCACAGGTAAAAATAAACCAGGGTCTTAATCAGGTCTATACCAGAACTATACCAAGACTATACCAAGTCTATACCAGGACTATACCAAGACTATTCCAAGTCTATACCAGGACTATACCAGGACTATACCAAGACTATACCAAGTCTATACCAGGACTATACCAAGTCTATATCAGGACTATACCAAGACTACACCAGGACTATACCAAGACTACACCAGGACTACACCAGGACTATACCAGGACTATACCAGGACTAAGAATATAGCTCATAAATACCTAGAAAAACAGACATTCTGACTGTGAGCGGGGTTGCCTCTCCACAGATCTGACCTGTAACTTTTTCTGAGTTGGTCTCCATTGAGATAGAAAGGTTTAATGCCATATTGTGAAACATTCCAGACAAAGCGATTTACATCTCCATTAAGAAAAGACCCTCCACCAGAAAAGCACCTTTAAGATAGAACTAAAAAACTAAAACTAACTAAGTTAAACAGGACCTAAATAAGGGCCCTCCCCCAATGTTTCTATCTTTCCACTTGAAATGGATCTCGTCCACTAGGTCTTCCTCATTTGACCGTTTTGTGATGTAGCCACCTGTTAAGTCTGGATTAAGATGCCACTCACTGCTTTATCAGCCACTTATCCTCATCTGAAAGCTGTTGGTGTAAGAGGGTATCAGATTGAGTTTAAGTACATAGCGCAAGGCAACAGGGACTTATTTTTCACACTGGGACTAAACCAAGACCTCACCAGGACTAACCCAGCGTGTGTGTTGTTTTCTAGTGCAGATCACATCGCTCGTATGAAGTCCACCTCTGATCTGAAGCCCAGAGACTTGTTCAAACTGGGGGAGGAGTTTAACTCAATCTTCCTGAATAATCAGAGTTATGAGTGTGCTCTGATGGCGGCAGGCGGCTGTTTCAGGGCTGTGGAGGCTGTGCTCTCTGGACAGGTGAGACACACTCACTGCTACAAAAAGGCGCCTTTCAGAGCACTCAAGGACACCGTACAAACAACAATTAAGACACACAATAAATTTTTTTTAAACTATCAAACAGTACAGGACAGGTTGTAAGACATGTGTTTTGTGTCTGGATTTGAAAGAAGGAGCAGAGAGGAGGAGCAGAGGGAGCGGGAGTGTGTGGTGACACAGAGGAGATCACAGAGATACTAGGTGGGGGCCAGATTGTGAATAGATATAAAGTTGAGTAACACAGGGGTCCCCAACCCCCGGGCCATGGGTCGTTTGGTTCTGGGCCGCAAAAGCGCAAACCCCTCCTCCTGTACGCCGTGCAGACCGTCCCCTCTTACCAAACATCACGCGGACAGTCATCTCCTCCCGAACCGGCTGCACCATTAAACCAGAACTAAACAGAACTAAACCAGGACTAAAACAGGTCTAAAATTAATCTAAAACCATGACTAAAAGAGGCTTTAGCCAGGACTTAACCATGCCACGTGGACCGCCTCCTCCCATACTCCCTCCAATCCCCTCCGGTCCGTGAAATATGGCCTGATATAAAACCGGACGGTGCCGCATAACGTAACGGAATCTTGAAGTGAATTCAGAGTTGAACCAGAAGCCGGTGGAGCTGCTGGAGCACTGGAGTGATGTGGTTCTTGTTATGAGTCAGGCAGTTTATTTCTGTAGGAATTGTACTTATTACTGAGTGGAAATTGCAGCAAAATCCAACTCTACAGAGACTTTTTCTTGTTTTTTCTGCAGGTCTCTAATGCTGTGGCCATAGTGCGCCCTCCTGGACACCACGCAGAGAAGAGCTTCCCCTGTGGCTTCTGCCTCTTCAACACAGCGGCTCTTACAGCTCGATTTGCTCAGAAAGTTTCAAACAATCCTTCATTACGGGTCCTGATTCTGGACTGGGACGTTCACCATGGCAACGGGACGCAACACATATTTGAAGATGACGACAGGTGAGCTCCCGTTCCTTCTGTTGCTTTTTCCAGCTCCTCCTTTTTGCCTCCATATGCAGACACAGGAATTTTTAAATGTGCACTGTGTACGTTTTCAGCTTGGGTTTCCACCACTACGCTATTGGTTTGCCTGTAATGTTCCACAATATTGTGTTAAACTTATATAAGATGCATTTATCCAGTTATGGGTGTTTTTATTGCTCAAAAATAACTTTAAAAATATGTATTCTGACTGTGAGTGGGGTCACCTCTTCACAGATCTCACCTGTAAATTGGCCTGGTGGCATCTCCTGCTTGTCTCAGTGGATACTGATAAGTTCAATGCCATACTTTGGAACATTGTAGGCAAAGCAATAACATCTGGATGGAAACAAGCAACTGGCGGCCCTCTACCAGAAAAGTTATAGTGCACCTTTTAATCTTGCCCCACATCTCCCTTTAATAAAATCAGTAATGAACAGTAAAAAAAGTAACGCCCTTCCTCTCTCTCCTCAGTGTGTTGTACGTATCACTTCATCGCTATGACAATGGCAACTTCTTCCCCTCCTCGTTGGACGCTGCGTGTGACAAAGTGGGCGTGGCCAGAGGGGCGGGCTTTAATGTGAACGTGGCCTGGAGTGGAGGGAGGATGGGCGATGCAGACTATATCGCCGCGTTTCACAGAGTCGTCATGCCCATCGCCACCGAGGTAGATACAGACACTTTCAACAGTCATCTGCCCTTTCATTGTCACCTCTTACACATAAACAATGTATAAGCAGCAAAGAACTATTATAAAATTTGGAAGGTGAACAAAAGATGGCATCGCATTGTTTCCAATGGCCTGTGCTCATTGGCGCATGGGTCCAAAAATAATTTTCTTCCACATTTACTTCCTTAATATGAGCAAGCTCCTCCCACCCATGTGGCGTCTGCAACTTGAACGGTGTGGAGGGTTTGGACCAATCAGAGCGAGAGCTGCTGGAGTGGAGCTAGCTTGGACTCAGAGCAGGGCTAGGCTAAGTCTTACAAAACTAACTTTTAGGCACTTCGAGGATTTTTTTTTTAATTGGGTAATTTTGCAGCATTACAAAACAAAAACAAAACAGACCTCAACTACATGGATCATGACAGAAAGGGTCCAAGCTAAAGCAAAAGTACCAAACCCTATTAAATTATAACAGAATTCCATGAAAGAAAAGATAGCAGCACATGAACAACAAGTTTGCATTTACAACTGTACATATAAGAGACAAAATATAAATTAAAACACAATACAAATACAGTCACTTAATAGAATCACAGAATCACAAAATAGAAAAGAATCCCTACAAAATCTGACCGTTGTGAAAGTTATCGATGCCCTGTGAGCTAAACACGGGCAGATTGAATTCCTAAAAAATACATTGCGCTTCTAGTTGGTCTCGAGCCGGGACAGAGGAGGAGTGTCTTATTCAGTTTTTCTTATAGATCCATGATAAGCAGTTAAAACTTCATAACACACGGCTCTAAGTTGTTTAATGCACTTGTACCACGGCTACAAACTGAAATGTCTCACTTGTGAATGTGAAAATCCTGCTCACTGTCTGTAAATGTCTAAAATATCAGTTATTTCAGTGTTTTAAATGAAAGGATAGTCCCTACATTCTACTCACAGCAGTTAAAGACACACTGTGTAACTTTTTTGCTGGAGGGTCCACCATCTGCTTGTCTCCATGATATTATTGCTTTGCCTGGGATGTTCCATACAGCGACATTATACAGATAAATCTTGCAGTTTTAGATTATAGGAGTATTTATGTATCAAAACTACTACAAAAACATGCATTATTACTAAGAGTGGGCCCACTTCTCCACAGATCTGACCTGTAATTTGCCATGGTGTTGTAGCTGCTTAGACATAGTTAAATTAAATGCCATACTGTAGAACATTCCTGGAAAGAAAATAACATCTACTTGAAGTCAAAAGATGATGGACCCACCACCAGAAAAGTTACCCAGTGCACCTTTTAAGCACCCTTGGTAGGGTGATGTGATAATGAAAAACATTTATAAAAGCCTGAATAGATAATATATTGTAGTAGAACACAACTCCTGTTTGTTTCAGTTCAACCCAGATCTGGTCCTGGTCTCGGCTGGGTTTGATGCGGCGCGTGGAGATCCTTTAGGAGGCTACAATGTGACTCCAGAGGGATACGCCCACCTCACTCACCTTCTGTTAACTTTGGCCTCTGGGAAACTAGTCATGATCCTGGAGGTAAGGCTCGGGTTTAGTTTTAAATTACACTTTATTTTACACTGTTTGTACAATTCAGTTTTGTTTTTTTGTTCATTCTTACTCAACGTGGGTTCAGACTTAAAATGTCCATATTACGCTATTTTCTGACCTAAAGCTCTATTTGCATGGGATAAGTACAACCTGGGGACGTCTGGTAATTTGCAAATTACCGTTCCACTTCTGTGTTACTTGCAGCACATTCACAGGGATAAGCGAAGTGCGTAAATTTCTCTTTTTTACTGACATTGACTGAGATTGAAAGAGGAAAAAAACACAGAAAGAAAAAAGCAGGCAAGTACAACAGCAAACACTGAGATGCAGATTCAAGCAGGACTAGTATTATCACCGGATGTCTGTGTTTGGCAAAATTTAGTAGGTAATTTGCTGTGGAATTTTTACTTTACAAATTACAGACATGGCGCATTCGCACGGGGTAAGTGAAGTCCCTAAATTACTCTACTTTAATTACTTTTTTTTTTTTTTTTACTGACCTTGACTGAGATTGAAATAGAAAAGAACACGGAAAGAAAAGCAAAATCGAAAAGGCACACAATTACAACACTGAAATGCAGATTTGGGACCAGACATCTTTGTTTGGCAAAGTACATTACCTTATTTTCTGATCTAAAGCCCTATTTGCACGGGATAAGTAGAACCTGGGGACGTCTGGTAATTTGCAAATTACCACCCCACCTCTGTGTTACTTGGAGCACATTTGCAAAGGATAAGCAAAGCCCATAAATTACTTTATTTTACTGGCACTGACTGAGATTGAAAGAGAAAAGAACGCGGAAAGAAAAGAAAGAGATGGAAAAGGTGCACAGTTACCACAACAAACACTGAGATGCAGATTTGGGACTAGTATCACCGGACATCTGTGTTTGACGAAATATAGTAGGTAATTTGCAATGGAATTTTTACTTTACAAATTAAAGACATGGCTCATTCACACGGCATTAAAATCTCAGGCATGCTCCGTAGTTATTACAAATCACCAAAGGTCCACAGGTCATAATTATCCCGTGTGAGTAGGTCTTATGTTATAATGTTGTTTCCTCATCAAAACATACCTGGAGTTGTGTTTTGTTTCATTCACACGTTTGACACACAAACCCTGCATAGTTAGGCTTAGTTCTTCTCTCAAATGGAAAACACCCTGTTCCACCTTGTGATGTCATGTGGTAATACAGATAATGTTCCACTGTGCTTTAAACTCCACACACCTTCACTAGAATCGTTTGGATAATTTTCAGGTCTGGAAATGTAGCTGTTAACTTGAAAACTACCTTTACATGACATCGCAAGATGGAACCCCCTCGAAAACAAGATGGTGACACATCTCAAGGGGCTTATCCTCCAAACAAATAAATTAAAATTCAAACAGAGCATTTTGAGCTTTGAAGATGTAGACAGACTAATAATGCAGGATTACTCTAACATGTGTGAATGAAAAAAAAAGCACAACTCTTCTGTTTTTGAGGAGGTGACAACATTATTACGTGACTTAAAACTCACAAGAGTCAATTTTGTGTAATATAGGACCTTTAACCTTGTTGTCTTCAGGGAGGGTACAACTTGACGTCTATCTCTGAGTCCATGGCCTTCTGTACTTCTGTGTTACTCGGAGACCCGCCTCCATCGATCCTGTCCCCGCCTCCTCATCACAGCGCTGTGGCGACCATCAACGAGGTCATCAGACACCACGCTCCCTTTTGGAAGTCACTGCGGATACACAGTTAGTGAAAACCAGGAGATTTTGTGATCCTTCCTCGAAAGATGGTTCCATAATATATTTCATTGACCTTTTTAACCTCTCACTCTAGTCCCAGATTCGGTGCGCGAGTCATTGCCATCCCCAAAGCATCGTGGGAAGCGCAGTTCTAAAGGAAAAGGCAGGAAGTCTGATCAGAGCGACAAACCTCCACTTCCTCCCTCAGACCTGGAGCAACTCACGCGAACTGGCCGGATTAGACATCACGCAGACTGCTGCTGTGGGCGGGGCCAGACCAAAGCTCCGCCCCAGCTCAGGAAAACCAAACAATCAGAGAGAGGAGAAGGCGGAGTCATCAGAAAAGAGTCAGTCAGAGTCACAGGTGAACCTACGTTAGATCTGATATAGTATAGAAATATTCAGACCTGCTGTTTTAACCATGCTTTTTCTATGTTTTAGGTTGTTGCTGCCACTGATTCAGATATGCCAGAGTCCTCACCTGTGAAAAGGGAGGAGTCTGAATTCTCACCTGTGAAAGGGGAAGGATCTGAAGGCTCACCTGTGAAAGGGGCGGAGTCTCAACCCTTACCTCTGAAAGGGGAGGAGTCTGAACTGTCACCTGTGAAAGGGGCGGAGTCTGCTGCCAAGTCGGAGGCAGCTGGAGCCTGTGGTTGGTCCAAGATAAACTTACAGGTGTCATATGAAGTGGAGATGGGCGGAGTAAGAATTGACTCTATTTACACATTCAAGCCGCATCTCAATTCTCTTTCCTCGCTTCCTTCTCCTTGATTCCTCTCCTCAAACCTCAATTTTTCAAAGTCAATCAATTGTGTCATCTTAAGAAATATCCCAAAAAAACACGGAAGGAAGGAGTAAACATGAGGGAGGCTTCAGGAGGTAGACATGAGATAAAATAATCAGACTTTATTGATCTCAGTGAGGAGTTTATGTCCTTGTTTCTCCTTTTGGGTGGGACTTCCTCACCCATTTCCTGCCAAATTGAGGAGAAGAATCCAAGATAAAGAAGCGGGGAAACCAAAATGAGATGCGGCCAATGAGGGGTTTATCCACAGTTCTTATAAATTCTTTTCCCTTCCAGGACACCTTGTTTGTGGTGGACCCTCTTCCCTGGTGCCCTCATCTAGACTCTGTCAAACCGCTGCCCCCTGGTGGTCTGAACGTGTTCAAACCCTGTGAGGACTGTGGCTCTGAGGTGGAGAACTGGGTCTGTCTCACCTGCTACAAGGTAAAAAGGCCCGGCTTATTTAAATGATAAATGATATATTTGTGTATGAGGCTGGGATTCCACTTGACTAGAAATAGAAATAATGGGTCAAATTAATGTTGCACTTTTTTCTGATTTATGCTGTAATATTTCGTCATCAGAAACATACCTGGAGTTTTGTTTTGATTCACTCGCACATGTTTAACACACAAACCTTGCATATTTAGGCTGGATTCTTCTCTCAAACTGAAAACACTCGACCACCTTGTGATGTCATGTGATAATACGGAAGGCGCTCCATTGTGTTTTTATACTCCATGCACCTTCACTAGAATAATTTGGATGATTTCAGCCCTAGAATTGCCAGTCTCTACTGAACTGAAGGTAAAAGGTAGCTGTTAACTTCAAAACTACCACTACATGACATCACAAGGGGGAACAGAGCATTTTGAGCTTTGATGTAGACAGACGAATAACAAAGACTTACTCAAATGTGTGTGAAGACGAATAACAAAGACTTACTCAAATGTGTGTGAATGAAACAAAACAGGGATGCCGGTCTGTATGTGAAGGGATGACAGAATTGTAACATGACTTAAAGCTCACAAGAGTCACTTTTGTGTAATATAGCACCTTTAATAGCGGTATGAACTGTGGATTGTTGAGTTATGATTTAAAATCTGTGTCAGGTTTTCTGCGGCCGATACGTGAATGAGCACATGGTGATTCATGGAGTCACAGCAGAACATCCTGTGGTTCTGAGCTACGCTGATCTGTCTGTGTGGTGCTACCTCTGCGAATCCTACATCCACAACCAGGTACAGCTGCTACTGCTACTCTCACTACTCAGATCATCAGAGCAATACTGTTTCAGCCTGGAGAGACTCAGACAGACAAGAGAAAACATTTTTAGTTTTATGTAATGAAGGACATGTCTAATTAGATGATGTTTAGGAGAGGAAGGTGATGATGAGAGGATGAGGAAAGTGTTGAGCTCTTACTTTGAGTACATTTCACTGGACATGTAAAATTATCTGTCAGTGGAACAAGGGTTTTTATACTTTAAATAGGAAAGTACATCTTCATTCGTAAAAGTTAAGGAAAAATAACTCTTTGCTCTGAAAATTAGCTTGAATCGAGAAAAAAAAACAATACAATCTCCTCACGTTAAGTTAAATATTCTTAATTTGAGTAACTTACCTATTTGTGACTTTTTCAGTATAAAAGATCCAATCGTACTGAAACTGGCATTTAGTTCTGTTGTCTCTGAAACACACCATTCTAATCTGTCTTTTATTTTTAATTTTTTTATAGATTTTATTTGAAGCCAAGAATGCAGCTCACTGGGCAAAATTTGGAGAAGAGGTTCCACCCTGGACTTAAAACCAAACTCTCTTAAAACCTTACAATTATTCTCGTCTTTTTATATGTTATCACCTCAAATACTGTGTGAATGGACTTTTTCTGAGTGTTACCATGGAAAATGGACCCACCAGCAGCTTTTACTGAAATCTCCAGCAGTTTTTGGGAATTTTAATTTAAAGTGACATTCTGAAGAGCTTATGAACAAAAAAACTGTCAGTATTCATTATAGTATTATTGCTAGAAACTGTCTCATGCAATAAGCCCCAGAAGTATTAGAGTTTAGAGCAGACCTGGGCCTTTTCTTAGTTTAAATCCTAGTGTAGACTTTATTTCCACCAAAACAAAACAAAAATGGAAAAGCTTTTATTTATTATATTGAAGTTCCATTTGAGGACCAGGCTCTAGTCTAGAGAACTTGGCATTTTTATGTCTGGATTTTATTTACTTTGATTTTAATTTGAATTTAAATAATATTGTTTTAAAATATTTAAGTTGTACATTCAAAATATTCTTTGAACAAGCTCATTTAAAGGGGCTACATTACATTATTTTCGAATGTTATAGTGTTGTTTCCTCCTCACAAACAGACCTGGAGTTTTGTTTTGTTTCATTCACACATTTTTAACAAATAAATCCTCCACATTTAGGCCCCACTGTGTTTTTAAACTCAAGACACTTTCACAAAAAATAGTTCGGATAATTTCAGCCCTGGAATTATCAAAGGTAAAACAGACAAATAACTAAACTAACTAAAAAAAATAAATTAATGTTTTTGAGGAGGTAACAACACTCTAACTTGGCTAAAAGCTCATGAGAGTCAGTTTTGTGTAATATAGAACCTTTAAGTTACTGGTTCAAATACCTCTCAGCTAAAATCATTCGTAGGTCGAGAGCGAAAACCCTGTGTAGTATTTGTATCTGTAGAAGCCTCAAATGCCTCCTTCAGTTTTGAGATCTTGGTTCTGACTCTCGGTTGTTATGTTAGTGTAGCTGTAACAGAGGCCTGTGTTTTCTGTGCAATATTCTCTCATGGTTAGAAAAATGCTGAACCTTTGTACTTTACAGAGATTAAACTTTCAAATGCCGTTAGTACCTTTTCTCTTTTTAATTACATTTTAAAAAATCAGTATAGTTTTATTACATGTAGTGTCACTGTACTTTTGTAGGCATAATTTGTTTTTTGAGTTTTTCATTTTTAATTAATACTTTAACCTCCAAAGATACAAGAACAAGATTTAGGACATACTTTCATAACAGAGACAATAACATATTAATTTATTTATTTATTTATTGCTCGTGCTATTATTTTGTTGGCATCAATTTAAAGAGAACAACAAATCTGAAAATTAACATAAATACTTATTTCTACGATAATTTGCTTTATCTTTGCTGCATGAACAAAAGGAACAGGAAGAAGATAAATGTTATAAACCCTGCTGTTAAGGTGGGGGACGAGGGACCCAAAAGCAGAATCAGAACAAAGTCAAGTTTAAGCAGTTTATTGTACAAATGCAGGCAGGCTGAGGAGGCTGGCCAACTTCTTCGGAGGCAAAGGCAGACGACCAGGAGACACCTGGGAGAAAACAGGAGTAGGTAAATCCAGGGCAAACAATAAGCAATACGGGAATAAATCCAAGAGCCAGGTGACGCTACCGAACAGGACGGAATTATCTGGCAAAGTGGTGATGAGGAGACCAGGGCTAAATACTGGGGTAGATGAAGGGATTGATTGCAGGTGTGTCTCGTCTGCTCCGGAAAAAGCCAGCCACGCCCCCTGCCACACTCAAGCTCTGAAACAGAAAAGGGAGGGGGAGAGAACAAAAAACACAAATCCTAACACCTGCTCCTTTCACAGATCAAAAAATTAAACATTTCTTTAATAATCGTTTAAAAAGACCAAGACACCAATCAATAAGCCATATACATGTTACAATATCTCTCTTGTGCTTTCTTTAACTTTAAACATTTTTCTTAGTCACATAGTCCATCATTATTTTATCCTTGTACATTTTATTTATTTGAATTTAGAAACCCATTTAGAGGTTTGTTTTATTTATTTTTTCCTTTCTTTTGTATTAATTTGATTTTTTATACCCACTGACGAAACAACAAAATTTCTATCCTCAATCTGGTCTTGGTTTATGATTTACGTAGGCCTGTTCATTTTCAGAAAGTGACAGATATTACACTATTTTCTGATCTATGTTATAATGCTTCGTCATCACAAACATACCTGGAGTTGTGTCTTGTTCATTCACACAGATCCTGCTTCTCAAACAGAAAACACTCTGTTCCACCTTATGATGTCACGTGGTTAAAAAAAAGTGCTCCACTGTGTTTTTAAACTTGATACACATTTACCAGAATCATTTGGTTAATTTCAGATCTGGAATTGCCAATCTCTACTAAAGGTAACTAAAGGTAAAAGTAGCTGTTAACTTGAAAATTATCACTGAATGACATCACAAGGTGGAACAGAATATTTTGAGTTTTGGAGATGTAGACAGACTTATAAGGATTAGTCAAACGTGATTCAAATAAAACACAATTCCAAATTTTGTGTAGTAGAGGACCTTTGATTTGTTAATTTCTTCAAGAATCAAAAAAACAAAAACGGACTTCATCTTGATCCGCCATATTTGTAGTTTTTTCACCTCTCTGGTTCAGCGCTCGTCTTCTTCGTCGTCATCTGTCGCCGGGCTCTGCAGCATCCTCCCGCATCCTCCGCTCCTCCGTCCTGCAGCGGGTTTTCTGTCTCTCTGCTGCCGAAAAACACGCTCCGATCCTGGAGGAAGCACCAGTCGGTAAGTCGCGTATTTTCTCACACATTTTGACGGATTTTTATGTGAAAATGTGTGTCGTCATGAGCTGCTGTCGCGATGAGACCGGCTAGCCCCTCTCGTATGTTTACCATAAGACAAAATCAAAACGTGCTCATTTTTTATTTCACTGTACGCTTTATACTTCTAATATCCACGAGAATGACTGACCTTTAACGTGGATTAAAATATTTCAGCCTTTATTTTTAACCATAGGTCTGATTTATTTTAGCCTTAGTTTGTCCCGTTTTTATATCGTGCTTAGTCCTGATTTATTCCAGGGTTTTGTCTTGGTTTTCTCACTGTAAATGTTAAATAAAGGCTATAGCAAAGTCTCTCATTTCTCTTTTAATCTTTAAAAAGAATCGATTTTTACAGTTGTTCTATAAAGAGGATCTGACAATGTTTTTATTAGGGATCCAGCTTTTTAAATTCCGATACTTATGTCGATATTTTGGCTTTAAGCATCTACCAATACTCGGTATCAGCCGATACCAGTGCAGGGACAGAAAATATAGCCTAATTTATTTCCTTTATACTTTAAACAACATTGTAAAAATTATCCAAGTAACCACAGAACAGCTTTGAAAACTACTGAGAGGCGTTTTGAGCAAATATTCTTCAGTAAATGGTCTTATTACACCAATTTATAGACCAAAAAGGGATGTAGATTGAACCAATTTTCTAAAATTATCTGCCAATGGAACAAGCGTTTTTGTACTTTAAATAGAAAAGTACATCTTCTCACACAAAAGATAAGAAAAATAACGCTTTGCACTAAAAATTTGCTTTAATGGAGAAAAAAATCAAACAGAATCTTCTCAAATTAAGTTAAATATTGTTAATTTGAGTAGTTTAAACTTATCTAGATGTGAATTTTTACTGTGTAAAAGATCCAGTCATACTGAAACTGGTATTTAGTTCTGTTGTCTCTGAAACACGCCATTCTAATGTGTCTTTTATATATATATATATATATATATATATATATATATATATATATATATATATATATATATTTTTTTATAGATATTATTTGAAGTCAAAATGAAAGAAGGAGAAGAGGTTAAACCCTGGACTTAAAATGAAACTCTCTCTTAAAACCTTGAAATTATTCTTCAAATAAGAAATAAAATCAAATAAGTAAATAAATAAGTAACAACAGAACAGCTTTGAAAACTATTACAAAGTGTTTTGAGAAAGCACTGTCCAGTAAATCGTCTTATTACACCAATTTATAGACCAAAAAGGGATATAGATTGACCCAATATCTTTAAACTGATACCTGATCCATCAAAATGATCAGTATCGCTGCACATATCCAAGACCAGTCAATCCAATTATTGATTTCTCCTGCTTGTGTTTCCATGCTGCAGTGATGTCTGGGTCCCCCGCCCTCTCGGACCTGTCCCGTCTCTATCAGACAGAGTTCGTGCGCAGTGCCCGGGCGGTGGGGGCACTGTGGGCTGTGTGTACGCTCTGCTTTGCCATAAACCAGGTCGTGATCCTGGTCCAGCCCTCGTGGGTCGGGACTGAGGCCAGTCTGCACCAGGGACGAGGACCAGAACCACCCAGCGGCACTCTGGGGCTGTTTGAGGTGAGTTTGTAAAAGTCCCCACACGAGTACAGACAGTGGTGGAAAAAGTATTAAATTTTGTTACTTAAAGGTGGACAATTTTATTGGAGGTCTGTCACCTGCTTGTTGCTATGGATATGTCATTGTTCTGCATGGAATGTTCCACAGTATGACATTAAACAGCTCTACCTTACATTTATTCAATGACAGGTGGTTTTATAACTCAAAAATTACTTAGAAAAGCTGTAATTTTGACTGTGAGCGGGTTTAGTTCTCCACACTGATGTGTAACTTGGTCTGGTTTGGTCTCCATGAAGATAGAAAGGTTAATGCCATACTGTGAAACATTCCAGACAAAGCAATAACATCTCCATGGAGAAAAGCATTTGTCAGGCCCTCAACCAGAAAAGTTACACAATGCACCTTTAAGTAAAAGTACAGATATCTGAGCAAAACCAAAAAAAAACTCAAATAAAAGTAAATTAACTAGTAAAAGTCTATTTTTGTTCACTGCTTTTCTGTTCAGCCTTTTCAGCAGGTCTCAAACTATAAAAAAAAAAAAAAAAAACTTTTACTTTTCAGTCCTGTTCAAAAATGTAAAGGAGTAGAAAAAACAGATACCTGCTCTCAAATGTAAAAAATATCCACTTTAATATGTACTCAAGTAAAGTAGATAACTTAAAATTCAGTACTTTTCTACTTTTACTTCGTTACGTTCCACCAGTGTGCACAGGTGAAGCATCTCTAAATGTCCACACACAAAAATATAAACAGATTCTGTTCTGTCTCTCTCGTTTCTCAGGTGTGTGTGGATTCTGACTGGCCGGTCCCTGAGTGCAGAGGGGGGCTGTCCACGCTGTCCCCTCTCCCTGCATTCCAGTCTGTGGCCGTGCTGGTGGGTCTGTCCCTGTGGGCTGTGTGGACCAGTGTTCTGTGTCTGGTTCTGTTCAGATTCTGCAGCGCTGCCACAGTTTATAAGATCTGCGCCTGGCTCCAGCTCACTGCAGGTAACAGCACTGCACTTTCAGAGGGTCCACTTTAAACAGCCCATTACCCAAGATAGTAAGTTTGAAAACATGGAGTATCCAGCACAGTCTCCAGACTTAAACCCCATCGAGCTGGTTTGGGGATGAACTGGACAGAAGAGTGAAGCAACCTACAAGTGCCACACATTTATGAGAACTTCTGCAACAGACTTGGGAAGAACTTTCTGAAAAATATTTGATTTCTATTGTAAAAAGAATGAGCCACGAGTGTGTTCAGCTGTTATATCTGCCAAAGGTGGACACTTTCATGAAAGATTTAGAAAATATTTTGGTCAACAGTAAACAGTAAAAATCTGGAAAAAGTGTGGTGTTCTAAAACTTTTGACCAGTATTTACTTTTAGAAACTTTGAACCAGGCATTAGGTGTTTTTGATAAAGACTGAATTGAATTGTATTGTCCCTTCTTTTCTCGGGAGGTTTCTGTCTGGCTCTGGCCTGTCTGCTGTTCCCTGACTCCTGGGAGAGTCCAGAGATGAGAGCTCTGTGTGGAGATCAGGTATGTTTTATTTAATACTCTTTTTATATATATATATATATATATATATATATATATATATATATATATATATATATATATATATACCTAGTCAGTGAGGGTTTCTGTGTGAGTGTTGCAAAAGTAGGTATGGTAGACCTGTTATCTCCTGTCCGATTGAAGGTCCTGCCTTTAAAGGTCCTATATTACACAAAATTGACACTTGTGAGCTTTAACTCACATTACCAAAATGTTGGTACTGCCTCAAAATCATACTTTGAGTTGTGTTTTGTTCATTCACAAATGTTTGAGTAATCTTTTATTATTAATCAGTCAACATCTTAAAAGCTGAGGCTGTAGTTTTCAAGTTAACAGCTCCTTTTACCTTTAGTTCAGTAGAAATTGGCAATTCCAGGGCAGGAATTATCCAAATGAGTCTAGTGAAGGTGTACAGAGTTTAAAAACACAGTGGAGCACTTCCTGTATTACCACAAGATATCAAAAAAGGGAACAGAGTGTTTTAAGTCTGAGAGAATGACTCAGTGTAAATGTGCAGGGTTTGTATGTTAAACTTGTGTGAATGAAATAAAACACAACTCCAGGTGTGTTTGTGATGAGGAAACAACATTATAATTATAACATAGATCAGACTGTTTCTAGATTTGCCAGCCCCAAAGTTGAGCCAGTAGCAACACTATTACATGAATTTGATGTTTGTCCCCCCTTTTGTCTGTCTCTCTTCTCTACCCTCTATCCCCCTCTCTGTATCTCCCCCTGTAGGTGTCTAGTTTCTCCCCTGGCCGCTGCTCCGTTCACTGGGCGTACATTCTGGCGGTCCTGGGGGTGCTGGATGCCGCCATCTTGGCTACTTTGGCATTTGTTTTGGCGAATCGACAGGATGCTCTGCTGCCCCCGGACACGAAAGACGGTAAAACCAGAACAGGCTACGACGACAGCTGGATTTAGGACAATGATAGTTAATGGAGCATAAGGCCTGGGTTGGGGTGTTTTTACAGTAGTGTTTTAGATAATAATAATTTTAAAAAGACAATAGAATGTAATTTTCAACATAAATCATAGTACTTTTTTATATTTCCATGTGGTCTTAATATCCGTGTAATCCCTCAGTGGTCCAGGGGCGTTTACTAGTCTATGTACAATTTTTAGGTGTCTTTACTTTACTTAAGTACATTTTACAGTGGATAGTTTTACTTTAACTTCACTACATATGAGAGCAGGTATCTGTACTTTCAACTCCATCACATTTTAGAACTGGACTGAAAAGTAAAAAGTACTTTTCTTTAAGTTTTGTGACCTGCTGAAAATGCTGAGACCTATTTTTGTCCCATTTAATTTGAGTTAACGTCCCAACTTTGAGCAAACCAAATACACAAAAACACATAAACAGCTAGAAAAGTTAAGAAATCAAGGTTAAAGGTTGTATAGAAGATTTTCCAAGGAAAGAGAAATGCAGCGACTGTTTGTCCTTTTTTAAATGTTGCGCTTCGCACCTTTTCCCCTTCTCTTCTTCTTTCAGCAACGTCAAAAACTGACTTTCTTTTGCGGCGAACCGGTCGTGAATTCTTCTTTCAAAAAAGACGCCAAGAACCGCTAAACATGAACCGCGAACATAAACCACACAATCCCAGCGCGTTGGCAAGTCAGCGACGCTAGAAACGTAGGGAATTTGATTGACAACCTAACAGCCAATAGATAAAGAGGTAGCCTTGTTATCTATTGGCTGATGTTTATCTGCCCTCACTACGTCCACAGTTGATGGATTTTCATTCTTTTTTTTTTTTTTTTTTTTTTTGGTCATCATAATTACAAGGCTGCTTCTTCTTTATAATTCTATTTTGAACTTTCATTGACAATTTGAAAAAATATTTAAAAAAAAATCCTCCATACAACCTTTAAATCCTCCAGCTAAGGTAGTCCTGACCAAGCCTAGCAACAAAATTATGGAGATAGGTCCCGGGGCGCCCCATGTGCTGTCCACTGCTCCTGAAAAGATGGGTGAAATAAGGATTACAATTTTTCAACAGGGATAATAAAAAGTACTACGATATGAAAATCAGATACTATCTTTATCAAAATCAATACATTGCTGCTTTAATTGTTCTAAAAATCTCTGCAAAATACTTTAGTTTTTTACCCTTTAACTACATTTTTAAACAGGCACTTCAGCAGTTTTATTTAAATAGATTTTTTCATGTGATACTTTTACTTTTATCTGTACTTTTATAACCCTCAACCTCCTCTGTCACAGTAACACAGAGAGAGCAAGCATACTTCACTATGGGACATCTTAACCCATAATCCGATATGAAAATCCTGACTGTTTTCTTAGAATGTTTGTTATTTTTCTTGCAGTGACGACTGGACTCTTGATGTCAGCCTAGAGACAAACACATGGTGAGTTTGAGACTAGAGTCATGATTAAAGGTTCTATAATACATAAAATTAACTCTTGTGAGCCTTAAGCAATGTTATACAGCTGATACCTTCTCAGAAACATACTGTATTTTTCGGACTGTAAGTCACTCCGGAGCATAAGTCGCACTTTTTGGGGGAAATGTATTTTATAAAAGCAGAGACAAGGAACCGACATTTAACGTCACATATGAACAGTTATTCTGATAACTATAGCATAAACAACAGAACAAGTTTATCATACTCTCTGTCTCACTCCAAATCACTAAATCCACTGAATTCTTCATCCTCGGTGTCACTTCTGAGCAACTCCGCGACCTCCAGAGGTAAACGGTGCGCTGCTTCCTGTTCTGCGTAGCTGTTGTTGTGTTAATAGATCCATGAGCTGTCGTCAGCATCATTTCCAGTTAGAATTATTCTGACTTTTCTGAATCCCGGCAGGATGGATTCGGTTGTCACTGAAATCCAGGCTTTGTTGATCCATCCAATGACTTCCAGAAAAGTTGCACTGTGGACCCTCCCGATTACTGTGAAGCTGTGTTCTCCATCCCCGCTTTCCGCCAGTCCCTCAAAGGTTTCTTGCTCACTCCAAACTTGCTTTCTGCTGCTCAATTACCGTTTTCAGCTGAATATTTCACTTGTTGCAGCAGGACACATGCAAGAGACATGCACAGAAAACTGACACACAAGCCTAGAGCGCCAGTCTAAAAATTTTTATATTTTCAGACTGGCATTGCACCAGAGTATAAGTCACAGGACCACCCAAACCATGAAAAAAAGTGCGACTCATAGTCCGAAAAATACAGTACCTGGTGTTGTGTTTTGTTTCATTCACACATGTCTGAGTAATCCTTTATTACAGTCTGTCTACATCTCCAAAGCTCAAAATGCTCTGTTCCAATTTGTGATGTCATGAAGTTGTAGCTTTCAAGGTAACAGCTCCTTTTACGTTCTTTATCATTATTATTAGTTTGTACGACCAATCAATGTACATGAGAAACCACATCATTTTTGAAATTATGTCATGAACTCTTTTTCGAGAAATGTGCTTTTCTGTTGTTTACAATGTGTGTGTAGTATGTGTATGATTATTGTTTCTCTTTTGGCACAAACTTGAAATGAAAAAACAAATCAATCAATCTAAACCTTTTGTGTTTGTTCAGTAGAGATTGGCAATTCCGGGTCTGAAATGATCCAAATGATTCTAGCGAAGGTGTATGGAGTTTAAAAACACCTAGGAGCACTTCATGTACAGAACAGAGTGTTGTTGGGTTTTTTTTAGAGAAGAACTTTGTGTGTTTTACATGTGAATGAAACAAAACAAAACTGCATCTCTTTATCTAATCTCTGTCTTTTTTCTCCAGACTTCTCCATCATCATTTAGATCCAAAATGTCCCCTGTCTTCCAGATACAAACCAGCGTTCAACAGATGTAACCTGCTCTAAAATAGCTTTATTTTCCAATGCATGGAATTTTATGTCTGTTTTTTATAAATATTACAACAGTGTCAAAGTTGGTATCAGCAGTATTTTAGATAAAGTGCTCTTTGTAAAACTAGAAATAAGCAAATGTGACTCTACCAGTCAACATTTTCATATGAACCCTTTATTTTTTTGTTTTATTGGCACTTTTCACATTACCTATAGCAAAACAAGTAAGGAAATACAGCATCCAAGCACCAATCAATCTTAGAAAATCACTGATATTGTATTTTTAATATATGTTTCATGTACAGCGATATTTACACTGTTAAAGGTTTGGACACACACTCTCATTCATCAAATATATAAAGCAAGATATATGGAATTATTTTATATAGAAAATAAAGTGAAATAACTTTAATAAATATTTTTTGACAAACCAAAAGGATTAATTTGAGGCTTTCGTTATAAAATATTTTAAATGTTTATAAAATGTATGTATATAAAATGTAGAAAGTAGTAAACATAGAAGAGGGTGAGGGTCCAAACTTTGCCTGGTCGTGTGTTTCATGTGGCGTTTGAATGTTCATTGTCCATCTACATTTAGATCTGTTTTGTAATCTTACAATTCGTCAGCATGTGTCAAAAAATAAAAGCTTTGTATGAGAGAAAAACTATTGTGTATAATGAGTACATTTGAATGAGTAGATTTACCACCTCATGCCAATAATATAAACGAGATGATGGATGCAAGTGGTCATTTCCTCTGTGGGAGGCCGGGCACTCCCTAAGAGAAAAGGTGAGGCATTCAGTCACACAGGAGGAGCTTGGCATAGAGCCAATGCTCCTGCACGTGGAGAGGAGCAGCTGAGGGGAGGGCATCTGTTCTGGATGCCTCCTTGACTCCTTCCTCGGGAGGTGTTCATGTTTCACTGAGAGGAGGCGCTGGGGAAAACCCAGGACACACTGGAGAGACTATGTCTCTCTACTGACCTGGGAACGTCTTGGGGTTTCCCTGCAGGAGCTGGATGAAGTGTCTGGGGTGAGGGAAGGCTGGGAGTCCCTGCTAAGACTGCTGCCGCCACAACATGACAGCGGATGGAGATTTTTCTTAAATACTTGTTGAATCCAGGCAAAACTAATTTGAAGCCACCTGAGGACATCCTGGTAAAGTGTATTTAGACCTCAGGTCTCCAACCTTTTTCCACCGGCGGACTAACTTTACAAAATGAAAATGCCAGAGAACTACTAGTTTCAGCGGTCAAATGAAACAGTATATTTAAGGGCCACGGCAAGCCTTAAATGAGGTACAGTCAGATACCTATAAAACCTAACCATTATCCATTTATTAGTGTAAAAAGTTAGGCATCAAAATAATACATGTACAATGGTAATAGGCATTTAAATGATCAAGTTTTACTTATTCAGGACAATACATGTAATTCAGAAATCCCTTGATGAGCTACTAGGACAGAGGTGGAGAGCTGCCAGTAGCTCCCGAGCCACAGGTTGGAGATCCCTGATTTAGACTAAAGAGTGGCACCATCAGCATCACTGAATTTCCAAATCCATTGTGCCATTTCATGTAATTACTGTTCAGCCTGGGCCCTAAAACCTCTTCTCTCACCTCTTCTGTGTGTATAGACCATTTAATAATTATTTAATTATTTAAATAAACGATAAATTGCGATTACTGGATGAACGTGTTGGAGCCCTCATGTAAATTAAGACAAAACGATGCTGTGATAGAGGTGTTGTACTGACTTTATTGAATTAAATGAATTCACATTTCACATTTATTTAATCTCAATGAGACGTGAGAAACAGCGACACATGAACACAACATGAACGGACCAATCACAGCACAGAGAGGGGCCCCTATAGATCCATGTATGGAAACAGGAAACTGGCTTTTTTTTCTGTGTTAAAGCTTTAAAGGTTCAGAGGTGGAAGCGAGAGAAGCGGGTCAGAGGTCAGCTGCTCTCATACTTGTATCTTTGGTTTTTCATAGTTTCAGTTATTTAATTATAAACATTATAAATCTGCATGAATTAAAGCTGCACTATGTAACTTTTTAGTTGGGGGTCCGTCACCTGCTTGTTTCTATGGAGATGTCATTCCTCTACCTGGAATGTTCCACAGTATGACATTAAACAGCTCTACTTCACATTTATTAAATTGCAAGTGGTTTTAAAGCTCAAAAATACCTAGAAAAACAGGCATCTGACTGTGAGCGGAGTCGCCTCTTCACAGATCTGACCTGTAACTTGGTCTGGTTTAGTCTCCATGAAGATAGAAAGGTTTAATACTGTGAAAGATTATTAAGACAAAGCAATAACATCTCCATGGAGAAAATAATTTGACGGACCCTCCACTGGAAAAGTTACATAATGCACCTTTAATTCAGTTATCTATTTATTTTTTGTCATCTGAAAGTTTAGTTTAGTCCCAGTTTTGATTGATAGAAGTAGACTTACTGTTTATAGATAATACTGTATCGACTGCACTGACTCTCAGGAGCTTATGGACCATATTCAACCAGATGCCCTACCGCCGTATACAGTAATCTCTACACACAATAACAGTACTACTTCAGAAAATTGTATCGGGAACTTTAATCATAATGGGCCACATTCATGAATCTTTTCTTAAAAAATGTTTGTCACTTCCACTTTAAGAAGATGCAGTGTTTTTAAGCTCCCGAATTCCCCAACACCCAGAGCTACGAACACCTCCACACTCATTAACATCTCATTTACAGAGAAAATTAATATGTATTTGGTTAGAAACGAGGAATTAGAATTTTTTTTGTTGCATAAAGTAATAATATTCTAAAACGGTAAATGTTTTTGTTCTTATGAGTGCTCCTGACTGTTAGAATTAGTAGGATTTGTTCTTCTAGTAGAACATTTTCAGATAAGAAAATGTTTTGTAATGCCAAAAGCGTTTCATGAATGAGGTCTAATGCTTTTCTTAAATTCTGAGAAGGCGCCTGGAGCGTATCCATGACTTTTCTTATTAAAGATGTATTATGTAACTTTTCTAGTGGAGGATCCGTCCAGTTCTTTTCTCTATAGAGATGTTATTGCTTTGTCTGGAATGTTTCTCAGTATGGCTTTAAACGTTTCTATCTTCCTGGACTAAACCAGACCAAGTTACAGGTCAGATCTGTGGAGAGGCGACCCCGCTCACAGTCAGAATCCCCGTTTTTGTAGGTCTTTTTGATCCATAAAATGACTTGTAACTGAATTAATGTAAGGTAGAGCTATTTAATGTCATACTGTGGAACATTCCAGGCAAAGCAATGATAGAAACATGAACAAGCAGGTGACGGTGACCCAACCAAGAAGTTACATAGTGCATCTTTAAGTTTAAGATGTATTAGTCAGTGTTCTATTCATTTTTATTGTACTAATTTATCTAAACATTAAACATTCTTAATTGAAAACTGGGACAAATAATAAAACGTGATCAGTTAGTAAAGACGGGTCTGACTCTGCTCTCTTCAGCTCCACCTCTGATTTTATGCAGTTTCACCAAAAGCAGCAACAAAAATTAACCTAAAACAAAAAACACAGACCATCCTTCTCCCTCCTTGACTCCTCTCTCCTCATCTCCTACCTCCTTGCTTATTATTGTGTCCTCTCCTTTAAAAGAAAAATCTACATAATCTTATTTGAGTAGTTTGGTTTGTCAAGCTTTTTCAATATATTTTATTTTCAAGGAACTGTATGTGAAAGTTTGGTTTTATATTTCATAAACCTGACCCATCTGTGTCTCCAAATCTGTTCAAATCAAAAATAGCTTTTACTGATAACAATTCAAATGCGGATTTATTCCTAGTTACTCATTTTGGTTGCCAGTTTCGGTGCTGAAATCCATTTGTTTAGTTCTAAAATGCCTCTCTTTGATCTGAACATTCACTACCTAAACTCCAGCATCTGCAGTAATTTATTAAACAGTGCTAGTGCAGTCGCTGCAGCTCAGTGAGTGAATTCTAGAGGTTCTGAGCTCATATGAAACTTGCATGAGTCGTCTATCTGCAGGTTAAAGGGACAGTTCAGAATTTTGGACATAGGATCTCATTTCCTAGTGAGCCAGAGTGTTGGAGACGTGTGGAGACACTTTTTAAATATTCCATCAAGTCCTTGTATTTGCAGAGGTCACTGGTGCCACTAAAAACAGTCTTACTCACTCCACAAAACACCCAAAGCAAATCTGTTATTACACCAGACTGTCGATGTAAATGTCTGTGTTGATAGAATAATTTTAGAAGTAAAACCAACCTTGCATTTGAAAAAATTATGTCTGAGCAGCAGCAGCGAGTTGTACTTCCTGACAGAAAGCTCGGCAGCGGCGGACTGATATATGAGAAAATAGTCCCTCAACATGTGACAACACAGACATTTATATCAACAGTCTGGCGTAATAATAAATTTGCTTCAGGTGTTTTGTGGAGTGGGTAAGACTGTTTTTAGTGGCAGGATAACTATGGCCATTGACATGCACTAGTCTAGCACCAGTGACCTCTGCAAATACAAGGACTGGATGGAATATTTTAAAAAGTGTCTCCACACGTCTCCAACACTCTGGCTCACTCGGAAATGAGGCCTTATGTCCAAAATTCCTTTGTCTCTTTAAGTATCTTTAAGGTTCACAGGTTGCAATTGTAATACCTTTTTAAAACAGTAAGATCGTGGGCTACATACAGTTACTTTAAATTACTTAAAATAGTGTAATTATTTGACATTTGAAACATTCTGTATTGATTCTGTAGATATTTCTTTTGACCTCAGTCCAATCTTTATCTCATCCCTCCTCACTCTCTCTCTCTCCTTCCTTCTTCTTTGTCTCCTACTCCCTCATCAGCTCCAGAGCCTGCCTCAGTAGAATCTGGGGGTCGTAGTTCACTATGGCTCTCCTCTTCCTCCTACGACTCCCATGATCCTCTACGTCGATGCGTTTGATTCGCTGTAGACCCTGAGATGGGCGGGGCTCAAGCTCCTCCTCCTCCAGTCGTTTCACTCGGAGCAGCGGGGGGTCATCGCTGGGGGGTGTGTCCTCCAGGGAACGCCGGCTCCTCCTGTGGGCGGGGCTTACAGGTGAGGGGGCGGAGTCAGAAAGATCCCTTCTCATTCTGCGACCTGATGGCCTCACAGCGTCGCTCGGACCCAGACTTGAAAGGATCTGACCAATCAGACGCCTAGCAAAGATAAAAGTATGAAAAAATTAAGATTCACGGATACCAATTGCTACAATACCTACACATACATAATAAAATAAATATAATGTTGATTGCTTTTGTTGCCAGTCAGTCTCTTCTACTTTCTGATTGGGTCCAGGGTCTGGAATTGGACCATAAAAGGAAAAATCTCCTTCCAAACGTGAAATGATCCAACCATATTTGCTCATTTTTGACATGTGACATACGATATATTTTGACATTTGACATATTTTAAACTATTTATTCCTTTTATTATTTCTGCTGCTGTTGACCTGGACCTGAGTGTAGTGTTTCGTTTCTGTGTATTTTTTATACTGAAATGACAAATAAATTCTGACTCTGAAATATAATGTGTAGCACGTGTCTCTCAAATGTGACAGACATCTCCTTTCAAAAATTCTCTTATCATTCAGTACCAAATATTTAACTTCTTTTACCTGAGATAAATAATCGTTGTTGCTTCAATTGCTGATCTTGTACAAATCTGGTCTGTTTTTCAGTCCTTTGTGTAATTTTTTTTTTAACATAAGCAGTTTGTTGTCGCTCTTATTGGTTAATCCATCTGTCAATCACACTCTCTGAAATCAGGGAGACAAGACACATCTCCAGATCCTCTCGTCTTTGGAAAGTTTTGTCAAAGTGTGTGACTCTGGTTTGCCAGGTAGTTGATTTTGTAGTAACTGATCAAACTCTTATATGCTTAAATGCCCAGACTTATTCAGATTCGTAAATTTGTATTTCATTACTAAAATGTAGATAATATTAGTAAAGTTATGTCTTTGTCCCACAGACCTGAGTGTCTCTTGTTCACTCTCTCTTGGCCCTGATCTCTGGGTTTGCTGCAGTTTGTTCAAAAGAGCTTCAGAAAAGTCCGGATCCAACCTGAAACCAGACAAAATACATTAAAGGTGCATTGTGTAACTTTTCTGGTGGAAGGTCCGTGAATGTGGAGATGATATGGCTTTGTCTGGAATGTTTCACAGTATGGCATTAAACCTTTCTATCTTCATGGAGACCAAACCAGACCAAGTTACAGGTCAGATCTGTGTGTCTGTTTTTCTAAGTATTTTTGAGCTATAAAACCACCTGTAATTGAATAAATGTAAAGTAGAGCTGTTTAATCTCATACTGAGGAACATTCCAGACAAAGCCAGAACCTCTCCATTGAGAAAAGCATTTGATGGACCCTCCACTAGAAAGGTTACACAATGCACCTTCAAATATTTATAAATTTCAGCATGACTCAGCAAAAAACATATAGACATCAAATTGGACAGAATGTAGTGATGCTAACAGTGAAGTTGCCAGGCGCTATTGTCCACAGAGCCTATTCTACCCTCTAACCCATTCCAGACCCAGAGTGACCCCTGACCTCTGGAGCAGCGCCTCAGCCAGCTGTGGTTCCACCAGTCTCCACCAGGGGGCTTGCGGCCGGCTCATGGTTAGCCTGGGGCTGCTCTCGTCATAGTCCGGGAGGCTCTTGATCTCCGAGGGGTTCAGGTCCTCCTCCTGATCCTGGTCCAGTTCCACCTGCACCTCTGGATTCACAAGCCCCGCCCTCTCTGCGTCCGCCAGCTGCAGCACAGCGTTCATGTACGCTACAGAGACACCTACAGGTTAGACTGAAGAACTGCAAGTATAACGAAAAATCTATGCTGGGGGTGTTCACCAGTTACCATGGAGACACAATATACACAGAGCCTACGATTAACATCCCTCCCACCCACCATCAGTGCAGTTTTTTTATTTTTGTTTTTCTTTTGACGTATTTCTACAGCTCAAACCTGCTCTCTGCTGCTGCTCCTCCTGCTGCTCCCGCCTCTGGTCTCTCTCCACCAATCGCTGCAGGGCCTGCTCTAAGCCACGCCCCCTCCAGTCCTCCTCCGGCACAGAAATGGACACCATGCGGTCCTCATAGGGCAGCACGTCTCTCCGCACACGCCTGACTCCGCCCCCATAGTCCAGGCCACGCCCTCTTCCAGCAGGAACACACTGAGATGGGGAATAACATAAGGTCAGATGTTAGTTAACAGTTATTTCATGGTTAGAGGTTAACCCTTTAAATTAATTCAATATTGCTTTAAATACACAACACTCAGCATCACTGTAGGACAGAGGTGAGACCAAGTCTTTGACCTCAAGTCCAAGTCAAGTAAACTAAATTGTACATAAAAAGTTATGGTATATTTATACATGTGTATTTTTATAAGAGTTGTAGAAATGCTAATTTTTCCTTTTTAAATGTTTTGACAAGATCTTAGCGTGAATCATTACAGTCAGAATAGAAATAATTAAGATTTAAAAGTGCTTAATAACAGATATTTTGTCATGTAGTCTGCACTGAAATGGAAGGATGTTCTTTGTGGTTCTCTCTGTTTTACTGTATTGTACTGTATTTTACTGTAGTACATTTGAGAATACCATATCACAGTACTTCAGTTACATCCAAAGTAACAAACAGAAGTGGGAGGGGCATATTCCAGTTTGTTCCTGTAAAATTCAGCACCGCATTTATCAACAGTAAAGAGAAAAGTATTTTCAAAAAACATTTTTAGGAGAAACATCATGTCTTCTCAAGTCACAGGCCTCAAGTCCGAGTCAAGTCCCAAATCACTGACCTTCAAGTCCAAGTCAAGTCCCAAGTCTTAGTCCATTTTATCAAGTCAAGCCTCAAGTCCTAAAAATAGTGACTAAAGTCTGATTCGAATCCAAGTCACGACTCACTGTGGGGTGAACTCTTAAGAGGATGCTGACGTGCCTGTGAATCAATCAAACAAACCATCAAATTATATTATTATCAGGCTGGAAAGGCTCTCAATGATCTCATGATGATTATTTCAATGTGGTCAAAGAATCAGAACAGCAGAACAAGCTGAAAAATCTAACTTTACATCCAGTGTAGACAAAAGCACAGACATCTTCCCTGTCCATAAATGCACAAACGCTCACCTTCTGCACATTTTTCACAAACTAAATAGACTGTATTGACACAAAAACTGGCTGAAAACATGTTTGTATTGGTTTGGCTTCACCTTCACCTCTGTGACTGGTCTCCTTTGCCCATCGTTGACAAATAGAAGACAAAGACTTTCTCTATTCCCTTGTGTCTGTGTGGCTTACAGAGGGGCTCTAAACCTAAAAATCCATTCACCGTCGGTATCTGGTGCCACACAGACTCATCTGAGCCTCATTAAACATGGATCCTGGACACTGTTGCTCAGTAGCGCTCACTTTCAGAATGTGTGGTATCTTGGTGGTGGTGGATGCTTCTCAGAAAACACTGGAGCAGGCCTGTGCTTTCGGACAAACAAGCCATTAGGTTCAAGAAAGGTTTTTTCCGCTGCCATTTCAGGAGCATCCCCGTGTTACCGTAGTGACACTTCTGTACTCCCCGGGGATTGTTCAGTGAGAGCAAACAGAAGAGATTCAGCCTCTTATCAGATTCTATTGATTTGTCTAAAAATACCAAAGAGTGCTGCACCTAAAGATAGTTCAGATTGGTTCAGGCTCCACAAGACACATATGTAATTAGATAAACACAAGAACTGATTTGTGTGAGCTACAGCACTATGGTAGAGTTTTATCCACCTCTTATAAGGATATTTTGGACTCCTGATCTCTGAAAGTGGAGCTCTAACGTTGTTACTGTGGCCCAGTGGTGATCTTGTCTGTCTGTGAAGGGAGTATGGTTTGACAGTGAGATGTAATACACCTTCTATGCTTGCTTTTTTTCAGTATCATCTTAGAAGGTAATTTAATATTGTTTGGCAGATTGCACATCAGCAAATCAATCCATTACCATTTTATTTTGGTTGCCTGACTAGCCAGTCCCTTCTACATTCTGTTCAAATTGAGAAGGGTCTAGAATTGGACCACAGAACATGAAAAATCTCTGTCCAAACTTGAAATGATCCAACCACAGCTGCTAATTTGTATCACGCATCTCTCAAATGGGGAAGACATTCAAAACGAAATATATAACTTCTTAGATAAATAATAGTTTGGTAGCCAGGCCTAGTGCCTCTGCTCAATTTAATTTCTCTCCAGCGACTAGATCAGAAATCGGAATACACCAGACGGTTTGCAAGCACCAGCCAATCAGCGAAGAGCCAGACATTCTGTGTTGGCAACGATTCTGGAGATCGTGGATTTAAAGCCGGAACAAAGAGAATGTTTGGTGAATTTTATCAAGGGGAAAGACGTTATTGCCCTTCTTCCTACGGGATTTGGGGAAAGCTTAATATACCAGATAGCCCCATTAACGGCGCATTACATACATCATGACCAGATAGTTAAATAAAAGCAAACGAATCCCAATGCTGCGAGGTCAAACGGTTTACACAAAGTCAAACCAGCTGATGAATCAGGCTAATAGAATTGGACCACAGAGCGTGAAAAATCTCTGTTCAAACTTGAAACGATCCAATCACAGCCGTTAATTTGAAGACATTTTGGAAGATATTTAGAACAAAATATATCACTTCTTTTACCAGAGTTAAGTAATTTTTTTTGTGCTTCAATTGTTGATTCTAATAAAATCCACACAGTTTCTCAGTCCTTTATGTAGATTTTTCTCTCTCTCTCTTTTTTTTAATATGTAAGCAGCTGTGTTTTTTTTGGCTTTAGACTCGGCTTCTCTCTCTGATTGGTTTACCCATTTGTCAAGCACAGATCCACTTGTCTTTGTAGAGTTTTATCAGGCGTGTGGTTCTGGCCAGTCAGGTAAGTATCTTGGTACAGCTGTTTTGGATCAGTCTTTGCTGGGGTTCAGTCTAGACTACTAAATCTGAATCTTATACATGAGTCCTGGTTTAGAACTGATTGCATACTCTATTACTTAAAGGTCATATATTACACAAAATGTCCTCTTGTGAGCTTTAAGCCATGTTAAATGTTGTTACCTCCTCAAAAACAGACCTGGAGTTGTGTTTTTTTCATTCACACATGTTTGAGTAACATTTTATGATTATTTTATTAGAGAAAAACTCAGTCTAAATATGCAGGGTTTCTCTGTTAAACATGTGAATGAAACAAAACACAACTCCAGGTTTGTTTTTGATAAGGAAACATTATGACATAGATCAGAAAATCGCGTAATATGGGCCCTTTAAGTTCCACTGCACTTTGTCACCCTTGATCTCTTCTTCACTTCTTCACTCCAGATGCGATTAAAGCAAACTTACTGTCACCAATTAGTCCCTGTTTCTCTCGGTCTGATCGATACGTGAGCGGACCCCAGTCTCCTCTTCATCGTGCCTGTGCTGACGCTGAGATCTTCTGCTGACTCTAAATCAAACCCCAGCTCAATAATCATCAACGTTACCTATGAAGGAACTGTGTAAATCTACCAGAAAATCTCTAATCTATAGTCTCATTTAAAATCTTGTGAACCTGAGAGCTATTTTAACACTCCAAGAAGTTTTGCATAAAAAAAACTACAGTATTACGATATTTGAAAATACTGAAGAAGATAGCTACAAAAACTAAAATTGGACTGAGTTAAAATGACAAATTAACTTATGTTACTTTTTGGTAGAGGGTCCATCACCTGCTTATTTCTATGGACATGTCATTGCTCTGTCTGAAATGTTCCATAGTATGGCATTAAACAGCTCTACCTTACATTTATTCAATTACAGACGGTTTTATAGCTCAAAAATACTTTGAAAAACACACATTCTGACATTCTCCACAGAGCTGACTTGTAACTCGATCCGGTTCTGTCTCCATGAAGATAGAAAGGTTTAATGCCGTACTGTGAAACATTCCAGAAAAAGCAGTAACATCTTCACGGAGAAAAGCATTTGACAGACCCTCCACCAGAAAAGTTACACAATGCACCTTTAAGAAAATGTTAAATTGATTTGAGTAAATTTGAAAGTAAAGTAAAATGATCAAGTCTTTTTGTTGTTGAAAAAGGAAAATACATCTAGTTCTGCTAAAAATATAGAAATTAATAACATAAAGAAAATAAGAAAGACAACGACTCTTTGCACTTGAAAAAAAAAAAAAAGTTTCTTCTGTCAAGCTGAAAACACTTTGTGATGTAATACAGGAAGTGCTCCACTGCGTTTTTACACTCCATACACTTTCACTAGAATGATCTGGATGATTTCAACCCTGGAACTGACCGTCTTTATTAAACAAAAGGTAAAAACTAGATGACATCACAAGGGGGAACAGAGCATTTTTGAGCATTGGAGATGTAAATAGACTGATAATAAATCATAACTCAAACATGTGAATGAAACAAAACACAACTCCAGGTTTGTTTTTGAGGAGGTAACAAATTTATAACATGACTTAAAGTTCACAAGGGTCAAATTTGCATTATATAAGACTTTAATGATATCGTATTTTAAAATGGTTCACTGGGATTATCCGTATTTATTGTTATTGTGTTGTTTATCATAGTATATCTCTGTATTAAAATATTGTGACAGGCCTAATTTTCTTTTACGGGATGCTTCTCCTCTCCAGATCTGAGTCAGGTTGTGTTAAAGGACTGCAGTAAATCAGAGAGAACTCCATTAGGAAATTAACTACTGTGGTCCACTGCCTGCGAACGCACCATTGCCCCCAAATGCCCCATCATCATAATGGGAATGTAAAAACTGTGAGGGAGGCTTTATCTCATCTCATATTAATCCAGGTTTAATGACATCAAGGAGCTGAAGCATAGGGGTGACCTGTGTTTCATTTACAATTTGGGGTGTGATTTTTTTTTATTATTATTTTTGGTTGCTTTTTAATAACCGGAGGGAACTAAACTAGAACTGAGTAAATAAGAAAACGTTTTTGTGTGTCTACTTTTGACATGACTTAATAATAAACCAAGTCTAAACCAGTACTAATACTCAATCTCAATCAAATCTTTCAAAATAATATTGAACTACAGTGACAGTAAAAAGAAATAAAAATAGAAATAAACCAAAACCAGTGTTAATCAAGATTAAAATCACAAGGAACCCAAGACTTAATCTCATATACATGTATTTTCATTTTAGAATCATTTTGTACACAATTAAGATTAACTTTCAGTGAAATCTCTGCATGAATGATTCATGTGTTTATGACGATCGGACAAAAACTGTAATAGGAGGACAGCATCACCGTGGAGACGAGCTGCTGCCGTCGCCCTGGAGACCTTCTCTGAGTCACCACGGCAACCACATCACATCCCATAACCACATCACATCCCAGAAATCGTAATTAAGACATAACCTAGGTTGAGAATAAGGGCAAAACCAGGATCGAACCCAGAATTTGGACCAAACCAGGACTAAATCAAGCAACATCCAGATGAGGACCAAACCAGAACTGAACCAGGTTTAAAGATGAGACAGACCTCAGATGAACCGGAGAGCACATGTGGACATAAGCGCTAACCAGGACCAGAACCAGAACCAAGGACAGACTAAACCAGTCCAAATAAAACTAAAAATATCAACTTAATATAAGGCGGCATAACAGAGACTGAATGATCCGGACTGAATCAGAATAAAATCATGTCAGACCAAATCAGAGCCAAAACAGGATTAAACTGGACATAAACTGGACATTACACCAAGAAACAAACAAGAATCCAGGTCAGGACTGATCCAGACCTGAGCCTAGTCATTTCTTATGTAAGATAAACATCACTGTATCTTTAAGAACGCACGCATCATTTATCAATACGGATACGTAAACTGCGTAGTTATGCCTCCGCCAAAATTAGCCTCTGCATTTACGTGTTTTTGGCGCAGGTTTGTCATAGAAAAAAATAAAAATGCGGTGGTACCTGCGCGGAGTGGAGCAGAGCGGCGCCGAGGAGCACCAGGACACAAGCGGGCTCCATCTGCGAGGGTGTCCGGGACAGAAGCGCAGTCTGCGGCGAGAGGAGAGCGAGTGTGCCGCGTCAGGCTGCGGACGGAGCTGATAAACAGGCGACCAACAGGATACAGCGGAAACAGAGAGGGGCGGGGAGAGGAGGAGAGAGGAGGAGAGGAGGAGAAGGAAGTGGATGAGAGGAGAGAGAGAAGAGAGGATATGTAGACCTATGGATGTAATAATCAACAGGAGCCTCCAACTTGTAGCTCTCCACCCCCTTCAGAGTAGCTCGCCAGTGTATAATTTTAATGCCTAATTTTGTGCACTGATAAATAGATAATGGATTATGTTTTACAGAAGTCTAACTGTACCTCATCTTCAGCTTACCATTACTCTTATATTTACAAAATTTCTGGCGACCACTATAATTAGTAGTTCTATAACATTTTCGTTTTACAAAAAGTAGCCCACAGGAGGAAAAAGGTTGGAGACTCCTGAGGTACAGGGTTCCCATGGTCATCAAAATCCTGGGAATGTCATGGAAACTGAAAATGTCAGTTTACAGGCCTGGAAAAGTCATGGAATTTTGTAAAATCAATAAACGTTTTGGAAAAGTCATGGAGTTTTAGTTTCTCTTTCTCGCAACTACAGCGTTCTGTTAAGTTTTCATTAGGCTATTATAATTATTTCTGAACATATGCGCCTTTTGTTTAAAAGAGACGACAATAAATGCACTGACAGTATTTGGAATGTTAAAAAACTATAAAACCAAACCATAAGGTGAGTGGAAAGGGTTAACATTTAATATTTATCCCTAAAAGTATGATCAATTCTACACGTGTAGGTGATGTAAATTCATGGAAAATTCACTTCAGGTCATGAAAAAGTGATGGAAAATTTTTGAAATTTTGTCAGTGAAAAAGAGCGGGAATACTGCAGGTAGTGCTCTATGACATTTTGGTTTTGTAAAAGTAGCTCACTAGAGGAAAAACATTGAAGACCTATGATATTTAACATATATGGGCGGGTTTAGACCTGGTTTAATGTTGCTTGAGTTTTGGCTTAGTCCTGGTTTAGTCCTGGTTCAGTCCTGGTTTAGACCTGGTTTAGCCCTGGTTTAGTCCTGGGTCAGTCCAGGGTCAGTCCAGGGTTAGTCCTGGTTTAGTCCTGGGTCAGTCCTGGTTTAGTCCTGGGTCAGTCCTGGTTTAGTCCTGGTTTAGACCTGGTTTAGTCCCTGGTTTAGTTCCTGGTCAGGGTCAGTCCTGGGTCAGTCCTGGTTTAGTCCTGGTTCAGTCCTGGGTCAGTCCTGGTTTAGTCCTGGTTTAGACCTGGTTTAGTCCTGGATCAGTCCAGGTTTAGACCTGGTTTAGTCCTGGTTTAGATCTGGTTCAGTTCAGTTCCCTCTTAAAAAATCCCCACTACACCACTGGTAGGACCAACCCCTCACAAAGCAGCACTTATGGATATTTACTTGGAGAAAATGACCAACTTTAAATGAAGACACAGTTTTTTGTTTTTTTTCATCAGTTTGTTGTTTATTGAAAGTTTCACTGAATGAACACAGCAGGAGGAAGGGGGGGTGGGGCGTCTCCATAGCAACAAGTCACACAAACCAATCAGCTGCAGTTATCAGTGACATCATTAACGTAAACTCAAGAAATCGACAAATCAGCTGCAGTATTCAGTGACATCATAAATATTAGAGAAATAATAAACCGTAATAATAAAACACTTTCACCATGGTTACGGGTGGAGACACAGGAAATGACATCACACATACGCCAAAAGTGTAAAAAGGAAGGAAGGAGGCAGTTTGAACTTAATTTCACCACCCATTCTTGCTGGTAACAGATACTTTGTACATCCCTAATATTGCAATCTTGTCCATCCCTTATTTCTAATTCCAGGAGTAAAATTGATTTCCTTCCCTTAAAGGTGCATTGAGTAACTTTTCTGGCTGATTTTCTCCATGGAAACATTATTGCTTGGTCTAAGATGTTTCACAGTATGGCATTAAACCATCCTATCTTCATGGAAACCAAACCAGACCAAGTTAGGGGTCAGATCTGTGTCAGAATGCCTGTTTTAATAGGCATTTTTGAGCTATAAAACCACCTGTAATTGAATAAGAGCTGTTTAAAGTCATACTGTGGAACATTCAGGCAGAGCAATAACAACCAACAACCAAAAAGTTACACAATACACCTTTGAGAATTTAAGAACTTGGAAAAGCATAACAAAAATAATCTAATAATACTAAATAATTTCCCTTTACAACCTAGTATCTTTAGATTTATGTCCCTTCAAATTTATTATATTAACTGGAGAGTTAAAATAAATAAATAAATGAAATTAACGTAAAATAAGGATGTATCTCTCAGTCAGAGGGGAGGGGGCAGTTCACTGACACTCTGAAATTTTACAACACGAGCAGAAACACAGCACCATGCACCACTTCCCCAAAATCCATCCATCAACCACACGAGCTGGAAGCTGATTGGCCCAGGACTCCACCAGTCACAACACTGGGTTTGGCAGAAACAGGGAAGTCCCGCTCAACAATTTATTTTTTTAAATAAATATTTTACAACTTAAAGTGCAATAAATGATACAGACATTCTTTTAAATGTCTTGGTGATTTTTTTAAATATAAGTTTATTCAGGCTTCAAGTCACGACAACTCTTAGAACTTATAAAAGACATGATTGACATTTTCTCTATGTTTTTCTGTAATATTAACTACTAATTCAGCCTGTTTTAAATTAAAGGTGCACTGTGTAACTTTTCTGGTGGAGGGTCTCTCATCTGCTTGTCTCCATGGAGATGTCGTTGCTTTGTCTGGAATGTCCCGGTATGGCATTCAACATATCCATCTAACCAAGTTTTTATAGGCTTCAAAACTTGCATTCTTACTGTGAGGAGTGGGCTCGCCTCTCCACAGATCTGACATGTAACCTAGCCCTGTAGCATCACCAGCTGTTACTGTAGAGATAAATTACTATAATGACATACTGTGGAACATTTAGGGCAACACCTCTGAAGAGAAACAGGTGATGAATCCTCCACCAAAAGTTACTCTAAAAAATAAATATTGTGCATATTTGTGTTGTTCAGGTGCATCATGGGAGTTGAAGTCTTCTAATATTCTCAGCTTTAAAACTAGGCTGTACATTTTTTATACCCGCAACTGACCACGATATTATTCTTAATCGATAAAGATCATTTGATATTATAAAGTTTGTACAATTTAATATTAAAATAAAGACATTTTGTAGTTGTTGAGCGGGACGTCTCTTCAGAGGAATGTAACACACAGCAGAGACAGGGCAAAACTTTGAAACTGGCGGCCATTTTGGATCCAGCAGGAAGTTAGGATCAGACTGGGTTCAAACATGGGCTGAATGACATCACTTCCTTATTATATTTACATGCAGCACACATGACTTATCAGAAACAAAAATAAATAAAAAACAGGAAGCTGTTTGAGGCAGTGGTAGGTTTAGAGCTGGTGTTGTTTCTATTCTATCTCCTCAACGTCTCCAGTTTGTCTCAATCTGGAAATATAGAGAAATTATGTAAGCATAGACTGTTTATATAAATCAGGGGTCACCAAACTTTTTTCTCTGGGGGCCACATTATCACTCCTGACTGTGATGGGGGGCCAGGGTCTGGTCGGCCGTATAACAGAATTGTTTGACCCTGATGACGCAGATTATATTCTTTGAAAACTGTCACACTTTTTTTTACATATCAGACAAACTGCACGGTCCTTATACTGAACAAAAATAAATAAAAAATCAGTCGTCCACTGTTCTTTGAAAACTCAGCACTGTTTGTTAACTTTTTATATTTTAACACAAGCCATTTTGCGGTCCTTAACTGCACTACAAAACTCTATGCGTGCGTTGACACTTTTTGATCTTGAGCAAAATGTAAATATGTCATATAATCAGTTAAATATAAATATAAATTCTTCATATAAATACCATTTTATTACTGAAAAAATCAACAAAATACAATGTTATTATTTGCCAAAAAGTATATAAAAAAATAAGCCATAAAGTTTTGAGGATTGCCTTATGGGGCCAGTTCAGGTGGTGGGAGGGCCAGAGTCAGCCCGCAGGCCTTAGTTTGATGACCCCTGATATAAACATAGCTAACCCAATAGATGCCGCATTCCGATTAGGAAGTGAAGATGGGGGCACTTCTGGCTCCACTGACTCTTGAAAATTGTCACTGCTTTTGTAGCTGCTGCTGTCAACCTCGAATTTTGGGTCTTAAAATGTTCATATTAATCCACTCTACATGATCCTGGTGTTTTCATTTTCATTTGCCCATAAATAAATTCCTATTTCTAATCTGGACATGGCTCCAGCTCTGCTCTTATAACTGCTAGCCCCTGTGAGCTTTATTTGACTGGAGATAAAGTCTATGGGTGAAGTCACACTCACTTTGTCCACTTCTTTATACAGTCTATGGATGTAAGATAGAAATCAGCATCATACTCTATCTAGAAACATCTTTGCTCCAGCTCTGCACCTGTCGTCCTCTCCAGCTCTGCACCTGCCACTTTTTCTTTTTTTGAGCCCAGTCTGACCTACTTCGCCTCATCTGAATAACCCGGGGGCGTGGCTTATTGAAATAAACGCTGCTATTAGATAATATAGAACATCTGTCACAAACATACATTCGCCCATAGTTCATATCAATAACATTATCATCTATACACGCACTGGGCTGGACTTTTGGTGCTTTAGTCATTTACACATTGATTATAGTGAACATCTAAAGGTCCCACCCACCCAAGGCAAAAACCCCAAACCCTGAACCACACCAATTTGTACCCCCCTCCCAGACCCCAGACCCAACCCCCACCCAAATCTCCATAACCCCAAACTCTCAGAACAGACAGAACAGAGAGAAGCGGAGCAGGCTGTAGCCCAGTGGTGCTTCTTCACTCCAACGCTTTCTGAAAAATAAATAAAAATGTGTATTATTAATCTAATGAAGGAATACGTCGAGATAGAAACAGAAACCAGCAAGTCTTTCTTTTGCAAGTCCCAAACAAGTCTCAAGCCTGTGGTCACATGTCCACATGTCTTACCGACAGGTAAGTCCAAGTCAAGTCCTGAGTCAAAGATAGATAAGTCCAAGTCAAGTCCTGAGTCAAAGATAGATAAGTCCAAGTCAAGACCTGAGTCAAAGATAGATAAGTTCAAGTCAAGTCCTGAGTCAAAGATAGATAAGTCCAAGTCAAGTCCTGAGTCAAAGATAGATAAGTCCAAGTCAAGTCCTGAGTCAAAGATAGATAAGTCCAAGTGTCAAGTCAAGTCAGAGTCAAAGATAGATAAGTCCAGTCAAGTCCTGAGTCAAAGATAGATAAGTCCAAGTCAAGACCTGAGTCAAAGATAGGTAAGTCCAAGTCAAGTCCTGAGTAAAAGATAGACAGGTCCAAGTCAAGTCACGAGTCAAAAATAGGCAAATCAAAATCAAGTCCTGAGTCAAAGAAAGGAAAGCCCACGTCAGGTCCTGAGTTACAGATAGGTAAATCCAAGTCGAGTCCTGAGTCAAAGATAGAAAAATCCAAGTCAAGTTCTGAGTCAGTGCCTCACAAGTCCAAGTCAAGTCCTGAGTCAAAGATAGGCAAGTCCAAGTCAGGACCCCAAGTCCAAGTCAAGTCATGACAGGAATGAAACAGTATCGAAAATCTCATGCTATTTCTTTTTAACTGCCCGGTAGAGACCTTTGTGTGAATCATTAGTCATAACTCTCAGGTTTAAGATTTTAGTAGTTTGTTTGTTTGGTTGTTTTTGTTTCTTTTTTTGAGAATCAAGTCATCTTAAGTCAAATCATGACCTCTGCCAGTGATAAACCACACAGGAAAAGGTCTGACAAAGGAAATGCAGAGTGGTGCTGTCCATGGTGCTGAAATATTGTGCCTTCTGCTTACTAGAATTGCTCCCCAGCTTCTTCCAATATCAGACTGTTTTTGGTTTAGGTATCTAACTACCTAAATACAATTCAGATCAACCAACACCAATCACCTCACTCCCCTCATTAGAACAAACCTCATTACAGTATTTCAAATCTCTACTAAAACTCATCTATTCAATCTGGCACTGCTGTTTTCAAGTATTTCCTAATGTGGCTTATTGTTTGTAAAGCGTCTTTGAGTACCCAAAAAAGCCCTGTATAAGTCTGATGTAGTATAATAATAATAATAATAATAATATTTATTATTATTATTATTATTATTATAAACAAGGAGCCTGCCAGTACTAATCCAGTGTCGGTGCTGTCCGTGGTGCTGAAAGAGTCCTTCTGACGCATAAAAGAACAAACAGAACTGATGTGGTGCAGAGAGCATGTTCTCACTTGTCTTGGTGAAGATTTAATCTTGGATGTGTTATTTATTTCAACACTGAGAACGTGTCAGAGCAGCCTATAGTGTGAGATGGACAATCACTACTGACACAAACTAACTATTCGATCTAATATTTTTGGGTTGTCTGTTTGAATATTTATTTTAAAACACTGTCCAAACTATATATTTACACAGGCTCTTGTCTCATCTGAAACTGGTGGTGGTGCTGTCCATGGTGCTGAAAACCTCTAGGATTCTCTCTCATGTGCTGCATGAATGAATGTAAATATTTGCTCACCTGTCTGTGCGAATTCTAGGCTCACATCTGATTGGAGAATGAGGTGGGCGCCCCCTGTTGGCCATAGCCCTGTCCGTACTCTGCATCCTGCAAAACCATAAAAACCATACATTAGTATTAATGAATAGACAGAATATAATATCCATGCATTAAGAAACAGTGAATGCTGTACAGTAGTTCAGCTGCTACAGGGTGAGGGACAAGAAGAAGAACAAGGAGGGAGTTACAAAGCTTTAATATTTTTCTGATGTACAAATATGACACAGCTGTTTATATGGTAGCATCAGGAGATTTATAACAGGGTCAGGTCAAACATTCACACAGATTAAATGTGGAGCTTTACAACCAAGTCAATCTGACTACAAATATTCTTTATATTAAAACACACACACACAAATCACCAAACAGGTTTTAGCTTATTTTTAGTTTTTTATGAGAGAAAAACTAAAAACATTAAAACATAAAAGCAAGCTCACAATGTTACTTTGGCCATATAAAGCCCTTTTAAAAGGTGGTAGCAGGTGATACCTGGTTGTATCCTTGCTGGTTGTAGTCAGGCTGGTAACCCCCCTGTCCTGAGGCATAGGGGTCCTGCTCATACGCCCCCTGTTGGCCGTATGCGTCTGGAGCAGGTTTGGTCTGAGGAGGAGGAGCTCTCATGAACGGGGCGATGATTCCAGTCTCCTTAAAGACGAACCAGAGGTTTCCAGCCCACAACACCAGGTTTATGAAGCCAAATGCCTGAGGACAAGAGAAAGGGATGAGCCAAAACATGCACCTGACAGGCAAAAAAGAGGGAACAACAACCCAAGAACTGAAGTACTTCTGAAGTTGTAGAAAAACTCTGAAACCTCAGTACCTGGGGAGGCTCTAAAGCTAATGTAGTGTTTTTGCTCTATCAGGATCTGTGACTATGACTTTAACTCAACAGTAACTAAAAACCTGTAACTCACACTTGTACAAATAAATGCACATTTTTGAGTTTCATTAATTTCATGAACTTGATATAATAAGTACTCTACTCTCCATGGAGATTATTATAGTTTTGTCTAGAATGGCCAGGTTTGGCATCAAAAGGTATCCATGTTACATTTACTCAATAACATGGGTTTTTATTGACCTAAAAATTTCTGTAAGTGGTCTCGCCTCTCCATAGATTTTACACATAACTTGGCCCTACTATGTGAACTGCTGTGTCCGTAGAGATAAATACATGTAATAGCACACTGTAGAAACATTCCAAGCAGTATCTCCATTGAGAGAAACAGGTGACGGACCCTCCACCAGAAAAGTTACACAGTGTTCCTTTAGCTCCCAAGTAAAAGTACTGACCACAGAGGTGTTGAGTCCGGACATGACGGGGTCGTGCACTTCTTTACAGCGGTTGGCTTCATTGTCACAGGCCTGGATCAGAGTCACCACCTTCTCCGGGTCTGTGGCTGTTTTCACATCAGACAAACCCTTGGCCCAAGCAGCAGAAGAAACCAGCCACATGAAGGCGAAGAACGCAGTCACACCGAGGTCCTACACACGCCAGAGGAGAGGTTCATTATTACTACAGCCCAAAGAGTTCAACTTCAAATTAACTATAAATGCACCAATCTGGAAAGTCTAGAATAATAAAATATTTGAGATGCCTGATTATGGCAAAAATCTCAATCTCGATTATTTGGCTCTTAACGGAAATCACAAATATTTTAAACAATTACTTTTGAACTGTCAAAATGTACGTCTAAAAGTACAGAGTATAGAAAATTTAAATTTGTAATTATTATTCACCTTTATTTAAAGCTCCTGTTTTACACATAATTGACTCTTGTGAGATTTAAACCATGTTGGAAAGTTGTTACCTGCTGCTGCTGCTGTTGCTACTACTACTACTACTACTGCTACTACTACTACAACTACTACTACTATCACAACTACTGCTACTACTACTGCTACTACTACTACTACTTCTGTCACAACTGCGGCTACTAATACTACTACTACTGTCACAACAACAACTACTACTACTACTACTACTGCTACTACTACTTCTGCTACTACTACTACTGCTACTACTACTACTACTAATGTTGCTAATACTACTGCTACTACTACTACTACCACCTAGATCAGAAAAGAGCATAATATGAGCTCATTGTCTTTGTAATAACACTGCTTAAACCTAGAATCTCTCTTCGCTTTCCCATCTGGAGTATTTCATTTCAAACTCACAATGAGGGGTCCTTTGTTGCTCTCCTTGTACTTCTCGTAGAAGAAGACATAGACGCTGAGAGCAGCAGAGGCATAGAGGAAAGCAAACACTCCGATCGTCACAAAGAACTCGGCTGAAGAAGAGTAATCTCCCACCAGGAAACACCGCTCTGTGTTCCCTCCCCGACAAGTGGGGGCGTCGAAGTACACCTGGTGCAGTCTACAGCAGAAGATCAAGACAGATTATTACATTATTTTGTAGTGACATCATGTTGGGGGTGTTCTACATGTATCTGTATCTGATGTGCAGCAGTTACTATGGTGACACAGGGCACACATTAGCAAACACTGTTAATAACGTAAGATCGTCTAAAAACCCAGCACATCTTCAGAAGCCTGTAATGGGCTGATATGAGCATTCATGGTCCAGTTTTAGGTGTTTGATTTTCAACAAAAATGTGAGAGTGACTAACTGAAAAACTGCTGGCTGATGCTAACTCGCTTGTGATTGTCATTTTAAGTGTGACCAACAGCACAAATCATCTGGTCATGGCCAACAGTCACATTTTTATACAGTGCTTTTCTATTTTCAAGGTACTCAAAGCACCTTACAAGAAGGAACCACTCACCCATTCACACACACATTCATACACCAGCGTACGCAGACACTTGGGGCGATATAGGTTAAGTTCTTGCCCAAGGACACAACGACAGCATTCATCTGATGTTTCTTTTTGACCACTCAACGAATTATATTTTTTGTCAAGAAAAGGATTCGGACCGCCAGACTAAGGCCCCGTCCACATTAGTATGTATTCGAGTCGTTTTCGTTGTGGATGCAGTGTTCGTCCACTGGAAAACAGTTCAAGAGACCTAACGATCTGATGCCGCCAGCTCCCACGAATTCATTTGAGTACGAATCTGATCTGGAAACATGTGGATGCCTGAAAACACTGATACGCTGAAACGCTGATGTAGGTCTATGCGCTGCGAAATAATTCACTGCCAAAACGCTAAAAGGCTAAAATATATGTCCATTCATAATTACGGTCTATGCGTATGACCTGCAGACGTATAATCTCTGAAAAGTTTAACATGAACCATCTCCAGAAGAAGCACAGAACAGACTCACCATCAGCAGAACACCCCTCTGTCACAGAAAAAACACATATAATCCACTGAGTCATGTCCTTTAGTCTGACAGAAGCTGAACTGCATCAGCACACAATAGCGAGCTGTTTTTTTAAGCGCTTAGTTTATGTAAATTAGCCATGTGGTTTTAAGTTTCATTTCTGTAAAACGTAAACAAATATGCTCAAAGTTGTGGATAGGGAAGGCTTGCGAACATAGAAACAATGTGTCTGGACGCAGATTGTTTCCGATATGGAGATACGTGGATTCGTTCCAGTGTAAACGTAGTCTAAGTTTATGGTGAGATTGTGTTAAAGTAAAGCTCAGATTAAAGTCTAACAAGCCTCAGACAGAGCAGTGCCTACAGTCAGCATCACACCCCCAGAGAATGTGGACGACATCAGCTGCAAAGTATCAGCAGAAAACATTTGAATGCCTGATCATAAAGTTCATATGTGAAAAAAGTTGCAGTTGTTCCGCCTCTTTTCAGATAACCCCTCCTGATTGGTCAGTGGAGATGATTGACAGGTGGCTGTGTCTAACCTGAATGGATACTCAAACTCCACCTCGATTTTCAGGTCACTCTCTGTGCGGTTTTTACACTCCACGGCCATCCGGAACATCCCCGAGTAACTGCCACAGGTGGAGAAGGCAAAGATCGCGAAAAACTGCCAAAAAACAAAACAAAACACAAATATTTCAACAGAATATAAGATGCAGCTGTAAACAAGACACGGGGTGAATGGAGAATGTTCTGAAGTGACCAGAATGAGATGAAAATGAAAATTTGGCATCTCTTTGTACTGCAAAAATGCAAAATCTTCTTGAGTTCAAATCTGTGTAAAACAAGATTTATGGATGTTTTCAGGTGTTTTGTCTGGTTTGAGTGTTTTTTTTTTTTTTTCTCAAACTGTATTTATTAGTTTTGCAAAAGTAATATACAATGACATTTATTTTATTACATTCCCTCACAAATTTAAATAAAATGAATGCTTTTAAACTAATTATTCTGTCAGCAAAGCAAGATTCTTTGAGTTTTTTTTAGCTGATCATTTGAGTAGAAGAGTTAGAAAATATGATATAAACATGTCAAAAAGACTGAATAAATCTTTACAACTCATAAAACTATTTAAAAAAAAAAAAAAAAAAAAGAAGAAGAAGATTGATTTGATTGATTTTGGTGGTGGGTCCGCTACCTGCTTGTCTCCATGGAGATGTTATTGCTTTGCCTGGAATGTTCCATAGTATGACTTTAAACAAATCCATTTCATTACGAGTGTTTCTATTGCTCAAAAATACATAATTCCTTCTGTGAATAGGGGTGACTCTCCACAGATCTGAACTGTAATGTAGTGTAGCGCTGTAACCTGCTTGTCTCCCTTTTGATAGGCAGGTTTAATCTATACTGTGGAACATTCTAGACAGACTAATAATGTTTCCATGGAGACTAGCAGGTGGCGTACCCTCCAGTAGAGATGTTAGACAAAATAAGTGGGCCAGGCTGTATCTTTTTCAGGCCTGTTCAGGTGGAGATAACTTCAGTCTAAAGTTTGAGCAGTGACCTCAGAGTCAGCAGCTGTTTGTCTGTTAAAAGGGAAAAGTTTGGTGTAACTCTGCAATATCATGACTCACCATCTGCACACAAACGCTGAGTCACAGTCTGTATCCTTCTTCTCTAAATTTATTATCTACTGTCCAAAAAAAAAAAAAAAAAAAGGAAAAAAAAGAAGAAGCTACACCCACCAATATCTACAAACGGTGGTCAGAATCTGAAACCTTTCCCCAAACCAGGACCAGGACCTTGGGGATAAAGTGGTTTCCAAGGCGACAGACCAGGAAACGCCCCTCTAATGCTGTTGCTATAGGAGACAGACCCCTCCCATAGCTCTGGTGTTTCCATGGAGACTGCTCTAGCTCCTCCCACTGTTGCAGTTCTTGTTTTAAATGGACAGAGTCTGACTGGGACCATCTGTTCTCTGGGTCTGGGCCAGAACCGGTTCTGGGTGGTTTTCAGCCGGTTCTGAGTGTTTTCTATTATTACCTGAAGATGAGAATTTCTTAAGTTGAAAAGGAGGAAAAAGTACGCACCTTTAAGAATGTATTTAGACAAAACCGGGAGCCCAGAGAATAACAACACTATATAATAATAATTATAATAATAATAATAATAATAACTATAATAATACTAAACTTGGGTTAGGGATAGGTGGGCCTCGAAGGTACTTGCTTGTCTCCAAGGAGATCTTATCTTTGCCTGGAATATTCCATAGTAGGGTATTAAACATATATTTCAATTACAGCTACAATTATAGCTCAAAAATAACTTCAGACCTGTCTATTTATTTCCATACTGTGCAATAATCAAGGCCTGACAATAATATCTCCATGGAGGCAAGCAGGTGGCAGACCCTCCACCAGAAAAGTTACACAGTGGAACTTTAATGGAATGTCCAACTCTGAAACACTGATCCAGGACTAAATAAGAAACAATACAAGCCCAGGCTGATCTTTTAATGGTCAGTATATGGACAAATAGTCTGACCACATGTAAAATTTCACATTGGGAGCTTTAAAACAGTGTGCGGATTTTGAATTATTCCTGTTCATCTGATCCTGTTGGTCCTGCACCTGCACTTGGCTGATGTGCACGCATTTTTTCTTCTTTTGCACATATAAAATGTTTCAGCTTTTTGAAGTAGAGCTGCTATGGGGTGCACCAATCTAATACAGGTATCGGATATCAGAGCCAATATAAATATAAAAAAGACTATTTACTGGTTGTAGTCGGCTCAGAAAGTCTCATAATATTTAGACTTTCATTTATACAAAGTTGTTCTGTAGTTATTTAACGGCCACATAAGACACTTGGATCAGTTCTGTCTTTTTTTAGTTTTGTTTTAAGGAAGTATATAATCAGTTGATATTGGATATCAGCAGACATTTAAAGCTATGGAACTGAATTTGATATTGGAACTGAAAAAGCTGGTTATGTGAATCCCTAGATATAACCCTTTATCCCACATCTTGTATTTTTCACTAATTCAGACATTTTGGGTTGAGTCACAGTAAGTGTAGGTTGAGATCTTAACACTTCTAATAATATTGTTTATTTCATGAAGAAAATGTCACTGATCAAAATATGTATGATTTAATGTGAGATACTATATGGTGAAAAACACTCACCCATTCCAGGACCTTGATGAAGCCCAGAGGGACTTTGATGACTCTGAACTGACCCTGGGCCACCAGCTGAAACAGAAACACACACACACAGACACACACAGTCGCGGCACATGAGTAAACAGGTGCTGTAGATATTAATATGGACTACAATAGAATGTGAAATCTTTGTAGCTACAGCCAAAAAACTCTCTCTCCATCTGTGTCCCAGGAGCCGAGAAGAAGAAAATCCTAAAGAATGCACTTTCTGTATGAATTTTAAATGGAAGTAAAATTGTTGGTTTTGAAGTTTGAAGTGAGTTTTGGAGAGTTGTAGTAACTAGAGATCGGCCGATATTTTTTATTATTTTGAGTGCAGCTACCTCTTTGTAATAAACTGTTATTATAAAGCTTTGTGTGTATTTTTTAGGCAGCAGATCGACCAAAACAAAATATGGACCTGTGCTGGAGATTTAGGGACCATAACTGATAAGATAAAAAGTCCAAATAATCCAACCGATATTTCAATCTAGTAACTGTTTACCAGAGACAGTATACAGGAGTGGACTTTAGGCCATTCTATAGTTCTGCGTCAACCCAACGCACACCACCCCCATCGCCTTGTTGGCATCGTTTCTGATTTATGGATCTGCGTCGTGGTCTGTGCACCGCAAAGTAATTCGCCGCCACAAGACTTGGAGGCTAGGACTTTAAAATGGCGTACCAATAATGGAGTACCGGAATTGTATGTAGGGCTGATGTAAAGAGGACCAATCACAGCCCTTAATGTCTGCGTCACTTCCCCTTGCTGTCTGCGTTGAATCGACACGTAGTTACAAAATTTTGGAGGTGTATATCGGTCGACGCAGATGCTCTGTGGAGGGGATTCAACACAGACTCTCTATGTTGTGACAGACGATTTGACGTTCGAACATAAATTAGGCTTAAGGGAGTGTGACGCCACTCAAAGTGTTCAGCTTCAGTCAAACGAAGCTCACGGGGCTAGCAGTTATAGGAGAGAATTTGGAGCAGAGTTACATATTAGTAATACAAATGTATTTACAGGCAAAATAGCAAAATAAAAACACCAGGATCATGTAGAATGGACTAATAAGAAAATTTTAATGTCTAAATGACGAGGCTTACTGCAGCAGTTACAGAGAGAGAGGCGACAATATTCCAATGTAAAGTCAATTGGAGCCAGAGTAGATGGAGCTAGAAGTGCCCCCATGAACATTTCCGATTTGGAACACGGCGCCTATGGCATTAGCTATGTCCATTTATATATACAGTCTATGCTTTTCTTTCTTTGCTCACTCTTTAGTGGTGAGATACTGCATCACAGACAGACAGATACACCATTCTGTCCCTCTGCCTATTTATTACAGAGAGCCAAGGTGAAGTCTAACACAGGGACACAAGAGAAGTATGTGATACCTTTAAAGCACAAAGATTTGGGTTCCTTAGCAAATATCTGTAAGTGAGAATCCACCATTACCATTCACCATTTCTGAAGCCCTGTTTGTGTGAAAGCAATGGTCCAGATGGTACTGCATGCAGAACACAGTGAACGAGGTGTGGAGACTGCACTTACAGAGATACTGAGCTGAGACGTGACAGCGAAAAGCTGTGCAGCCATTCAGAGGTTCTGCTTTTGTTGTGTCTTATTCCCACAGGGCGCACTGCTCTTATGGGTAAAATTTGTATTAAAGGTCTCATTATTATTACTCAAAATGGATTCTTGTGAGTTTTAAGTTATGTTATAATGTTGTTACCTCCTCAGAAACATACCCGGAGTTGTGTTTTGTTTCATTCACACTTGTTTGAGTAACCCTTTATTATAAGTTTGTCTACATCTACAGAGAAGAGTTCAGCCTAAATATGCAGGGTTTGTGTGTTAAACGTGTGACTGAAACAAAACACAGCTCCGGGTTTGTCTGTGATGAAGAAACAACATTATAACAGATCAGAAAATAGTGTAAAATGGGCCCTTTAAATGACTATATTTATGATGAACTATAACATTCACACAATAAACTGGGACAGGTCCGACGTAGTAAGATAAACGTATTTGCAGATGAGAGTGCAGTCTGATTGATTGTATTGAAACAAAAGTCTGGGAGGTATTGATTTCTGCTCAGTTTCACACACGGCTGTCCCTCCTTAACCTTTAACTGGGAACATGATACAGCTTCAACCATCACAGACTGGAGTGAGTGACCATATAGACGCAATATTTACAACAAATAAAGCTGATTTGGTAGTCTTTTATTTTACTTAAAGGTGCACTGTGTAGCTTTTCTGGAGAGGGTCCACGATCTGTTTTGTCTCCATGGAGATGTTAATGCTTTTGTATGGCATTAAACTAATCTATCTTGAATTCATTGAGATACAAGTGTTATTTATTGCTCAAAAATATCTTTAAAAAACATGAATTCTTACTGTAAGTGTGGTTGCCTCTCCACAAATCTAACCTGTAATTTGGCTGGCAAGTCTCCATGGTGATTCTCAGGTTCATGGCCATACTGCGGAACATTCTAGGCACATCTCCAAGAAGACGAGCAGGTGACGGACCCTCCACCGGACAAGTTACACAGTGGAACTTTAAACTTTTGATCTAAAGGTCTAAGAAAATAAAGATTCACTGTGTAACTTCTGCGGTGAAGTGTCTACCACCAGCTTGTCTTCATGGAGATGTTATTGCTTTGCCTGGTATGTTCCCCATTATGACATGAAGCACATCTACTGTATTTCCGTGGTAACAGGCAAGTAACCAGGCCAAGTTACAAGTCAGATCTGTGGAGATGTTACCCTCCTTACAGTATGAATACATGTTTTTCGTTGAACTTATGAGCGATAAAATTGTATTACAAGTAAGATTTAAGTTTAATATCATACTAAGGAACATTTGAAAGCAATATCATCTCCATGGAGACAAGCAAGTCACTAACCCTCCACCACAAAAGTTACACAATGCAACTTTAAAACAGAATTTGATTAGACATGTTAAATTATGAACTCACTGTTGTTATATTTAAGTATTTATGGTAGAGGTAAATACATTCTCCTAATGTTAAAAAGACAGGATAGGGATATTTGGATTATAATTTATTACGTTACGTATATTATTATATATTATAGAAGGCACATGACATTTTTTATTCCTATTTATAGTGAGGAAAATATAACAATTTTAAGAGAAAATTTGTCAAATATTGATATGAAAACAAAAAAATCATAGCTATAAAAAGGCCACTCTAAATCCAGTTACAGGATATATTATTTTGTATTATAACATGGGTTTGTGCAAACTTTGGGGGGAAAAAAATACTCTATTTCTTTCACCAAGTTTCAAAAAAATACAATTATCACGAAACTGAATCAAAACAACTGGATTTATTAAATGTTTATAGCCCCCTTTTTTTGGATAATACTGTATATTATTCCTGGACGCCTCAAGACCTGCTTTAATTAATTATAAAATACAATGTTTATATCATTATTATTATTATTGGCATCAACATAGATCACCTTATTCTAACGAGTCAAATTCCCTTCCCAAAATGGTCTTTATTGGTGATCATTTCAAACATCTTAATAAATCCGCTCTTGTTTACTGTTCAGACAAAATGGTGAATTAATAGGAAACGTCTGGGGCTGTTTACTCGTTGCGTACACTCCATAAATGCCCTTCTGACGGAACTTGTATGTAACCTACGGTCTAATCACGCGCGCGTAAGACAAAGCACGGGGTTTACTACGTTTATTACTACGTTTATTACATAATACTTGGTTCAAACGAGGTTTAATCTGTGCACGATCACGATACAGAGCTCAGCATCAGCACCATCGCGAGCTGACTCCTCCTCTCTCTCTCCCCCCACCGCTCCATCCTCTGCGCGCATCGGGTGCCATTTTAAGACCGCACACACAGTCACACAAACACGGACGATTCGAGCATAAAAAACACAATATTGTTTTCATTTGACAATATATTTCCCCAAAGGTTCAGCTCACCATTTCAAATACGTTTACATCACGCGAAAAAACATGTTAAATGAGTCGAGAATCGCGTAAAATTCTGCATCTCCGTCTTCTATGTAAACCAACAAGACGCGCGAGATTGGCAAAATTGGCTGAAAAATTTAACGTGTAACATCATCGCATTTTTACGGATTTCATTAAAATTTCTTGATGTATTTGATTGAAGACTGGAGACGAGACAGGTGAAGAGATACGTGCCGAGGTACCACGGCCTTGGACGCGTATTTGCGCTCAAAAACATGGACACAGACGCTTCCAAGAGACGATGGAGGCAATTAGCGACATAAAAAAGACATTTGGATGCGTTTTTACCTGATTTACGATGTCCATTCTGCCTCCGGTCGAATCTCACAGCACACACCGAGAAAGAGACGCGGATCGGGGCGAGAGGCAGCGAGCTCCAGCGGGAGGGAGGGGGCCGGGAGAGAGAGTGAGGCAGGGGTCTGGCATCAGCTGGGGGCCGGCCGGAAGTCGAGGATTCACGGAGAAAATTGAAGGATTATCTTAAAAAAATAATAATAATTAATCAAACGTTTTAAAATGTGATGTTGAAAATGACACTTTGAGTAGATCCGAGAAGTGTAAGATACTCCTAACGAGTTTTATTCTAGTTCTATGTATAAATATTAATTGGTGTTTGTAAAATGTCCTTAGGGATGGCGTTTGCGTCATGACGTACGTAGGAGGTGATGCCACATATAGAGGAAATGTCCAGGAAAAATACAAGATACGCTTAGAGAAGACAGAATTAGGAGCAGGTGTCAAATGAGCTCTGTCCAGTTTCTTGCTCATTGAAAAGATGAAGTTTACACTTGCAGGTTCAACCACAAAATTTGAAAAAACATGGCAGCCATTTTTAAATATATGGACACATAAAATGGGCACCATACCTTAGCATGGTTGTGTATGTTTTTTGTTTGTTTGTTTGTTTTTTAAATCTGTCACTGTGCATTTATCTGTCTTTGGATTATCTGCAGTTTTTTCATTTGTTATTATTGTTATAATAGTTTAATTTTTTGAAATTTTTTATTATTATTATTATTATTATTATTATTATTATTTTATTATTATTATTATTATTATTTCATTAATTAATTTTATTTTAGTTTATTTTGTTTGTTTTGTTTTTTCTTGGGGTTATTTTTGGAAAAAAATGCACAAATATGATGTTTGGTATACATACTTTGTAATTTGCTATCAAAATGTATAAATAAAATTGTAAAAAAAAAAAAAAAAAAAAAAAAAAGATGAGCTCTGTCCCATCTGCTTGATATTTTTTTGTAATAACATAAGAGATTTTTTAACGTGGACATCTACAGAAATAAAATAATGTTTAGGATACAGGAGTGTGCTTTCACAGGGCATCCCGAAGACTATAGATCTGCACTAAGAGGTGATATAGGCCTATCCATTTGGCTGAGTTTCATATTGCATATCATTGGTAAAGGCTGAAATACACTTTATAATCCAGACATAGATATTGAACGGGTCCATAATGGTATTGTATATGGTAATACAGATATAAAAAGTACTGTTTGCATTGCGTTTAATTCGGGTATCCATTGTTCTGTAAACAAATGCACTGTCAACGTCGAAGTATTCTTTCCATCACTGGATACTTGATACCTCTGAGCTTGTGGATAGAGATAGACTGATAAGAGTTTTTTCATGGCCGATGCTGATAATGATTGTTTATAATTCAGAGAAAACCATGGCTGATAAGGTCTGCTGATAGTTTCGGTAATTTAAATATAAATGGCTAAACGTGAACCCAGGAGAAATTTGGATTTACTGGTTCCAACTTTTGTGAAACTGCAACAATAAACACATACAGAAATTGGCTATTAATATCAGTGCCGAATAATGTTTACAAATTATAAATAGCTCCAACAATTAAAGTTACAGTGAATTTAAGTAGTTCACATCACAGTTAGCATAGCAAAATTTGCGGACTAATTTACATAACAATGATGCACCAAAAACATGCTAATTAGAACACTGCAAACACAAAAGGCAATATTATAGTTGTATAATTATGCTTTACCATGTAATACTTCCAGGCGACGCTTAAACAAACACCAAAAGAGAAACAGCAGAATAGAAAAGTGACTATTTTGATGAAGGGAGGCCTGACTAACAACTTCCGGTCTAACTTTCTTCTTCTACTGTTATTACTAAAAGAGTACTCAAATATGTGTGAATGAAACAAAACACAACTTCAGGTATGTTTTTGAGCAAGTAATTACATTATAACTTGTCTTAAAGCTCACAAGAATCCTTTTTGTGTAATATAGGACCTTTACACACCTAACAGTCTCAAAGTCCTAACAGGCAAAGGAGAAATTCAGTTTGTCAACTGGACAAAGTTTCATTGGTTGAATATGTTTCACAGCTCAACCAAGCTGCTTCTTCAGTTCTGGTCTGAATGCTGGTGAGTACTTCCTTATATCTGTCTGCAGAAGCTAACTACAATGAAACTACTCTGAAACTAACACACCTACTTGTTTACAGTTTTAGTTCATTTCTGTTAGTTAAAGTCCTAACACCTAAATACCAATTCAGCTTTCATGATTTGAGTTAAACACCAGATCCCCGAGTCATTGTACATCTCACACTTTCATATAAAAGATTCAAATAATCCACAGATTTCAGTATAACAACAATTGTGCATTATATTGTGTTCTTCAATTATGTTGTAAAGCCACTCAAAGCACCACATTTGGTCATTACTCATTTACTTCTACATTCACACCAAAGTCATATAGGCAAGGAAGGTGAAGTGTCTTGCCAAAGGACACAACAACAGCATGGACTAGGTGGAGCTGAGATTGAACCATCGACTGAGCTGCTGTCTCCCTCAAAATGTATTCATGTCCTTAAAGCAGAGAAAAGTGCAGCCTTCAGGTCAGTCGTGGCTCTCTGGAAGGTTCTTTGATCTGTTTCAGTATTATTTAAAAATATGTACTATACTATCACTGAGAGATGTGTTATAAAACTGATAACACTGTATTTTATAGCTGAAAATGGGCTACAATCACATTTGTAATAGTAAAGGTTATGTGTGATTTTCCTGCTGCTATTTCCTAAGGTCAAACAGATGTGGCTCTGTCTGTCCAGATGTTGTATTCTTATTATTTTAATTACTGTACTACAGCTGCATAGACAGAGTACGACCTGCAGGGGGCGCAGTATCTCCACGACACACTTTTGAGAGCTACCTGACATTAAAGGTGCACTGTGTAACTTTTCTGGTGGATGTTTCTGCTTGTCTCCTTGGAGATTATTTCACAGTATGGAAATTAACTTGGATATCGCAACGTAAACAAGTTAATCGTCAGATCTATGAAGAAGCAAGCCCAAACATGGAAACAAACACAGAACACCTGTAATTGAATAAATGCAAGGAAGATGTTTTTAATGCCATACTGTACATCTCCATGGAGACAAGCAAGTAGAGGACCCTCCACCTTAAAAGTTACATAGTGCACCTTAAAAAAAATGTGTTTTGTGGATGCATGTTTGTGATTTGCACATTAAGGGTGCACTTTGTAACTTTTCTGGTGTAGGGTTCTACCTGCTTGTCTCCATGGAGTTGTTATTGCTTTGCCTGGAATGTTCACTAGTATGACTTTAAACATCTAGCATTTATTCATAATGGGTGTTTCTATAGCTCTAAAATCAAATAATTCCTTCTGTGAATAGGCGGAAAATTCTAGTCAAAGTAATAACATTTCCATGAAGATAAGCAGGTGGCAGGCCCTCCACTAGAAATGTTACACAGTGCACTTTTAAGAAACGAGTGGAAAGTCATTATTTGATTCAGGAACAAAAAGGAGACTCATTTCAGTCACAATTCCAACTTCAAAGTACACAAGCTACAAGACTGTGTTGACGTAGGTTTTATTTGAGGTAAAGGGTTGGAACAAGTTTTGAAAGAGCCCTTAATTTAAACCTGAAGGATTCTCTTAAAACAACAGAGACACAGGGACATGAAAAACATTAATAAACATAAATGAAATATAGAAAATATTCTTAAAAAAACAATATCACAGACTGGATATGTGAGAAGTACAGACAGAAAAATAGGTGGTGTGTTATTTTACATTTACTTCTTAAAGGTGCAATGTGTAACTTTTCTGGTGGAGGGTCCGTCAAATCAAATGCTTTTCTCCTTGGAGATATTATTGCTTTGTCTGGAATGTTTCACAGTGTGGCATTAAGCCTTTCTATCTTCATGGCGACCAAACTGGACCAAGTTACAGGTCAGATCTGGGGAGAGGCGACCCCACTCAGTCAGAATGCCTGTTTTTCTAGGTATTTTTAAGCAGTAAAACAATCTGTAATTGAATAAATGTAAGGTAAAGCTGTTTAATCATACTGTGGAACATTCTAGACAGAGCGATGCGATATCCATAGAAAAAAACAGATAACGGACCCCCAGCCAAAAAGTTACATAGTGCACGTGTTAAACTTTATAAATTCATAAAAAGCTGGAATGTTCAAAGTTTTAATCCAGCTTTAAAAAGTCACTTAGGTTCATCTGCACAACGTAAACAAATAAGATGCCAGTGTTTCCCATTAATACAGCAGACTATGGTGGCCCCCCTGTAGTCTAATATAAACTACACTATATACTGCCAGTGGTGGTGGTAAAAGTACAGATACAGGGGCAAAAAGCTACTCGAGTAAAAGTATCTCAGGAAAAAATCTACTTAAATAAAAGTATTAAAGTACCTGTTTAAAAATGTACTTAAAGAGTAAGAAGTAAAAGTATTTTGCAGAGATTTTTAGAACAATTAAAGGATGAAATGTAGAGAGACTTTAGCTGATTTAAAGAAATTCAAGTGGCTTCTTAAGTTCTGTAGCTGGTTTTGTGTATTGTATTGCTCAGAGTTGGGACAGAAACTCAAATGAAATGTTCTAAAAATACATTTCAGCCATTTCAGCAGGTCTCACACCACTTTTACTTTTTCAGTCCAATTCTAAAATGTAGTGGAGTAGAAAGCACAGATAGATGTAGTGAAGTAAAAGTAAAAAGTATCCACTGTAAAATGTACTTAAGTAAAGTACAGATACCTAAAAATGTACTTTTACTTTTGTACTTCATTACCTTCCACCACTGTATATTGTCATAACAAAATCAGACGGTGCCCATTGTATTATCATAAACTTAAAGTGCATATGACAGGTTTTGATGATTCTCTAAGTTTTAATTTTGGTGTAAATATAAATTATAGTTTTACACAAATTAAGAAGCAATTTGTAAAGAAAAGTTGAAAAATATGTTGAAAATTAAAGAAAGTAAAGACATCACACTAGGGAGAATTCTGTCTAAAAGTTTATCACAATCTACACAAAAGACAAAAAATCTGATATTTTAGACATTATATCAACAAAATAATGGTGTTTTCTTCTATTTTTATTTGTTAAAAATGAATTCTGTGTACATTAAAGAGTTTTAGACCACTGTATAACATGGTGATTAATTTCCAACCATGATGTAAACCCAAATGGGAAAAGAATTATCACATTTTTAGGTAAAGCTTAAATATAATGACCTTAACTTTTTTTTTTTTTTAGTAAAATGAGTAGTCCAACCTGTCATAGGCACTTAAATAAGAGATTACACTAGTCATGAAAAGATTAAATATATATGTATACAGTAAGTGTCATCTTTTACTCTACAAATGAAATGAGATGAAATTACTCAAATAAAAATAATTTGAGCTGCCATAGTCTTAACAAAATCTATGGGAAACACTGAAGATGCTCTGTGCTCTTTTCGCTTCTTGTTTGCAGTTTAATATTAACAGACATCACTGGGTCTATAGTACATTGTGATAAATCTTTCATTTAAAAAATCTCATAGTTTATTGAAATAAATGTACCTTTTTCAACATCTCTTTCTTGTAAACAACCCATACTCATTCTATCACTATATATAGACTTAGATTGCTCATTTTCAAAACTCCCCCAAACTCCACATATTTCAAGGCCCTAATTTAGTGATTTTCAAAACTGGACCATTTCTGTCGATCTGTCCTTAGATTTGTCCATTTTCAAGTCTTTCTTTCAATGGGACCGCTTTTGAGAGTCTGTGCATTTGTCTTAAATTTTCCTGTTCTGTGATTGGTCCATTCAAACCAGACATCTTCTCTGATTGGTCCACCTGAATGTCTCTCTCTTCTGATTGGTCCTTTCAAACCTCACTGTCTTCTGATTGGTCTGTTTGACTGTTCCTCTCTTCTGATTGGTCCATTTCTACTCAGAACGATGTCACACAGCTCATTTCGTCTGCGAGCTCGTCCTCCTCGCGACTGGCTCTGATTGGCTCGTCGTCGCTGTACACGGAGGCGAGGTCAGGGGTCGTGGCCACGGTGTTGTCAAGGAGGCTGTGGTTACCGTGGGAACCAAGCAGGTCGGAGGCGGCGGACTCCATCTCGTCTACAGTCATGTGACACGCGTCGGCAATCTCGCGTTTTGCAAATGCCACAAATTTAGGGTCTCGAGCATAAAGGCCCAGGCCCTCCGAGATCAAGACCTAGATCGAAACCAGAGAGAGAACAGGGTTAGACCAGGACTAAACCAGGACTAAACTAGGACTAGACCAACACTAGTCCAGGACTAATCCAGGTCTAAACGAGGACTAGATCAGGACTAAACCAGGACTAGATTAGGACTAAACCAGGACTAAACCAAGACTAAACCAAGACTAAACCAGGACTAAACCAGGGCCAGACCAGGACTAAACCAGGATTAAACCAGAACTAAAGCAGGACTAGATAAGGACTAAACCAGGACTAGACCAGGATTAGACCAGGACTAATCCAGGGCAAAACCAGGACTAGATCAGGACTAAACCAGGACCAGACCAGGACTAGACCATGACTAAACCATGACTAGACCAGGACTAATCCAGGACTAAACCAGGACTAGACCAGGACTAGACCAAGACAAGACAAGGACTAGATCAGGACTAATCCAGGACTAAACCAGGATTAGATCAGGACGAAACCAGGACTAAACCATGACTAGACCAGGACTAATCCAGGACTAAACCAGGACTAGACCAGGACTAGACCAAGACAAGACCAGGACTAGATCAGGACTAATCCAGGACTAAACCAGGATTAGATCAGGACGAAACCAGGACTAGATCCAGGGCAAAACCAGGACTAGATCAGGACTAAACCAGGACTAGACCAGGACTAGACCATGACTAAACCATGACTAGACCAGGACTAATCCAGGACTAAACCAGGACTAGACCAGGACTAGACCAAGACAAGACCAGGACTAGATCAGGACTAATCCAGGACTAAACCAGGATTAGATCAGGACGAAACCAGGACTAGATCAGGACTAAATCAGGACTAAGTCAGAACCAGGACTAAACCAGGACTAGACCAGGACTAAACCAGTACTAGACCAGGACTAGACCAAGACTAAACCAGGACTAAACCAGGACTAAACCAGGTGTAACTCAGGTCAGTACTTACGGCTTCCACCAGACTGTCGGCAGATCCTCGTTTCTCTGAGAAGTGTGAGAGCTGAGAGGGGACCCTGAGAGTTGTGTAGGCCCTGTACGGAGGAGGGGCTATGGAGCAGAAGAGATGGAGTCAATGGGTTGCAAATAATAAATAAAACAAAATCCCAAGTTGAATGGTCACACTTATGAAATCACAAGGGCAGCAGTTGAAATAGGTGATGGCAAGCAACTAATAAATATGCTAGAGAATGAGTGATATGAATTTTTTATGGTCGATGTCAATATCGATTTTGGTAATTTCCCCCAAATTATCTACTTAGAATTCAGTACAAACTCATCTACAACCTTGTTTTACTTTAAACTGTGTAGAAAGCAGTGTAGTAACGTTTTATTTTTAATTACTTTATATTACAGTTTTAATTTAAATTCCTGAACATAATTTTGAGAGGGTATATAGGCAAAATAAAATATACAAAACAATAATTTAGAAAAAAGAGCAACATAAAGTGCAGTTCCAACTAATCCCTCCTAGAAAACATGACAGGACCCAAATGAAAAAAGAACACACAAAAGACAACATAAATAAATAAAATAAAAATTCTAATTAATAATAACTCCTAAATGAATATGATAACAAAAAACATGATGCCAATTGTAAATCATGAAATTTAAACCAATAATATTAAATGTGATAAATGAATATGATAATAAAAAAGGGAAAGACATCAAAATTTTGCATGATCAAAATAATTATAAGGGGGTCAAGAAATTATGATAAAATAAAATACTCTGAGAAAGAAAACTATTTATATGGACATGAAAATATGCTTGGATAAAGCTATTATTATTATTATTATTATTATTATTTGCAATTATGATTTGCACTGAGCCACCATAAGAAAATAAAAAATAAAATTACAAAAAAGTAAAGTTTTTGCAATACCCTCTGAAGTGTTCAAATAAAGCTTTATGCATATATTTATCGGGCATATTTACGCAGCTGGTTGGGCCAAACAAAATATGGGCCTCTACTGGAGATTTAAGGTGGATAGTGTAGTTTAAAAATACAATAGATCTCACCTGATGTCCCTCCTGGGCCACCGTACCAGGTTGGACTGGGAGCTGCTCCGGTCACACTCACACCTGACAGAGAGGACAATGTAGTTTTACCAGAAAGCGTATTATGGGCCATGCAAAATCCTCCAGCCGTGACATTTGTGTTTGTAGACATTATCTAAGCTCTGACCTGGAGGTTTGTGTCCCGAGCCTCCGTCCAGCCCTCTGTCCCAGTGCTCCTCCTGCTCCTCCACCAGGATCAGAGGAGCGTACAGCAGACGCCCACGCCGAGGGTTTGGGTTCGCCCAGGAGGAAGGCGCCGAGCGGGGATCAGCGCTTCCGAAAGAGCCCTAAGAACCAGAATCACAGAGAACCAGTGAGACAGCGAGCAAGAAAGGCATTTAAGAGAAGTCAAATCAGGAGGCGGAGGAGTACCGGTGGTCTGGATCTCCTCGGGGGTGAGGTGGGGTGGTAGGTCCCAGGGAGAGGCAGGTCATCACTGTCTTGGCGCCGCAGACACTGGAGGTTGAAGGACGGCTTCCGACCTGAGAAACAACATCTGCGTTATAATTTCTCTATGCAAAAGATATAATAATTTCGACCAAAAGTATTTAATTTAACACAAGCTACTGAATGAGTTTCTTTTTAACCAGAGGACAAGGACAAGTTCATCAGCAGTTGTAGTAGAAGCAGTATTTTACCTGTGGGTGTGGCAGGGAGCAGTCGCCTTCGTGTTGTCCTCCTCCCGTCGCTGAACCCGTCGTTGTAATTACCGTACCCGTCTCCGTGGTGACCGTCTCTGTATCCGTTGTCATAGTGACGTTCTCTGTAGTGTCCATTGTAACGCTCTCGGTACATTGGCGGCTCATCCTGATAACGGCTGGAAAAAAAAATAAAGAAGTAAATTACTGAAGTAAACAATGTACTGTGGCATTCTAGAAACTTGTCTAAGAAATAATTTTACTTAATCAAAAACTCCTGAACTGTTGTTTTCTTTCTTCATCTCATAACAAAGCACAGTAGTACAATATGCAGTATGTGCATACAACAGAAGACAGATACTATCTTATGATAGTCTGCAACTGCATTTAAAAATTTAAACTATTTGATGGTCTTTCTATTTCCTCTAATCCTATTTCTATTTCCTCACCTCACACTCCCAAGTACCGTATTTTCCAAACTATAAGTCACTTCGGAAGTCACACCAGCCAAAAAATGCGCAATGACGAAGAAAAAAAACATATGTAAGTCGCACCGGACTATAAGTTGCGCTTTTTGGGGAAATGTATTTTATAAAATCAGAGACCAGGAACTGACATTTCATCTTGAAAGGCAAGTATAGTAATAACAATAGAACAGATTCCCCTTGTTGTTCCATTGTCTTTGTCAGTATCATGTCTATTGTAGTTTCTATTTTGGATTTCTGGATTTGGTTTCTTCTGGTTTTTTTTGCTTTTGTTACATGAAACAACTGAAGTTCTATTTCTTCATGACACACACATTTGTTTAAGAGTAGGCCATGCTATTTGATGCTTTAACTTAATTCTCAGTTAACAACATAAAAAACCTGCAATGCATATCTGTTATCTAATGACTGATATCATCTTTAACCTGTTCAGTTGTACTATTAACATGCAGGTTTCATGGTGTTTGTACCTGTCTCTGTCTCTGGAGATGATACTCTCTCTGTCCTCCTCTCGGTTGTACATTCGGTCTCCGTACGGATCCAAGTCATTTCTGCTCAGACGATCTCTCGAGTCCCTCCTGAAAGACAAAATACATTATAACTGATTGAGTAGGAGTGTGCAAAAGTATCAAAATATCAATATATCGTATAATTTAATGTTATGATACAGTATCGATATCATGGGCTACTGTATCGATATATTGCCAAGAGTATTTTTTGGTATATTTTACTAAATTAATTTGTTACAGAGCTACAGTTTTGTTGCTTGTTTTAGTGGAAAGAAACTCGTTTATGTAACACATTTGACATTTTCACTGTTTTGATGATTAAAATGTTTGCGTCTCATATTAACTTTCCACAGGAAATGGTTTAACAAATACTTTTAGTATCACAGTCATGATTTAGACATTATTTTTTACTGAATTGCTCCGAATCGATTTGAAATATATCGTATCGAATCAAAAGTGCACTGTATCGAGAAATGTATCGTATCTACAACTTCTTAATGATATCCAGCCCTATGAATGAGGTAGCATTTTTTTCATGTTATCTAATGTTTTTTCAGTTTCGTGGTCCAAAATTAGATAATGATTAATACAAATTATTTAAGTGAGTAGTTTTTGGACCATGATTGTTAAACATAATGAGTAAATGAGTCCATGATTTGTTAGTGAGATATTTGTCCAGGATTCATAAATTTGTAGATATGTTTTATTGTAACGTGTTACCTGTTACTATTACCTGTTCTTATTGTAGGATCCCCTGCGGACCTGCTCCACGCCGTTGCTCTTAGACCCCCTCCGGAGCAGGTTCTGGTGGTTCTGGTGATTGACAGTTTGCCGGTCTCCATGGCGACTCAGGTCCTCGTGCTCAGAGCCAGTCGGCGTTTTGGTGAGAGATCCGACTCTGTGGATCAGTCCTCCTCCATTTGAAACGGCGCTCTCTCCTACCACTCCCCCTGAACCTACGACACAGGGACAATACGGAACATTTTTACACAATCGTTAGTTAAATTTGTGTCTCTGTGTAACTGGAGTCCGTTACAAACTGGCTGAAGGAGAGGAGTTTGAAGTGTTTGAAGTGCCTGTCAGACCAATCACACTGGCTCTTATTCCTCCAGACTCCTCACTTTGTGCATGGACTGGTGTTTAGTCACACTTTAAAGAATAATGAGATTTATTTTAATTAATATCTTGGCGAGCCTTTGGGCAGTGTTACCTGTGGGAGTGAGGATAGAACCTCTTCTGTCTCCACTGTGTACACTCTGTAAAGACAAGATTTCAAATGATAAAGAAAATAAACCGGCACCAAACTAGTTCTCGTGAAAAAACGGTTTAAACCAGATTTTACCAGTCTGGCCTCTTCCTCCATCATGACCTCCTCCTCTTCTTCCATATCTTCAGTCAGAGCCAGGCGCATCTCAGGTCCAAGGTCTTGCAGGGTCTTCAGTCCCGCCTTACACAACTATGAAATGCAAAATATATTTATGATATATTTCCATTGACAAGAGACATAATATTTTGTACCTTTTTTAATGTAAGAGTCAACATTTATAAGGTGTAGTGTTATTTATACAGTACAGTGTCTTGCTCACCTGCACAGCAGAAGGGTTGGCATCCTCAGCCTCTCCATTCAGATCTCCTTTCTCCTTCCTCTTACGGAACTTTCTGAAATAATCCTGGATGAGGAACGTAGCGTAGAACTTCCCGACAGTCACCTCCTCCCCTAAGACACAAGGACAGAGGAGGCAAGGAGGTAAGAGAGAGAGAGACACAATTTGAACTCTGAATGGTGAGGTTTTGGAGAAGTCAAAGACAAAGTGCCAGAATGAACCAAAACAAACAGATGTACAATTTTTAGCGTCAATAACTTGCAGAAGGTTAAATGTGCATTATGGACAGGGAGGTTGTCGTTGCTTTTCTATCAACTGGATTTAACTAAAGTTTGATTTTTTTGTCTTGCTGTTGTGACTTCGACCAATCAGATTCAAATAAGCATGACGCTTCGTGCTTCTTTTCAGTGAAAGCCGACCCAGATTGATAAATGTGTAGAAAACAATTCAGAGTGATACAAATATCAGTCTGGTATGAGCCAGGTTAAGTAGTATTAGTGTAGTAATAGTAATAGTAGTAGTAATAGCAATAGTAGTAGTAATAGTAGGAGTAGTAGTAGTAATAGTAGTAGTAATAGTAATAGTAATAGTAGTAATAGTAGTAGTAATAGTAATAGAAATAGTAGTAATAGTAAGTAATAGTAATAGTAGTAGTAATAGTAAATAGTAAATAGTAGTAGTAGTAATAGTAGTAATAGTAGTAATAGTAAATAGTAAATAGTAATAGTAAGTAATAGTAAATAGTAAGTAATAGTAATAGTAGTATAGTAGTAGTATAGTAATACAAAATAGTAATAATAGTAATAGTAATAGTAGTAGTAGTAGTAGTAGTAGTAATAGTAAGTAGTAAGTAATAGTAGTAATAGTAGTAGTATAGTAGTAGTAATAGTAGTAGTAATAGTGATAGTAGTAGTAGTATTAGTAATAGTAATAGTAGTAGTAGTAGTAATAGTAGTAGTAGTAGTAGTAGTAGTGGTAGCAGATATTGTTAGATTAATACTAAAAATGTTATTATCAGTTAGTATTTTTTGCAGTACACCCATGCATTGTCAGTAGAAGTTAGAGTTTTTAGTAGTACATGCATTACCTTATTGGGGCCTGACCTTTGACCCCAGTGTTAGCAGGTGTTAGCAGGTGTTAGTAAAGAAATAGCCAGTACCTTTACCTTCTTGTGGAGGAATCACCTCATCTAACAGTTTAGGTTTGATTCTCTTCCAGATCTTCTTGATGATGACCCGCAGCTCCTCGTTCTCAATGTCAGGGTTTCCTACAAAGAACTCAGTTAGTCCAGGACTGATTTAAGTTTGTTTATTAAGAGTATTTTCATGTTTTTATTGATGAAATATTGTTATGTGACATTTCTAGTTCACACTGGGCGGCAGTAGCTCAGTTGGTAGAGCATTCGCCCACTGATCTGAAGGTTGGCGGTTCGATTCCAGCTCGCGCTATAGAAAAATGTGACCATTTACCATTCATTCCCAAATGTGGTTGTGGTTTATATATAGTTTAAGAAAGAAAAAAAGACTATTTGGTTGACAAGTAAGTGGTGGAAAAAGAAACCAGGAGGCAGAGGAGAGACATTTCTGTTTAGAGCTATAAATAGAGAGTACTTTTCACCCTGGATGAGTGACAGTTGTACCTTCAGTCTTGATTTTCAGGGCAGTTCGCACCAGGGCAAAGAGAGTGGCATTAAATGTGACCATCCCATCAGCGTTCAGAGGCATGTTCATGGCCACCAGACGCTACAAAAAAAGAAAGAATATTACAATTCTAAGCATGATACTAGATCAGGGGTGGGCAAACTACGGCTTGGGGGCCATATGCGGCCCTTTAAACCTTTTAATCCGGCCCGCCGCACTGGAATAAATTACAATAATAAACCTTGTTGATGTTTTATTTTTCATGCATTTCCGGTATTTCCCAGTAGATGGTGCACTATATAAATATACATTGAGGTGCGGCGTATTATGTTGGCCGCAATGCTTTATGGGAAAGTGTTTTTACAGGAGTTATTCGGACCATGAGTGAAGTAGTGGTGTTCAAGATATAACCTTGCACTGCTTTCAGTTTAACTTGATAAAAATCAAACACAAGGACATTAGAGATGTTATGTTATAAGACTTCACGCACAGAATGTCTTAAGAGTCCTGTTGAATTGCATGTAACTTTATAATGTGGGTTCTGTTTCTTAGTATAATCTAAATCCTCACAAGTCACCTTCGCCTGTGGTATGCAGTGGAGCGGATCTGTTGATTTTTGTGTGTTCCTGATTTTTCACGGCAATGTCGTAGCGCGTAGTGCGCTTCCTACATAAGCGAAAATACGAATATAATGCAGCTGAGCTCTTAACACGTCATGTCCTGTGTTCTGTCCGGCCCTTCAGGCAAATTTTAGGGCCCTATGTGGCCCGCGAGCCAAAAAGTTTGCCCACCCCTGTACTAGATGATAGATAGATAATGATTACAAACAGATTTTTACCTCATTTACCAGATTTTTTCTGTCTAGTTCATTTTAAACCATTAGCAGTGGTCCAAAGTTATTCCTCACTTTACCTTATCCATTCGGACATCTTAATTATTCGCAGATTTTTAAGCGCTTTTTACTATTTTCAGAGACCAGAGTGGAGTTTTGCCATGACGGTAAAGATAACATCAACTAGTATGTGAACACAGACTTCCTGTTTATCTGACAATAAAATGCTCTTTCTGTAGACACCATGCATATTGATAAAGACTTATTTTGAACTCATGCAATATGTCTGTTCTGGGGCAAGACAAATTTTGCTCAAATACAGATACAGGGCCTTTCAGTTGTGTCATTTACCTTGCAGGCGACCCGGTGAGGACAGAGTTTTCCAAATCCCAGAGGAGGCTGGATCCGTCTGAGCAGAGCCACTACGTCCAGGTGTTTAATACGGCCCCTGAATGAGAAAAACATAATAGTCTGCTCGCTCGCTGCATCTCAAAGCCACTAAAGTCACTTTTACTAAAATCATAAAATATAAAATAAACAACCTATAAAATTCAAATGAAGTAAAGCCTAGACAAATTATTTTAAATGTGGATGACTTCAGTTTGTGGTGTTGTTTTAATATTTATTATGCGTCAAAATTAGCATTAGAGTTAGCATTGAGACACAAACATAGTCTGACTGGACTTGCCTATTTACCCGGGACAGTCCCAGTTTTGAGCCGTGTGTCCCCTGTCCCAGCAGATTTAAAATAATAAATACAGAAAATCTGCTTAAAAATGACCAAAACACATAGAAAATGTGACTATACTGACTAGATTTTATTATTACCAATCAACCCAAACCAGGGAAGTCCCAGCTTTTTATTTTGAAAATCTGGTCACCCTACACAAACATTTACCTTTCTAAAAATAGAACTGTCCTCTGCTCAAGTATTCATTTTATATGCAACTAAAACCTGAAACATTCTACCTGAAGATGTGAGACGGGCTTTTACTTTGACTCTGTTTCTGTGACTGAACCTTTCATTTTTCATTCCGCAGTCTTCTCTCTCATTTATTGTTTCTCTCTCTTTTTAAGTTTTGATTTGTTTGTACTGTGATTTTAATGTATTTCGTATTCTGTAAAGCACTTTGAAGATAAACTTGGCTTGTGTAGTTTTTAACATGTTGTCCGTAACATCATCCCACAGCTCCCTGTTCACTGCCTTGTCTTTAAATATTTATAAAATGTAGCACAATTCAGCAAAAACCTCAAAGAGATGCAATTTACAGGAAGCCGATATGTGTTCATGTGAGGTGATAAAGGGCAAGGATAAAGGACACTGTGGATTCTGTTTCTCAAAATACAAAATACAGACAATAAACCATGCAAATCTTAACAGATTGGTGAGTGTGTCTTTCATACTTGGCTTCTGGATCGTACTCAGACCAGATCCTCTTGAACTCGTCCAGATGATGTGGACCCAGAATCGACCAGTCACGTGTCAGATAGTCAAAGTTATCCATGATGACGGCCACAAACAGGTTAATGATCTGGAAGAGAGTTTAGACCTGTTTTAATCCTGAACTAGTCCGGCTTCATTCAGTTTTAGGCTTTGTTTTCCAAGTTGATTTAGTCTTAGTTTAAACCTGAAATAGACATGGTAGTACTGCAGTATTTTATAACACTTTATAACAATTACACTTTGATTATCCTAAATAAAAAATGAACCAAGGCTTGAACAAAGAACAAAGTGTTTATTAAGAATGATTCAAGCTTAGTAACAACTTAATTAATACCCTAACCGTTACCAATGAAGTAGTACTAAGCAAGAATAAATACTTAGTTGATTATTCTTCAATAAACTTAATTAATTATACTATATTTTTTATAAAGTTGTAGGGATGCCACGATATAATAGTAGTGTCCTGGTTGAACTTTACATTGACATTGATGTAATAAGACTATTCGCCATAGTTGGCCCAGAAAGTCTCATAACGTTGACTTATCTGAGAGATAAATAACAGCTACATAACATATTTGGACCAATTCTGTCTCATTTTATTTTAGTTTAAAGCCTGCTCTCTGCTCTGGTATCAGTTGATATCGGTAGAAACTTAAAGTTATAGAATGGAAACCAGTGTTACAACTGAAAAAGCTGACCCTATAAAGCCACACAGTAGACTTATCTGTACCAGAAAAGCGCAGAGCATGAAGAAGCTGATGAAATAGACAATGGCGAAGTTGCTCCCACAGCTGAACTCCTCTCCAGGTTCGTAGTCTGACTCAGGGTCACAGCGTTTCCCTGGTAAACTGGCCAACATGATCTCCTGCCACGCCTCACCTGTGGCACACCTGAGACACACACACACAGTGAATCCTCTGCATTACCTTCTCTTTTAATGTCCTTTTACACTACAACCAAAAATCTCCTCAGAAATTTGGTCATCCTCTAAGCCTCACGTTTTCTGTTGACTCTACGCTGAAAGGTCGTATATTACAAAAAATTGATTCTTGTGAGACACCTCATAATGTTGTTACCATCAAAAAAATATCTGAAATATCTAAAAATATCTGTAGTTGTGTTTTGTTTAATTCACACGTTTGAGTAACCCTTTGTCCATTGATCTGAAGGCTGGCAGATCGAATCCCACTCTCGACATAATCATCATTGGTTGAGCGGTCAGATCCACTGATCCACAGGTTGGTTGGTGTGATCCAACTCCCACTTAACCCACCTCACCCCCAGTGTCTGCGTACACTGGTGTGTAAATGTGTGTGTGTGACTGGGTGAGCGGTTCCTTGTTGTAAAGACTTGAGTGCCTTGAAGGTGGAAAAGCGCTATAAAAAAGCGTGACCATTTACCAATCTCTTGTCTTCAAATTAACGACTACCTTTTATCTTTTTTTCAGTAAAGACTGGGCTACAATCTGGTGACGCTGTATAGAGTTTAAAAACACAGTGGAGAGTGGACTGTATTACCACATGATATCACAAGATGGAACAGAGTGTTTTCTGTTTGAGATGAGTTTTTGATGAGGAAACAACATTATAACAAACATAGATCAGAAAATAGTGCAATATGGGCCCTTAAACAACAGTATAGTAGTACTATCTGAGACATTTTTGTACCTGAAGAGCAGCAGAACAGCCTGAGGAAATGTCTGGAAGTTGTTGTTTCTATTGATTTGAGTGTGGTCCTGCATCGCAATTTTGCCAAAGGTCTGATTCAGAGTCACCAGTGAAACAGAGAAAATAAAAAAATTTAGATCATGTTAAAAATGAAAAAAATATGTTTAAATGAGCCGTGTGTGACCGACCTGCATGCCGATAACAGCGTAGATGAAGAAGATCATAGCGATGAGCAGAGCAACGTATGGAAGAGCCTGGACAAGAACAACAGGGTAAGTTATGTTAAAAATCAGACTGTGTCCTGCCGTCTAGTTTAGTGAACTACTGACTATACATTGAATAATACAAAAATTACACAAAAAAGCTTGAAAGTACAGATACCACCTTATAAAACCTATGCCTTGATTAAACTTAATACAGTATAAATTAATAAGAGTTTAATTTATAATGAACAAATTGTTTATTAAGAATGATTCAAGACCCTGGACACAATTTCCTTCCCTGGATTTTAAGCAAAGTTTGTCTTGCTCCAGCACAGATATAAGCAGCTGCAAATGTTTATTGTCCAATAATCAGGAAGTGCACATTAGCATGCTAATTCTCGCTCTGGTCTCTGAAAGCTATGAAAAGTGCTCATAAATGCATTGCGGTGAATAACTAGGATGCACGTAATGTATAAGGTAAATGAGGAATAACTTTGAACCGCTGCAAACTGTTCAAACTGATCAAAACTAGTTTGGTTTTGCTCATTTTTAAGACAGTATTAACAAAGTAATTATTACCCTGCAAATTTCTCTGATCTGGCCAAGATTTCAAAACTTATATCAGGTTATTCATCTTGTTTTCAAATTTATTATCTGCTTATTAGTTCTGAGACTGCTTGATTCTAGTTTAGAGATAATTTAATTTTAAGATAACTTGTCAGATAAAATGATCTTGCTGCAGGGACAAATAATTTCACTACTTTTAAGTATTTTCTGATAGATTTAAGTGTTTATATCTTAAAATGCCAAAGCCTGAATCATTCATTCAAAGTGTTACTTTATTGTCTTAATCCTGGTTTTCTCACCTGTAGAGACTTGACAAAGGTCCAAAGAAGTGTCCGGATGCCTTCTCCTTTACTCAGCAGTTTGACCAACCTCATCACACGAAACAGGCGGAAAAATGTTATAGACACACGTGAGCTGTCCTCTCCACTCTGATGAACAACAAAACCATTTTAGTCCTTCAGAGCATTACAGCTCATAAACGAAGGGGTGAACATTTAATTGGTCTGTGGAAAAAAATATATAATAAAAAACTCACACTAAATTCTGTGACCACAATGTCCACAACGCTGCCCACAACGATCAGAGCGTCAAATGAGTTCCAGGCATCAACAAAGTAATGCTGTAGATAAAACATGATTAGCATTATGTGTTTGTGTGTCTATGTATCCATTATTTATATATTGTATTATTTTATTTGAGTCTTTACCCTTAGGTTCAGAGCCAGAAGTTTGAGCACCATCTCCACAGTGAAGAGTCCAGTGAACACCATGTTGAGAATGTCCATGATGTAACTGAAGGACTTGGACTGCTCATAGTGCTGCAGGAACAAAGAGACAGCTCCGGTGAGCTACGTTTACAAAACAAAAATGCCAGAGAGCTACTCATTTTAGAGGCTGCAAGAAATTGAGATGATTATAATAAAGAGAGCGAGCCTTTGGGTACAGTTAGATGCCTATAAAACATAAACCTTTATCCATTTATTAGTGCACAATGTTAGGCTTCAAAATGATACATTTACTAAGTTTATAGGCATGTAATTAACCAGTTTTTTGTTATTCAGCTGCTCTTTGAGAGTGACCTGTCAGTATGGTTAGATGTGTGCCTTTTTCCTTTGTTGTGGGGGATCAGGTTTAACAAGATAATTCCTATGCACTTTACCTGACTTCACCTCGTGGTCATTTTTGGCACCACATTACCGGCTCGAGAATTATACCAAGTTTTTGCTTTCTCTTAAAGAAGCTCCTTGTATTCTACAAATTCCTTGTTGAGTGTACATTTGTAATGTGAATTAACGTATTGCCAATGTCTGGGCTGTTAATTTGTTTAACAAAAACGTTAGGTTTTTGTCTTAAGGGGGAGGGTGTTATGACCCCACCTTGGATCCGTACTTTGTGGGTGCATGTTTGTGCTGCTGCTGGCTCTCTCCCCCATCCCTTTCAGATTTCAGAGAGTGGGAGGGTCAACCTAACACAACCTGATTGTGGGTGTGGCCAACCACCTTTAAAAGCTGGCTGCTGGAGACTGCACCTCTCTTCTCTCTTCTCCACCATGCCGCCACAACTATGTTTGCACCTTGTTTTGAAATAAATATCTATTTTTGTACCCTTTTTAAACACGTGTGGACTCCATCTTGTCCGAACCCTGAGCCAGTTTGTGAGAGCATAATTCCGATATCCCTCGGTGAGCTGCTCGGAGGGGAGTGGAGAGCTACTGGTAACTCCCAAGCTACAGGTTGGAGAGCCCTGCCCTAACCAAAGCAGATTTGTAGTGTTTCAAGTAATAGTACTTAATAGGGTGACCACCATAGACCGTACTAGTACATCTCAAAAATATGTTCTGCGGAGGGTCTACCACCTGCTTGTCTCCATGGAGATGTTATTGCTTTTTGAGGAATGTCCCATGGTATAACATTAAACATATCCATCTAACATTTATTCATTACGTGTGTTTCTGTTGCTCAAAAATACAATAATTCCTTTTGCGAATAAGGGCGACTCTCCACAGATCTGAGCTGTAATGTAGCATAGCGCTGTAACCTGTTTGTCTCCCCCGTGATAGAGAGGTTTAATCTATACTGTGGAACATTTTAGACAAAAAGCAGTAACATTTCCATGGAGACAAGCAGTTGACGGACCCTTCATTAGAAAAGTTACACAATGCGCCTTTAAAATTAATCTTGGAAGAAACACTTGTCATGTTACTTGACTTAACAAAGCCTATTTCTGCCCCCTGGTGGTGGTGTGCCTCTCACCTGCACGGCCAGAGTCACAGTGTTGAGCAGGATCAGAACAAACATCACGTATTCAAAGCCCGTGGAGTTGATTATGGACCAGAACTTGTACTGAACCGGGTTTTTGGGTATGTACAGTTTGAGGGGCTGAGCTTTCAGGGCGTACTCCACACACTGACGCTGAAAGAGAGAAAGAGAAGAAAAGATTAAAGGGGCAATACCACACTGTTTTCTGATCTATATTATAATGTTTCCTCATCACAAACAGACCTGGAGTTGTGTTTTGTTTCATGCACACATGTTTAAATCACAAATCCTGCACATTTAGGCTGAGTTCTTCTCTCAAACAGTAAACACCTTGTCATGTCTTGTACAAAAAGTGCTCCACTGTGTTTTTAAACTCCACACACATCCACTAGAATCAGAACAAGGTGGAACTGAGCATTTTGAGCTTTGGAGATGTAGACAAACTAATAATAAATTAATACTCAAACAAGTGTGAATGAAAAAAACACAACTCCAAGCATGTTTTTGATGAGGTAACAGCATTATAACATGGACCTTCAACACGGAAAATACTAAAACAAACACTGAGAGGAAATATTTTTTTGTTAATTTTATCTTATTTTAACCTGTGTTTTCCTGTTGTTTCTACCTGATTCTTGTCCAGTTCACAGTTCTTGTACTCCTGCTCTCCTTGCTCTCTGAATGTGATGATGACAAAACCCACAAAGATGTTCATCATGAAGAAGGCAATGATGATGATGTAGACGATGAAGAATATGGAGATTTCCACTCTGTAGTTGTAGATGGGCCCCGCGTTCTCGCCGTTCGCGTCGATAGCCTTGTACAGCAGCCTTTGGGGCAAAAGAAAGTAACAGATTTAAGAGGAGTCGTAAAATCGTACAAGTGCATTGTCTAAATTTTCTGGTAGAGGATCCGTCAAATGTTTTTTGTCCATGGAGATGTTATTCCTTTGTCTGGAATGTTTCACAGTATGACATTAAACCTTTGTCTTTTATTTATTTTAATTATTTTTTATTGTTTTATGCCTAATATGATTAAATCTGAGCATTTATTTTATCATTATATCATTATTCTCGTTATTACTATGCACCTTGGAAACGGTTTGTTTATTAAATGTGCTATATATAAAGAAAGTGGATTGGATTGGATTAACCTTTCTGTCTTCATGGAGACTGTGCACCAGAAAAGTTACACAATGCATCTTTAAAGAGCCACTTCCCATGTATTTGAGCCCTAATCTTGCTCCAGTACATATATATCGACTAAGCTGTTCCTGAGTTCAAAAGAAATCTGTGTATCATTCGTTCATTTGTTTTTCAAAATAAAAACAAAAATAAAAAAACTAAAAAACAACTATTTTCTTCATTATTTGTCTCCAAAACAAAAATGAAAAAAACATAATGATTTGCTTTTTCAGTTTTCGATTTTATGGTTAAATGAATAATGGAAAAAAGGGATAATGGCTGTTTCCAGTTTCCGTGACTTAAACTGCGATGCCGGACTTTTGCACCGCATACGGACTGCACCAGTACTTAAAGGTTGTATAGAGGATTTTCCAAGGAACGAGAAATCCAGCGACTGTTTGTCCTTTTTCAAATGTTGCGCATGCGTGAAACCACCCCCCTCCCCTACAGCTCCCTACGTAGAAACGCCTTCTCCCGCCTCCTCACTACGCCAGAAACAGGTTTGTTTACAGCCGGTGAGCTGCACATGACTTGTAAACAACTAACTACAGTGTTGGTTAGGCAAGGCGGAGAAGTGAGGAGCGGGGGGAGCGGGTGTGCGGACATTTCGTTCGCGGACGAGAAGTGAGGAGCAGGGAGAAGAGCGGAGCAGGGAGAGAGGAGAGAGGAGAGAGGAGAGGGGAGCGGTGCGCGGAGATTCCGTGCCCGTAGAAGTGAGGAGAAGGGGGAAGAGCGGAACGGGCAGCGGGGACAGGAGTAGGAAAGGGGAGCAGAGAAGGTTGCGCGGAGATTCAGTGCGAATGAACTAGCTACAACACGCAGCAGCAAGCGGACTCTTTCTTTGCCTTGAAAATTACGTTTTCAGACATAGGATATCGCTTTCGTGTCCTGAAAAACGTTTGACTAGCTCTTGGAAATAAAGTACGTTTTCATAATAAGCAGAAGTTACCTGTCCAGGAGTAATTTGGCGACCAATGCGTCAGTCTTTAGACCCTGCGTCTGCTTCAGTCGCGCCATCGCTGGAATGAATCTACAAGAATCACCTTAGTTTGGCTTCGCTGCTTTTCCCCTTGTCTTCTTCTTTCAGCGACCTCAAAAACGGACTTTCTTTTGCGGCTAACTGCTCCTGGATTCTTGTCTGCCATTGCAACAAACTTTGTGCTAACTGCGAGGAAGATATAGGTCAAAAAAAGCCGCTAAGAACTGTTGCATTGGTGGAGTAAACAGCGTCTGTGCGTCTTGCGTCTGTGGACTGCGTGACAGGCGTACGTAAACCACGTACCGGCGGCGCGCAGGCAGGTCAGTTACGCTAGAAACGTAGGGAGTTTGATTGATAGCCTGTCAGCTAACAGATAACGAGGCCGTGTCGTTATCTATTGGCAAATGTTTAGCTGGCCCCACCACGTCCAGAGTTGATGAATTTTTATTCTCTTTTTTTTGGTCATCATAATTACAAGGCTACTGCACCTCTATAATGCTATCATTGACAACTTGAAACAAAAAAAACAAAAAAAAATCCTCCATACAACCTTTAACCAAGACTAAAACAGGACTACACCAGGACTAAGCCAGGTCTAAACCAGGACTAAAAAAGGACTACACCAGGACTGAACCAGGACTGAACCAGGTCTAAACCAGGTCTAAACCAGGTCTAAACCAAGACTAAACCCGGTCATGGTCTCAGTCCTGGTCTCGGTCCCAGTCTCAGTCCCAGTCTGGTCCCGGTCTCAGTCCTGATCACCTGACACTCAGTCCTGGTTTAGTCCCGGTTGAATCCATATGCGGCGCAAAATTCCAGCATTGCAGTTTAGGTCATGGAAACTGAAAACTGAAAATACAAATCGTTATCCATTTTTTCATTTTGGTTTTGGAGACAAATAATGAAGAAAATAGTTGTTTTTTCATTTTCTTATTTTTGGTTTTATTTTGAAAAACGAATGAACGAATGATACACGGATTAAAAGAGGTCTGATGTGTGCTTTCTGCATCTAATCAGAAAGCATTTTATTGTGTTATAATCAGGAAGTGCGCGCTAGAATGCTAGTTGTTGTTAAATATATCGTCACACTTCGCTTTTGTCTCTGAGAATTGTGAAAAGCACTTATAAACTCCTCAAAGTGAATAATTAGGACGCTCAAAATACATAAGGTAAGTGAGGAATAACACTGAGCCACTGCAAACTTTTTAAAATTTGGTTAATTTGGTTTTTCAGGTACACTGCGTAACATTTCTAGAGGAGGGTCTGCCACCTGCTTGTCTCCATGGAAATGCCATTGCCTTGTCTAGAATGTTCCACAGTATAGATTAAACCTGTCTATTATGAGGGCATCAGTACTACGCCCCTATTCACAGAAGGAATTATTGAATTTTTGAGCAATAGAAACACCCGTAATGAATAAATGTTAGATGATGTATTCTAAATTATCCCATTGAACATTACAGGCAAAGCAATAACATTTCCATGGAGACACCAGAAAAGTTGCGTAGGGCACCTTTAACAACAGAGGAGGTCATACTCACGCAGGCCAGCCTTCAAACGTGGACACAGTGAAGAGAGCCATCATCCCCATCAGGACGTTATCAAAGTTAAAGTCGCTGTTGTGCCAGATTCGTTCTCGGACCATCGGCTGATTCACGTCTCCATCTTTGTAAATGACAAATGTACCCCTAAAGAAGAGGACAGGAGCCAGGTTAAAGGTCCTATTTTACGTGACATTGACTCTTGTGAGCTTTAAGACATGTTATAATGTTGTTACCTCATCAAAAATATAATGGCACAGTGTTTTCCATTAAAAGAAAAGACTACGGTGGCCACCCATAGTCTAAAATTGTCTCCCTTTGTTGCAATTTGTATAGTCATTAACATTAAAAAAGTAACTGCACAGTTCAAAAACACTGCTTAAATATGAAATAAGAGCATTAAGTGTCATTCAAACTCCACAAGCTGTATGAAAAGAAAATTATTAATATGCAAAGTATTTATGTCACCACAGTGTGAACAAAATCTATGGGAAACAGTGCTGGAGTTGTGTTTTGTTTCATTCACACATGTTTGAGTAATTCTTCATTGTTAGTCTGTCTGCATCCCCAAAGCTCAAAATGCTCTGCTCCAAGTTGTGATGTCATGAAGCGGTAGTTTTCAAGTTAACAGCTCCTTTTACCTTTTGTTCAGCAGAGATTGGCATTTCCTGGGCTGAAATTATCCAAATGATTCTAGAGAAGGCGCATGGAGCTTGAACAGTAGAGCACTTCATGTATTACTACATGACATCACAAGGTGGAACAGAGTGTTTTCTGTTTGAGAGAAGAACTCAGCCTAAAGCACGAGAACGCTTGCAGGTAAGTAAAAACAAAAAAACATTTTATCGGAAGTGCCTTTCATTTAGATGGTGACAGAGTTTTTGGGTCTTAAAAACGCAAAAATCTGAAAGCACCCTCCAGAGTGGAAAAGTTGAATACGCTCCACTGTAGCGTTTCCGTCTACACTGCCCAAGATGCAAAACTCTGGTCAGATCTGCTCACGTCATGTACGCATTTACGTCACATACATCACCACCGAGCGTCACCACCGAGCCGCCTGGCATACAGACCAATCAAATTCCACACACTTTTGTGAAGACGCAACGCCACTTTTGCATCTTCTGTTCACACCATCATCATATAAACGTAGCCTAAATATGCAGGGTTTGTGTGTTAAACGTGTGAATGAACCTAAACACAACTCCAGGCATGTTTTTGATGAGGAAACAACATTAAAACATAGATCAGAAAATAGAGTAATATGGGCCCTTTAAGGAATATAAGCGTTATTATTATGTGTAATGATATCCAAGACTCACGATACGATATTGTCACAGTAGGGATGTAACAATATCAGAACCTCTCGGTTCAATATTTTCACGATATACATCTCATGGTGCGATATTTATTGCGATATTTTGTTAAAGCGAATAAAACTGTTAATATGCTGCATTTTCCTCTTAAAATGCCTTGACAAGACTTAATCCAAAGAACAAGACTTAAAAGGGCTTAGAACTGTTATTTCTTCTTGTAGTCTGCACTGAAATGGAGCAAAGCATCATGGTCTATGTAGCTCCCTCTGTCTTTTTTTAGCTATTGTTGCATCATAACTCTTAATTTAAGCAAAGAGACTTTGATATAATTTGATATATTGTGATGATCCATGACATTATTGTGAGAACTTTGACGATACGATATCACAATATTTTGGTTATTGTTACATCCCTAGTTATTATTATAAAACATGTAAATGAGAGAAGAGCACTCACTTGCACTGTTCTGGGGTGTGTTTGGCCTCATCTGTGCAGCGATAGAATTTTCCCTGGAACAAAGAAAAGAACAGTGTTACTAAACCAGGCTTAAGGAGTCAATGGGGTCAAAGCGTGTTTATTTTTTTACTTGTACATAAACATTTATATAATTATGCCTTATCTGACACCAGTCTCTTGTAATTTTGGCTACTTATTTTGAATTTACTATTACAATTTATATTTTTGCTCTTTGTTATAATAATATATTGTGATGTGTCCAAATAACTCCAGTTGTGGATCAATAAAGTTTGTCTAAGTCTAAGACTAAGAATGACTGGGTGGGAGGTTGGAAAGTTGATCAACCCTGTATCTTTGTATAGTTTTATGTTTTTCAAATCCAGTTCATAAAGAAATAATATAGAACTCTCTTAGACCTGATTTTGGTCCTGTTTTTTCCCCCTTTTTCTGTAACACTGTTGAAATTTATTAATAATTCCTCAGGCTTAGTAATTAGTTAATTAATATCCCAATTCCAAACCGTAACCCCTTAATTAAGTAGTTACTGAGCCTGAATCTTTCTTAATTAAATATTTGTTTATTATTAATTAAGTTCCTCTTATTTGTAAGGCTGTAAATAGTGCAACTATTATAAAAAGTATTATTTTTAGTTTAGACTTGGTTTAGTCTGGATTTAGTCATGGTTCTCAAGTGATTTAATTTTATTTTAGCCCTGGCTTAGTCCTGATTAGACCAGTATTTTTTTTAGTTCTTATTTAGTCCAGGTTTGGTTCAGTTGCAGTTTCTGACCTTGAAGAGCTGGACTCCGATGCAGGCAAACATGAACTGCAGTAAAGTCGTGACGATCATGATGTTTCCAATGGTCCTGATGGCCACAAACACACACTGGACCACGTGCTGAAAATATGACAAATAAAATGATTACTATAAGAATCTTAAGTGAAACATAATCCAAATCCAGTCTCATAAAAAAAGTTCTTACCTTCAATCCTTTTGCTCTGTTGATTGCTCTCAGAGGACGGAGCACTCTCAAAACTCGCAAGATCTTCACAACAGAGATCGCGCTCGAACTAGAGACAAAGAAACCATAATGTTTGAGATTAAATGTGTAAAATTCTTCCTGTAAACTTAAATGAGTACTAGGATACTGACTGGAGGAAGAAAGACACCAAAGAGACACTGACGACCAGGAGATCCAACAGATTAAACCAGTTTCTACAGAAAGAGCCCTGGTGCAGGAACGCCCCGTGGACTGTCATCTGGAAAAGGTGTAAGCATTATTAGAACATTCTTATCTTACTCTTATTTCAGATCTATCTTCTGTAGGATTTATTAAGACATAACTCGACATACCTTCAGAAGAATCTCCACAGTAAAGATGGAAGTGAAGGCATAGTCAGCATAACCCAGGATCTGTTGACATTAAAGGAGCACTATATAACTTTTCTGGTGAAAGCTGGATCGGTGTAAGCTTTATGTATCTGCTGATTACTGATATCAACCGATTCCAGTGCAGAGACCGAAAACAGCATTTATTTCTTTTATAAATTTTATAAATTTAAAAGTCCACCCAGGACATCTGCTGAACCAGTACATACATTTTTCAGTATCAGTGCCTATATTCAGTACCATTTATTGGATCGGTGCATCCTTGACGTGTAACGTGAGTGAATTCACCTGCTTGTTTCCATGGAGAATACTGTGGAAAATTCCAGAAAACTCTCCATCCAGAATAAGGCAATATGATGTGAGACTATTGTGAGTGACTAATAGTACAGATTTACTGACACAATCCAATTTTTTTTTACCCAGGGCAGCTGCATCTCACTTCTAGAGCATGAGTGAAACAAATAACCTTGCCAAAGTTGGAGTATGCCAGAAAGGATGCTCAAGCAGTCACAGGAAGAATATGCAAACTTCACACAGAGAGATAATCTAACCATCAAACCTCTTACAGTACTACCACATTTACCACTGAGCTGCCATTAGTGTGTCTACTAGTTACAACAGCGTATCCATCAGTGGTTTAATGTAATTCTGTGTGAGGGAAATTACAGTGAAGACTCAGCAGAGCGTGATCCAGCTGCTCTGGACACATGCACATCTACAGTACACCAGAATATCACCCATTTACTCACTGACCTACTTCACTGAGAGCCACACACAACAACAGACACATACGACACCTCTGGAGATCCTAATGTCTGATCAGACAAAATTACCCCAATGACAAAGAGGTACATAGTGGTAACAGCTATAGTGTTTTTTTATTGACATGATTAAAGGTCCTATATTACACAAAATTGACTCTTGTGAACTTTAAACCATGTTATAATGTTACCTCCTAAAAAACAAACCTGGAGTTCTGTTTTGCTTCATTCACACATGTTTGAGTAACAATTTATTATTAGTCTATATCTCCAAAGCTCAAAATGCTCTCTTCCACCTTAGTTTAGTAGAGGAGACTGGCAATTTCAGGGCTGAAATGATCCAAATGGTTCTAGTGAAGGTGTATGGAGTTTAAAAACACAGTGGACCACTTCCTGTATTACCTCATGACATCACAAGGTGGAGTGTTTTTGGTTTGAGAAAAGAGCTCAGGGTTTGTATGTTAATTAAATGTGTGTGAATGAAACAAAACTCAACTTCAGGTATGTTTTTGATGAGAAAACAATATTATAACAGGTAAGAAAAGAGTGTAATTTGGGCCCTCTTTAACCCTTCAAGTCCTAAGGGTAATTTTAGTACATTTGTCCTCACCTGGCTTTTTTTTCTTAATTTTGCTATTAAAACTCCCCCTTTTGCAACGTAATGAAGTGTTATACATCCTTTTTACACTATAACCTGTTATTTCACAATCTATATGCTGTAGTTGTGTCATATGGCTGTAATAAAAACACTTTCATACAAAACACACAGCAAATATGGACATAAAAAATGCTTAATTTAGAGCCTTAGCAACAAAAGTGCAAAATATCAAGTCTGTAAGTAAAATAAAAATACCCTTATTGCCCTTAAAACAAAAAATTAAGTGCAATCGCCTTATTACTTAACTGGTGCCAGTCATGGAAACAGCTTGTGTCAGGTCCAGGGCACAGAGCCACATCACTTCCTGCATTTTCATGGTGTTTTTACATTTGGGTTTGGACATTTTGAGTTAAATAAACCGTTCAAATAAAAATAACAAGGGATGTGCAATTACACAGACCAAGATGCGTAATTTGCCATTTACTTGAGAAATAACTACACTTAAAGCGGCTTTGTCAATTGTTACGAACACAGACGCTCAGAGCAGTCGACCATTTTGACTCACTACACTCTTGGCAAAGTTTGGGCCAATCAAAATGGATGGAGTGCATGCGTTTGGTGGACAACAAAGTTCCTATTGGACACTCATTTTCCCTACGTCATAGGATAATGCCAGAAATATTGTATATCATATATGACACCGTCGGTCTGGAAGGGTTAAGCTCTGTGTTAGTTTGTCTAAGTCTGGTGTTGTGTTGGTGGGACTCACATTGTTCCTGAAAGAATGCGCTCTGATGGGGTCTTCTGCAGCGAGGGAGCAACTGCTGAGGATGATGAAGACCAGGATGAGGTTGGTGAAGATGTGATGGTGGATCAGAGTGTGACAGCCGACTCGGATTCTGAACACAAGATGAAGAAAAAAGAAATGTGGATTGAAAAAAATAGCAGTTTAGGTCACAGCAGTATTGGAGCTGTACTTTAATCATAAGTGATATTATACAAGAATGAAGTAAAAGTAGTAAAATACTGTACTTAAGCATACATTTTTAGGTATCTGTACTTTACTTAAAAAGATTTTACAATTGATACTTTTTACTTTTACATTTGAGAGGAGATATCTGCCACTTTCTACTCCACTACATTTTTTTAATTTTAGGATTGAAAAGTGAAAGTTATTTATTTATTTTTTATTTTATATAGTTTGAGACCTCCTGAAAAGGCTGAGAGGTTTATTTTTAACACATAGTTTGAAAAAACATAATAAAAAAATACAAATAATAACAGTAAGACAAATTACAGATTCACTTGTTTCCGTTGAACAAAATTCAGCACAATTCTTTATCTAAATCACTACATTTGAAGCTTTCTTAGACCTCAAAATCTGCTTTACTTTTTACTCTTTAAGTAAATTTTTAAACAGGCACTTTTACTTTACTTTTACTGAAGTAGATTTTTTTTCATGTGATACTTTTACTTTCTCTTGCTCTGTACTGTACTTTTACGTAAGTAATAAAGTTTAGTACTTCATCTAAAACTGATTAAATAACATTATGTCAACAGTTTTTTTCTATCCTGTCATTCTTCTTGAAATATGATGCGATAAAAGTTACAAATTTCAGTTGTGGTTAGGTTATATTGTTTTATTTACCTCTTAAACAAATATCCTAAATAAACGACTGCATACTGTGTATTGTCTTATCGCCATGGTAACCTAGAGGTACATACGGGTTTGTTTTGCTGAGGCAGAAGAAGGCGCTGCCCTCTGGGATTGGGACCACCTTCTCTTTGGGCGGAGCCAGGTCGGTCATTTTTAACTGCACTCCTCCGTCTGGGCCAGAGTAATGACAGATAAATACATTTGTAAAGTGAAATATTTCTAGATTCAGCTGAAATGAACTCACCATCTTCTCCTTCAACTATCTCCTCTTCTTCCTCATACTCAGTTTCTTCATCAATGTCCACCTGGTGATTAAAACAAGAATAAAGGTTTGAGATTTCATATGATTTGATAAAGAACTACAAAAATGGCGGCTCATTCACGCACTTTGACCTCTCCCTCTGCGGCTTCCTCCTCCTCCTCCTCTCCTTCCTCCTTCTTCTTACTGTAAGCACAAGTAACAAACAGTAAAAGTGAAATAAAAACATTAATTTCAGTATTTGTCTTAGATTATTTTATTATAAATTTGAGACTGACTCTGTCTTTTTGTCTTCACTGTCTCCTCCAGCCAGATTATCTACAGCAATGGCCAAGAATACATTCAGGAGGATGTCTGAGTTTCTTATAAGAACAATAATTCAATTCAGAACAATGAAACAATAAAATAAATGTTTCTCAATATCAATATAAACTATTTCTTACTGTAGGCCTTTCACATTAACACATTTACTAGAGATAAACTGCAATAAACAAAAATATTGAAACTACTTTATGCCACTGACACAATTATAATAAAGTAATATAATTCCAATAAACAAATTTTTAAATATACAGAATCATTAAAAAGCCTGAGTTGAAACAAACAGCAGAATGAAGCGATAATTAGCCACAGAAGTGATTTATCCTCTCCTCTACAACTCAAATCTTAGTGTATTACAACAAAAATAACAAAAATCTCCCAAAATTTGCTAAGAAAAACATTGAGATGCCAAAATATATAGTTCTAACGATAAGTCAATATAGTAAAAATCAAGACAGACCTATCTGACTGGTTTAAATATATTCAGATTTCAAGAAAAGTTGGTTATTTCTGCAGGTTTATCGTCTCTCCTTTTTTTTTTTTTTTTTCAGTTGTGCAGTCCTCTGTTTTTAATTGTTTTATTTATTTATTTATTTTTATGGGTCTATGGGACTTATGGGTTTTATTTATTTGTTTTTTATTATGTTTTTATTGTATTAAATTGTAGATGTTTTTTTATTTTTTCTTCTATCTGCAGCACTTCTTATTCAAATTAAAACTCTCCCCTTGGTCCTTATAAGGCAGTTCCTGTCTCTGTCCCATTGGAGGATACAGTTTCCGCAGATGAAGAGAATCACAAAGTAAACACAGACGATCATTCCCGGGAACACTGGGCCTCCGTACGCCATGATCCCATCGTACATCACCACGTTCCAGTCTTCTCCTGTCAGGATCTGAAACAAATGACATGGAGGATTTAAATACAGTGGTAAGTACAATGTTTATGTTAATTTATAACTTAAAAGAGAAAGAGGAGAGAGATATGGAGCAAAAATATGAAAATGGAATTCAATTTGATCACACCTATATATGTTGCATTTGGAATTTGCAATGCCTACTTCTGCTGATGACAAGATTAAGAAAAAAGATACTTGGACATGAATAAATAAATACTTAATGTCTATAAATCATATCAGGTTAGGCCACAGCAATAACTATATTCTTGCATTTGGAATTTAAGTATTTACATTGTATTTTAATAAATATTCTACAGAGGTGGGTAGTATTTACACTTTTACTCAGTTACATTTACTTGTGAAACTTTTTTGTACTAATTCTTCTTGCCTCTTCTAATATTTTCTTTCTTCCTTCTTTTTTTTTTTTTTTGGATAATTTTTTCTTTTCTTTACATGGGGGAGAGCCAATAAATCTCACAAAAATACGGGGTACAGAAAGCATAATAGCAAATCCACAGCAACAAAACAAAGTCAATTTAACATGGTCAAATAAACAAAACAATGTACCCCAACAATGTACCCCTAATTTTTGTTTCAAGTAACAGTACTCATACTTAATAAAAGTTTGGTCTATACGTTTATAATTTACATGATTTAAATGTGTGTTCCTTGTACTGCTCCTTCAGATATTATTTAGTTTACCAGATACTAGATAATTTAAAAAATGTAAGGTAGAGCAGTGGCAAAGGAGAAATAAGGTAGAGCTGTTTAATGTCATACTATGGAACATTCCAGGCAGAGCAATGACGTATCCACAGAAACAAGAAGGTGAGGGACCCCCAACCAAAAAGTTGTACACCTTTAAAATGTTGTCCTTACTATTAAATCACATGTTATGTCCAGACAGTTACTCTGATTTGAGTTGTAGCTTCCCCAAATACTTTAAACTCTTACTTGAGTAATTTCTTGGACCACTACTTTGTACTGTTACTTGAGTAATATTATTTAGTTTACTTCATCGTCATCCACATTGGGTTCTCTTAAGTGTAAGCATAAGAAGATTTTTTTCACACATAAAAAATAAAAACAAAAACAAGATCTAAAAAAACAGAAAGAAATACTATTTTGAAGTAACATTACACTTACTTGAGTACAATTTCTAGCTCTACCCCCCTCTGATATTTTAATAACAGTCGGGTATTAGTAGTCGGCATTTTACCTGGAAGCATGTGAGCAGGGCCTGGGGAAAGGCATCGAAAGTGCTGCGTTTAGTTTGAGTCTCGTCAAAGTTAAACTTTCCTCCGAACAACTGCATCCCGAGAAGAGCAAATATGATGAGGAAAAGGAAGAGGAGCAGCAGCAGCGAAGCAATGGACTTCATGGAGTTCAACAGAGACGCCACCAGGTTTGACAGGGCCGTCCAGTGTCTGAGGGAGAAGAGGTGTGAGACAGTTTTATAATAAATTAGGATTACAGTAAAATACTTTAATATCTATATAATGAAAATGAATTATGTAAGCTAAATAAAACTACTCAAGTTACTAGGGGTGTAACGGTACATGTATTTGTGCTGACATGGCATGGTATGTTTGGTTCGGTGCAAAGCTGTGCACGAGTGATTTGGTATGTTTAAATTTTGCCACTACATGTGCAGCTACATGAAAGGCGTGGCTCTTTAATATTCATGAGGGAACTCGTCCGTGATTGGGTTGGCACGATTTCCCACAGCGCTTTATAGTTAGGGCAGACGCCTTGACAACAATGGCCCCCATCTTGACTACGTCCCTCCTCACAAAACTAAGGTCGTTGTGCCCCGGCCCTCACTCTTGCCTTTTGCCAGCACGAAACTCCTCCCCCAAGCGATATTTTCCACTGTTGGTGACATTGTAACTGCAGCAGATCTGCACTTACTGCAGACAATGTGGACAAGTTGTTTTTTTCTGGCCAAAAATATGAAGTTAGTAACTATTAGTTAATACTGAAACTGTTAGTGCTGCGCTTTACTTTTTGAAAAGTTTTGTCTACTGTTTACAAGGAAAAAATTATTTTTTACAATATTTCACACATTTGTTGCTTATTTGAGAATATTTTATTTAACTTATTAGTATTACTAAGCAGCACTTTGCATTTATTTTATTTTCCTCTTTGTATAATGTTAAAACTAATTGTTGGTTTAATAAACACACAAATAAACAACAAGCAGATGGTTTTGCATTTTGTTCCCATACTGTACTGAAAATGAACCGAACCCAGTTACACCACTACAAGTTACTGTAATTGAGTAATTGGGTTTTGGGTAATTGCTCTTTTTTAGAGTAGATTTTTTCTAGTATTCTTAATTTGGTGTAACAGTAGCTCGGTTGGTTGAGTGTTCATCAAAGGTTAGTGGTTCAAATCCTGTCATTGTGTCCATTTTAATTGAGCAAAATTCTAGCACATAATTGTACTTCATTAAATTTCAAATAATAGGAGTTCCTGAGTACAGTATCGTCTCCTATATTCAAATAGTCTCCTATATCTTTTCCTCTCTACACCAACAAACACACATAACAGCAGTTTTTTGTGTAGCATTTTTGTACTTTTTACTTTCATTTATGTAACATTTTGACAGCAGACAGCAGTACTTGTGATTGCGTATATATTTTTAGGCATGTAACTGGTAATAGAGTGAGAGTTTCTCACCGTGTGACCTTGAATATTCTCAGCAGTCGGACACAGCGCAGCACGGAGATGCCAAGGGGGGGCATGATCTCCAGCTCCACGAGGATGGTCTCCATGATCCCTCCACACACCACGAAACAGTCGAAGCGATTAAAAAAGGCCACGAAGTAATGAGCCAGACCCAGACTGTACATCTTCAACAGCATCTCCACAGTGAAAAGGGACAGCAGCACTTTGTTTGCAATGTCTGAGGAGGAAGGGAGAAGTTTATTCGTAAATATGACCTATTTGTGTCCCCAGATACGAGGTAAACATATTAAATTATTAGGGGTGTAATGATATCCAAGTCTCACAATACAATATCATCACGGTATAAACCTCACGCAACGATATTTATTGTGATATCGTGGGAAAGCTCACGATATGGTGGGGAGGCTCACGATTAGGGATGTAACGATATCAAAATCTTTCGGTACAATATTATCTTGATATACATCTTATGATATTTATTGAGATATTTTGTGGAGGCTGTGAACAAAACTGTGAATATGCTACTTTTTCCTCTTAAAATGGCTTGACAAGACTTAATCCAAAGAATTAAGTCTTAAAGGTGCTTAGAACTGTTATTTCTTCTTGTAGTCTGCACTGAAATGGAGCAAAGAATCATGGTCTATGTAGTTCCCTCTGTCTTTTTTTAGCTATTGCTGCACCATAACTCTTAATTTAAGATTTCTTAATTTTAGAAACTTGTAATTCAGTATATTGTGATGGTCATCCTGATTCAAGGTGATAATCTTGTGCCCTCATCTCTTCTAATCGCATGTACCCAGTTGTGTGTCAGTGGGGAAATGATGAAAACTGAGGTATGGTTGTAATTGTTGATGAGCCGAATCTAAAGAAACGCTACAATGACACGTAGATGAAGAAAACCTGGCCATTTTCTCATTTTTCCTAGAACGGAGCCTGCCGGAAGTTGTAATTGCATCTTTCCAAATGTCTTCCTGGTCTGTGACATAAGCGTAAAAGAGCCTTTTTGTGTTTTGGTTCAAGATGATTATCCAATCAGAAAGCAGAATGAGGCTCACATGTGTCTCTCATTTGGGTTGCCAGGTTCAATGCTGAAATCCAGTTGGTTTAAACCTAAAATGCTGCTCTCTGATCTGAACGGTCACTACCTAAACTCCAGGACCTTCAGTCAATCAAGAATCAGTGCTAGTGCAGCCTCTGTAGCTCAAGGAGGGAATTCTGGAGGTTCTGATCTTTCACATGAGGCCTGTCCATGTACTGAGAATGAGAAACAAGGATCTGTCCACTTTGCAGTTACTGGCAGTCCAGGGTCAGTTGTTATTGTAAAACGTTTTTAAAACAGTAACAGACCACATACTCCACCTAAAATGAACTATTAGCTCTATTTCCATCAAACAATAACATAAACAGATTCATGTTTTTATTCCTCCTATTTACATTCCTTTTCATATGAAAGTTTTATTTATGATAGACAGACTACGCTCATACCTTGTACTTGCGTGAGCCACTCTGGTTGGTCATAGTGCTCTGAAGCAGACAGAGAAGTGTTCAGAAAAACCAGAAGAAGAACGAGCCAGTAGAAGGTGGTGGACTTCACCGCCGTGCGACAGTTTCTGCGGCACACGCGGTTCCAGCGGCGGAAAACACGACTGTAGAAGAAATAGAGACGAATCAGTGAAGATTGGGAGAGAAAGAGTTTGAGATGAATGAACTCACCAGCAGGGGATCTTCATCATACGAGCGCTGGAAATAAAGAGAAAAAAAGTGAAATGAACATTTGAAAGTAGAAAAGGAACAACGCTGAAAAATAGTCAATGGACATCTATCTTTTACAAGTTTGCCCCAACACAAAACACAATGTACTACGTACTGTACTACTATTACTGTACTACCATTACTGATACTGTTGGGCAAGTTACTTCAAAATTGTAATGTGTTATTTTTTTATTACTTGTTACTGTCATTTCAAAGTAATTCGTTACATTACAATATTACTGTATTTAAAATATAAGATATAACACGACTATTGCAGCACTTTAACTTCTCACCATAATAACTGTTCCTGATTGTCAAATAACAATCAGCAAGCAAAGATGCAGAAATTTTGTGCCATATATGGACTGAACCAGGACTAAACCAGGACTGAACCAGGACTGAACCAGGTCTAAACAGGTATAAACCAGGACTAATCTTGGACTAGGACTTGGAATCTACGACCGCACAGAGAGAACCCCGAGCCCATGGAGCAGGGTGTCCGCAAAACGCGATCAGGCGTCAGCTGCACCTTGCCCCATGGAGCGTGGAGTTCTGCATCGGTCCTTTTGCCCGCAGTTACCCAAAGGTCTACACGGGCGCACCTCCTGGCCCGTCCTGACATTCGGAACCGTAACGATGGCGTTTCACCTCTGCTTATATCGCAGTGATTTCAACAAATTAGTATGAAGAAAAACTAAAAACCCACCACTTTGATCCAGGTTAAAAATGTATTGTAATGCACATTACTGACATTTGTACCGAGTAAAATATTAACATTTTTTTCCCTGTAATGCATTACTGCGTTACAGCAAAAAGCAATGGATTACAGTAATTTGTTACTTTTATAATGTGTTTTATAACACTGATTATTGAGTCTTACTGTCACTGGTATTATTTAGGCAACCATTTTAATTACAGCAGTTTTTAGGGACAGATATGTTTTCTTTTGTTGTGACTCTCTACATACCACAGATAAACTTTGCTTGCTTGTTATGAGTACATGAATGCAGTTACCAGCAGGCCTGACAGCAATTGTAATGCTCCTCATCGATGTTCTCTGTGTTTTCTGAGCCCGTTTCACTCGCTGGTAAACTCGCTGCACAAGAAGAAAACATAATACAAAACATAAGCAACATAAATAAAGTTATCAAAGCACTTTACATTTGACAATTCTGCTTTCACTCATGTTGCTTTTGTTTCTCCACAAATCACATTAACACATTCATACAGGCAAAGGGACGAACGATACATGGCTCAGCATACGATTTTATCACAATATGGCGATACATATTTTGATATATTGCTCTTTTTTAAGAACCAAATGCATTTTAACAACACTATTTCTTTGTTAAACCACCACCTGCATGAACTTTATATGAAATACACGAGTTTTAATCATCAAAACAGTAAATATGTCAAGTGTATTGCAGTGTATTGTATAAGCAACAAAATTATAGTAAAATACTCCTGTCGATATAGTGCTCCATCACCAAGTTTAGTATCACAATATTTTCGATATTTATGCCTTGCCACTAACCAAAATTAATGCAGGGATTGAACTAGGGATGCACCGATACGATACGGTTAACTTATAGCAGTGCCGATATTGAAATTTGTGATGGATCGGATTTCGGTTCAGTCGATATCGGTTCAGTGAATATCATTTGGTCTATAAATTTGTGTTTAAGAAGATTTACTGGACAATGTTGGCCCAAACACCTCATAATATTTTTCATAGTTTCATAGTTTCACAGTATTTTTTTTTTTTACTACAAGAAAATAACATTTATGTTTACAAAACATTTACATTTACTTTATTTAGTCTTTGCCCTAGTATTGGTTGATATCAGGTATGGGCAGATACTTAAAGCCAAAGTATCGGCATTGGCATCGAAACAGAAAAAGATCCGTATTGTGGGCAAATCTCTATCGGCTCAATATAATGACTCTTACACATTATTGCCAAACTGCTTTAAAAAAGAAATCTCCCTCATCCATTAAAACAGGTCATTTTATGTGAGACAGGCCCAGATTTTATTGGCACATCTCTATGTTTAGACTCGCACACTCGCAGTACAGTTAATATAAAAGATGATAACGTTACAGAAATAGCTCAAACTCACCGTGAGTCTCATTGGAGTGACTGAACCATCCGAACTTTCCTCTCTTCTTATCAGACAAGTCGCCTAAAGAAGGATCTGACAGACACAAAACATTATAAACACTGTTAGGCAAGTTACTTCAAAAACTGTAATGTGTTATTTATTACTTATTACTGTCATTTCAAAGTAATTTATTACATTATAATTTTACTGCATTACAATTTTTTTAAATGTAAAACATTACATGACTACTGCAGCACTTTTAAGTTACTCTCATCAAAATAACTATGCAAAGATGCCGAACCTTTGCGCTGTATGTGGACTAAAACTGGACTAAACCAGGATTAAATCAGGACTAAACCAGGACTAAACAAGGTCTAAACCAGGTCTAAAGCAGGATTGAACCAGGACTAAACCAGGACTAAACCAGGACTAAACCAGGACTGAACCCGGACTAAACCAGGACTAAACCAGGACTAAACCAGGATTGAACCAGGACTAAACCAGGACTGAACCAGGACTAAATCAGGACTAAACCAGGACTAAACCCGGACTAAACAAGGTCTCAACCAGGTCTAAACAAGGACTAAACCAGGATCAAACAAGGACAAATCTTGGACTAGGACTTGGAATCTAGGACCGCCTCTGAGAGAACCCCAAGCCTGTAGAGCAGGTGTCCGCAAAACATGATTGGGTGTTGGCTGGGCAAAGCTCCGGCGCTGATCCTTTTGCCCGCGGTTACCCGATGGTCTACGCGGGCGCACCTCAGGGCCCGTCCCAACATTCAGAACGGTCACTTTAGCGTTTCACCACTTCCGAATTTTGCGAATTTGTATGAAGAAAAACGAAAAACTCACCACTTCAATCCAGGTTAAAAATGCATTGTAACACGTTTCTCCCAACACTGATTATAAACCTGATTTGGGCTTATTTTAGCACCGGTATATTCAGACTGGGGTTACTACAAAACACAACTCCAGGTATGTTTTGAGGAGCTAACAGCGTTTTAACATGGCTTAAAGCTCACAAGAGTAAGTTTTGTGTAATATAGGACCTTTAATCAGGTGTAGCAACCAGAATTAACCAATGTCTAAAGCATGACTACACAAGGTCTAGCTCAAGCCCAAACCAGAAGAAACAGCTCTATCCCAAATACAGAACAGAATTTCAACAGTTCTAACTCCGAGCCAGATCTAAACCAGGACTAGACCCTTTTCTCACGTGGATTTCCATCTTCGTCCAGTTCGTCCATATCTTCTGCCTGTGTTATCCAGTCCATGTATCCACACAGGTCCTCCTCCATCTGCTGCTTCTCCCTCAGCTTCTGGAAGTCTCCTCGAGCCTTGGCCTTCTCTCTCTTCTTTACTGAACTCTCTACAACAAGATAATCAATACATATGTCAAATGATTGTTCATATATGATCTAATGTTTAAATTAATTATCACAAAGAAGCTACGAACCCACTGAGGACTCCCAAAACCAGGTTCAGGACAAAGAATGATCCAAAAATCACCAAGCTGACAAAGTACACCCAGGGCAATTCAAAACCTATGGCATCATTCATCTGGAGAAAAGATAAACAGGATAAATAAAAGATTAAGAAAGTTAATTACATAATGTTCAACAATAATTCATGCTGTTATGCTTTATTGCAGTGGTTCTCAAATTTCTGAGTTCCACCAGCTCTTAATCAGGTCATAGTAAGACTATTCTAGCCCTAAAGTTAGGCCCTAAAGACACTGCACATGTCAGAGTTTACATGTGTAACCTCGCGAAACCACACCGCACTGGCTCTGTGTTTCTCAATGGGAAAGACGATCAGACTTGACTTGGTGCGTACAGCCACTTTTAACAGGTCTACAGTGAAACTAACCAGCTAAATAGGCTTGTATTTAGGCTGACACACGTAAGGAAGTTTAAAGCACACATTATTTAACCTGGGCTCCTTCAGACAACACATACCTGCGCCAGGAACATGTTGTGCTGATGGTAATAGCACGAAAAAGTTTTTCTATGTATTTTGATGCCCCTACGCTCATATAGAGCTTCAAAAATAGGCTGAATACACACTTCTCCAATACTTTACAAATATTGTGAGTTTGGTCACTGGTCTCTCTGAGTTCAAAATGCGGTTACAGTAACTCTAAAATAAGCTATTAGAACTGTGGAGGAAATTGTGTACCATAAGAAGGAGCTACCACTGCTTTATTTGAGCTTTATTTATTAATGGTCACAGTCACAGCCATTCCAGTATTTTTATTCCCTCTGATTGGTTAATCTAATAGTCTCTGTTCATATAGTATTCATAGTAGCGCATACCCAGTAGAGCACATCCGTCCAGCCCTCCATTGTGATGCACTGAAACACCGTTAACATGGCGAAGAAGAAATTGTCGAAATTTGTTATTCCTCCGTTTGGCCCCTCCCACTTTCCCCTGCATTCAGATCCGTTCACAATACACTGTCTCCCGTGGCCGGCAAACGCACAGGGGACGGGCTCATCCTCCACGAATGTATCTGCGGGAGGAACATAGCAAAAATAGATTATAATACACACAAGAATATTGAGTATACCGTCAGGAAAACTGTCAAAATGTTGCATAAGAAAAGAACATAAACTTTCTGTATATTTTCTTATATAAGGGTCAACAGAGATATTTCTGTAGCCATATCATCTTGGTAAAGCCTGAGCTCGTCAAATCTCAGAATCTAATCAGGGCTGGGGCTGGTTAGTACTTGGACGGGAGATGTGGGGCACTGATGGCAAATTTAAAAAAAAAAGTTGTTGTGTCCTTAGGAATATGTGTATCATTCTTTCATTCACTCAAGACGAAAAAAATAAGAATTTTCTTCATTATTTGTCTCTAAAACCAAAATGACAAAATGGATAATGATTTGTTTTTTTCAGTTTTTGATTTTGTGAAAAAATGGATAATGGATGTTTCCCATTTCCATGACTTAAACTGTGATGCCGGACTTTCGCGCCGCATGTGGACTGAACCAGGACTGAATCAGGACTTAAACAAGACTAAATCAGGACTAAACCATTTTCTGTCCTGGTCTGGTCCCAGTCTCAGTCCTGGTCTCAGCCCCAGTCTGGTCTCAGTCTGGTCCTGATCTCTGTCCTGGTCTGGTCCTAGTTTCAGTCTCGGTCTGGTCTGGTCCATCTAGTCCCAGTCTGGTCCTGGTCTCAGTCCTCTGGTCAGTCAGTCCAGTCCAGTCTGGTCCTCAGTCTGGTCTCAGTGGTCTGGAAGTTCCTGTCAGTCTAGAGTCCTTCCTCTAGTCCTAAGGACTTGTTCAAAAAGTAAGTTCACAAGGTCACTTGATTATTGTTATCGGGAAAAAAAATATAAAAAAAATATATCTGTCATAACAAATATAACCACAACACAAGAAACCAGCTGTCATCTGTGAAAGAGTCTATTATTGCCAAACTTCACCTGTGGCGGTGTAGTAGCAGGTCCGGTGCATGCGTCCGATGAACAGCTCCAGTCCGATGATGGCGTAGATTATAATAACAAAGAGAACCAGAAGCGCGATGTGCAGCAGAGGGACCATGGCCTTCATTATGGAGTTCAACACAATCTGCAGACCTGAGAATGTACAGATAAATCAGGAACAAACCAGGTCTAAACTAAACCAGAACTATCCATGGTACGATAATTACTATATTGATTTATCATTCAATATATGAAAGCTGCAATAATATTTTTCTGGGGTCAATATCTTTCTTGGATACATTTTCTTTGCGCTACTGGGAATTTTTTTGGTTTTTTTTGGCTATATGAAAAAATGTATGCTATAAAAGGTTCAATTAATAACTTCTATGACTCATTACAGATGCAAACTAACTGCACTATAGAAATGTAACAATACCCAAATTTAGATATTTTCACAATAAGCATCTCACGGTACGATATTTATTGCCATATTTTGTGGAGGCAAACGAAACCGTGAATATGACACTGTTTTCCTTTTAAAATGCCATGACAAGACTTTGGTACTTGTAACAGTTATTTCTTCATGTAATCTGCAGTGAAACAAAGGATCATGGTCTATGTAGTTTCCTCTGTATTTTTAGCTATTGCTGCACTATAACTATTAATCATAAGTAGAGAAACTTGCAAGCAATTCAATATATTGTTCTGGCCCACAATATTATTGTGAGACTTTTGACGATACAATATCACGATATGTCGGTTATTGTTACATCCCTCGTGCACTGTGTCACTTTTCTGCAGGAGGGTCCGTCATCTGTTTGTCTCCATGCAGATTTTTGTGGAATGTCCCACTGTGGCATTAATAAAATCCATCTTGCATTTACTCAATAACATGGGTTTTTATTGACATGGCACATTTCAATGACGCTTTTCAATGCATTGTGCCTAAACTTAAAAAGTGAAATTGTGGGAAAACTACAAGAGATATTAATACCATTTTTGCTGTGCAAGTAGAACTTGTGGACCTGTACAACATACATTTGAAGTCTTGGTTCTATCAGGTTCTATGCCAAAGTTATAAGCGGTTTCAAGTTTTTATGCTCGCAAACGGCTTTTCAGCGCCTGTGTGAAACTTGTAACTTGTCCCTGTGGTGTCACCTGCTGTTTCCATAGAGATAAATAAGTGCAATGCCACACTTTGGAAAAATCCTGGCAATACTTCCATAGAAAGAAGATGGTGTTGTATTCTGCTATTTATTTATTTCATTATTGTACATTTAAAATAGTTTTGTGGTGTATATCTGCTCCTGGGTTTTTGTGTTTTGTTTATATATATTTACTTCAGCAGTATATTGTACTTCAAAATTTACTATAGTACTTCAAAATTTACTACCGTGACAGGTTTTGTATGCAGTAGCAGGACTAACGGCAGTCGTGTTTGTAGTAATAGTACTAGTACTCACTGGGTACACCTGATACAAGTCTCAGAGGTCTCAGGACTCTAAAGGCTCTGAGGGCCTTCACGTCGAGTCCTCCTGGTTTCCCCGGCATGTGATGAGTCTGCTCCCCAGATTTATGGGTCATGGTCTCCAGAACCACACTGAACAGTCTGGAATATAAAACAAACATACAACAAAGATAAAATAAAACTTAAATTATAGTCTCTAGAACCACCCTGAACAGTCTGGAAACATGAAATAAAGACATATTTATTTGCCTTTTATTTGCCTTTTCACAGTTTAGTTTAGTCAGTAGTGTCGGAGAGGATGAAGCGGACACAGGGAGCACTGGACCACACACAGGCTGGTGGTGGCTGTGTTTATGTCTGTCAGATATTATATTGAGTTGTTGAAATGATACAAAGTGAAGCCAAAGGGAGCTGCTGTCACATAAATACAGGCTCACATAAAGAGTTCAGGGCTACATTATTATACACGTACTAGTATTTGGGGTCTACGGTGCGACCTTCATAACATCTGCACAAACACACACACTCTGGGATGTATAAAAACTTATTTAAATTAAATCAGCTCCAAATCACAGAGAAGTAAATGCAAACAGCATATTAAAGGTGCACTGAGTAACTTTTTGAATCTGTGTATCATTCGTTGATTCGTTTTTCAATATAAAACCAAAAATAACAAAAAAAAAATAAAAAAATTCTTCATTATTTGTCTCTTGACTTTTGTGCTGTATATGGACTGAACCAGGACGGAATCAGGACAGAACCAGGACTAAAACAGGACTAAACCGGTCTCAGTCCTGGTCTCAGGTCCAGTGTGGTACCAGTCTGGTCTCCGTTTCAGTCCTGGTCTCAGTCCTGGTCTCAGTCCCGGTCTCAGTCCCGGTCTCAGTCCCGGTCTCAGTCCCGGTCTCAGTCCCGGTCTGGTCTGGTCCCGGTCTGGTTCCTGCCTGATCCCGGTCTGGTCCTGGTCTCAGTCCTGATCTGGTCCCAGTCTCAGTCCCGGTCTGGTCCTGGTCTGGTCCCGGTCTCAGTCCCGGTCTGGTTCCGTTCTCAGTCCCGACCTGGGCCTAGTCTGATCCCAGTCTGGTCCCGGTCTCAGTCCTGGTCTGGTCTCGGTCTCAGGCCTAGCCCTGTTCCCGGTTTCAGTCCTGGTTTCAGTCCTGGTCTGGTCTCGGTCTCAGGCCTCGCCCTGTTCCCGGTTTCAGTCCTGGTTTCAGTTCTGGTCTGGTAATGGTCTCAGTTCTGGTCCTGTTCCCGGTCTCAGTCCGGGTCTCAGTCCTGGTCCTGGTCCTGTTCCCGGTCTCAGTCCTGGTCTCAGTCCCGGTCTCAGTCCCGGTCTCAGTCCGGTCTGGTCCCGGTCTGGTTCCTGCCTGATCCCAGTCTGGTCCTGGTCTCAGTCCTGATCTGGTCCCAGTCTCAGTCCCGGTCTGGTCCCGGTGTCAGTCCTGGTCTGGTCTCAGTCTCAGGCCTCGCCCTGTTCCCGGTTTCAGTCCTGGTTTCAGTTCTGGTCTGGTAACGGTCTCAGTTCTGGTCCTGTTCCCGGTCTCAGTCCGGGTCTCAGTCCTGGTCCTGGTCCTGGTCCTGGACTCATTCCTGGTCCTGGTCCCGATCTAAGTCCTGGTCTCAGTCCCAGTCTGGTTCTGGTCTGGTCCCGGACCTGGTTTAGTCCTGGTTCAGTCCTGGTTCAGTCCGTATGTGGCGCAAAAGTCCGGCATCACAGTTTAAGTCACGGAAATGGAAGACGGCTGTTATCCATTTTTTCCAATTTTCATTTCATAATAATAATATCCATGGAGTAAAGCTGGTGACGGACCCTCCTCCAGAAAAGTCACACAATGCACCTTCAAAAAACCCAAATATTTCATAGTTTTATCATTTTTAAACCGTTCAGTGAGTCATCAGGAGTAAACAAGAACTCCATAATTAGAGAAAAAGTCAGAAATGGCCACAGGGTCCAGTCCAAACCAATAAGCCTTCATTGATTAATTATGATAATAAGTGTCTCAGCTCTGAAGCATGTAGCCCGGGGAGATGTGCTCATGAAGCTCAAACATTTACAGAAAAAAACAAACAAAAAAAAACTCAAATCTAAACTTGTGGTGGTAGAAGTGGTCAATCTTGTTACTTAAAAGTGCACTGTGCAACTTTTCTGATGGAGTGTCTGCTACCTATTTGTGGAATGTTCCTTTGTTATGATTTTAAAATATTCGTCTAGCATTTATTCATTACAAGCTCAAAAAATTGCTCAAAAAATTCAATAATTCCTTCTGCAAATAGGGTCGACTCTCCACAGATCTGAACTGTAATGTAGCGTAGTGCTGTATAGATCCATCCAAGACAAAGCAATAATATTTCCCTGGAGACAAGCAGGTGATTTTAATACTTTTACTTCTTTACGTTCCACCCTGGGACTTTCTTACCCGACGATGACGATAACAAAGTCGAGCAGATTCCAGCCGTTCCTGATGTAGGAGCTCGGGTGCATGACCAGACCGTAGGCCAAGATCTTCAGGAACGTCTCTATGGTGAAGATGATGAGGAAGACGTACTCCACTTGCTCCTGTAAAACACAAGACAACACAGAAAATTAGTAAAAAAACTGACAAAAACCAGGATCAAGAGCACAAACCAGAACCAAGATCCTTATGAAGAAAACGATTTGAACTTAATCTTAAAAAAACAGAATAAGGTAAAGACCAAAATGACACACACACACGCAAATTGTGCCTAGATTACAGCAATAACACAATATGGTAATGTGTAAATTAATAATATCAATTGTTTTGTAAAAAGTTAGATATTTATTCATCATCTTTTGTGTAAAAATATTGTAAACAAAACATCCAAGTTCATGTCTTTTGGATCAGGACTACAGCAATAAATTAAAGGTGCATTGTGTAACATTTCTGGTCCGGCACATGCTTGTCTCCTTGGAAATGTTACTGTTTGCCTTGATTATTTCACAGCATGGAAATAAACAAGTACATACATACATACATACATACATACATAGTAACAGTTCCTATTTTTAAGGTATTTTTGAGCTATAAAACACCTGTAATTGAATAAATGCAAGGCGGATATGTTTAATGCCATACTGTGGAATATTCTATGGAAAAAAATAACATCTCCATGGAGACAAGCATGTAGCGGACCCTCCACCTTAGAAGTTACATATTGCACCTTTAAATGCTATACCATAATTTGTTATAATGCATATAATATTGCAATGTAAAAGTCTGCATTTGGTTCTTTGAGTGAATTTGAGAAAGAACAAATCTTTTGTGTTGAGAAAAACACTGTCAACACAATTGCAAGCTCCAGATAAACCGTGTTTCATGGACAGTATAGTAATAGCGTGCTTTTGTGTGTGCGCGCGTGTGTAGGGGTGTGTGTGTATGGGTGTGTGCGTGTGTGTGTGACCCGCTGAACAGAATCTAGAGCATCTCTCAGATTAACTCTAATCTCTCTGTCTCTCCCATCACGGCCTGACTGCCTCTGCCCTGCCCTGTCTTCACTGTGAGGACCACTTCTAACACTACTATTCATTTAACAAGAAACATGAATATTTACAATGTGGCTTCATGGTATTTTGTGTTTTAGGAGAAACCTTTCTTCAAAATGCTAATTTTCCAGCACTGTTATTATTCTGTTCATGATTAATTCAATCATAAATTTGCATTGCAATGTGGAAAAAGATAGCTTGTTCATGAGTGAGGGGAAGATGGAGCGTGAGATTGACAGGCAGATCGGTGCAGCGTCTGCAGTGATGTGTTCAGACGTTCAGACCGCGGCGTCAAAAAACACCCTAGACGCCTCTATCTGGACGCCTTTGCACTGGAGTTCAGACTCCCCTGACTTACAGTATATATATATATATATATATATATATATATATATATATATATATATATATATATATGTATACTCTGCTAATGACACAGGTTCAGTCCTGGTCTAGTCTTGGTCTGGTTCTGGTCCAGTCCTGGTGATCGGCTCGATGATTGCGGAGTATATATTTATACTCCGCTAATGTTTGTGGCTCCCTGCTGACATTCTCGGGTCTTTCTCTTTCTTCTGGATAATAAAGTTGCTTCGTCCCTGATTAGTTGACGCAGTGTGCTCAACGTGAAAAGTCCAGCATTTTCAACTTCTGATGGCGACAAATTAGCTGCACATCTAGAGCGTTGATGGCAGAACGCTCAAGACGCGCCATATAGACGCTAGATTCACGCTGCACTGATGCCCGAAGACGCGTCGCAAAAACGCAAGACACCCTAGGCGCACATCCACATAGACTTTACATATAAACTGGACGCCTTGACGCCCTGGTCTGAACGGGCCTTTGAGAGAGAGGGTGAGGAGCTCAGTCACACAGGAGGAGCTTGGAGTAGAGCCACTACTCCTCCACCTCGAAGGCATGCGGAACAAATGCCTGGGGAAGGGCATTTGTTCCGCATGCCTCCTGGACGCCTCCTTGAAGAGGTATTCATGGGACTATATCTCTGGGCTGACTTTGGGGGCCCCCTGGAGGAGCTGGAGGAAGTGGCTGGGGTGAGGGAAGTCTGGGCCTCCTTGCAAAGCCTCCTTTTTTTTGTAAGTAATGTCATTGCAGTTACATCTGTGAGTAATTTTGTGTATTGTGTGTGTGAGGTCAGTCTCCCTGCTGTGAAAATTCATGCATGTGAATACTGATAATAGGCTTTAGAGTTTGGAGCCCGTTTAAATACACAGTTCCTCCTTTCTCAGTTTTAACATTTGAGTGAAGACTGAAATATGAACTGTTAAACTATTCCCAGAATTCTAGAAAATGTTTTAATAAAATACAGTGTGAATTTGATTTCAGTGTGAATTTGATTTATGACTCTAGACCTTCTGTTTCCTTGTTCTAAACTCAGCTTGTTGCCTTTTTATTCACTAACCCTCCACTGTAGCCGACATGTCCAGACTATCGTGACAATACATGCACATATACGAAAGTTGTCAAGAGAAGAAGAAAGTGGATATTAAAATGCATCAGTGATAAAAGCTCCGTGTGCAGAAACATCACGGCACTTGGAAGAGGCTAACAGTTTCTTTTGCATGTAGAGCTGTCACCTCACACTGTGCCGTCTCTGTGAAGGACGGGCGAGAGACACTCACACACACAGGACACCCGCGAGAGAGAGAGTTATCAGAGCGTGATCCAATCAGAGCTCAGCTGATCAACTCTCATCCTCCACCTGTCAATCAAACATAACACACGACCTCCGACCCCTGTGCTCTGTTATGGAGGAATAACACAAAGGGGAGGGCTTAGCTGTAGCATCACGAACAGCGTATGGACACAGAGAGCATCAACGATAAAAACTACAATTGGAAACATCCTCAAAGGAAACCGTATAGCATGGTTTGAGCAGTTTGGACATGACTTTTTTGGATCTTTTGTGAAACATGTTTAATTTAAATTCTAACTAAAATACTGAGGCCCACTAAAGGTGCACTAAACCAGATTTTCACACCACAGAAAAAGGAAATGGGTATTTAAGCCTAACTCTTCTGTAACTCTCCTAAACTCTTTGGCACATTGTTAATATCAACATGATTAAAACACAGACTGTATAAAGAGAGTGAGATGTCACCCATAGCTCCAGTCAAATGAAGCTCATGAGACTAGCAGTTAAAGGAACAAATTTGGAGTCAGGTCCATATTAGGAATAGGAATTTAGACAAAATTGAAAAATAAAAACACCAGGATCATGTAGAGCAGATTAATATGAACACAAAGACAAAAGATCAAAATGACAAGGCTCACTGCAGCAGTTACAGAGAAAAGGGCAAAATTTTCAACGAAAAGTCAATTGGAGCCATATAAATGTCCATTTATACTACTATATAGATCAGACCTGGGCATTGTACAGCTCCCAGGCCACATATAGCCCTTTAGTTGACTGGTCCGTTTAAGATTATTTGGAATTACAAAATAAACATATTTTATCATTTTACCTCATGCATGAACTAAAGCTGCATTGTTTTTATTTTAGTGGTGTTTTTTAAATGATATTTTTTGTAAGGCAACCTCACTGTTTCATTGCTTAGTCATAACATAAACTCTTGTCATGCTTATCAAAACAATGCTATTTACTGCTTTTTTAATAAAGAAATACAATTAATATTAAGAAGAATTGAGCATTTTGGCCCGGACCTCCACAATATTTTCTGTTACTTGTGTGGCCCCATGGAAAAAATAATTGCCCACCCCTGTTGTAGAGTCTATGGGTTCAACTCATAGAACTACAGTAAAATCTAGAAGATGAATCAAGATGCCATTGTATTGTTTTCAGTGGTCTGTGCTCACTGGCGCATTGTGCCAAAACAGATTTTTACTTCCGCATTACTTCCTGAATACTGGCCTTATGCTGAAAAATGTGACATCAGAAAAGTGCAGTTCTGACCAATCAGAGCGCTACCTGCTAGAGAGGAGATAGCGCGGGCTCAGAGTGGGACTAACTCTTACAAAGACAAAGCTGACTTTCAGGCATTTTGAAAAAAAAAAAAAACAACTCAAGTTCATATTGTAAAAATACAAAAAAATCCCTACAAAATCTGACCTTGAAAGCTGTCAATGCCCTGTCAGTCGAACACAGGCAGTTTGATTTCACTGCATTGTGCTCTGGGTGTGTGGGACCATTCTTTCTGGGCCGAAGCTCCCGGGAGCTGCTTTACCTACAGAGCGACCACTAATCAATCTCGCTCACGGACAGAGGGGACGTGTGTTATCCAGTTCTTATTATAGATCCATGGCTCAGGTGAACAGGGGTAGACCGGTTTAGTGCAGTCGACCGCTTTTGGTGCTTACATCCTGGTTTACAAGGAATAAAAATACAGCCAAATGCAGAGGACAACAAAGTGTTCTTAACTTAAACTTGAACACCTTTAGAACAGAGGACAGACCTAATCCGATTTTCTAAATGTTTCTGCTGGCCAAATAAACAATTTTGTGAAGCCCAGATAACATGACAACATTATATAGGCAATCATATTTAATACAGATTAGGGGAAGGTGAAATGGATATTGTTAAAATGCTGATTTTTGTTATAACACAGTGATTTCCTTGGTCTCGTCACTAATAAAAATGATCAGGTCCATTTGTGAATTTACTTAGATATTTGTCAAAAAGCACAATGTAATCAATAGGAAATATCATCCCTTGTCCCCTTCTGAGTGTAAGACATCATCACGTTCTAAAATCTGAAAACTATCAATAGAACTGATGTGATGGAGCAGAGGACTCACCAGGTCATGGTTTGTGGAGTTTGAGTCGTCCTCGGGGAAAGGCTTGGACACTCCCAGAGCCACACAGTTTGCAAAGATGGCCAACAGGATGAAGATATCGAACGGTCTAGAAAGAAGAGCTGAGGAATAATTCTGACACCAATACTGACATATAACATATATGGGTTTCATTTAAATGGCCCATATTACGCTATTTTCTGATCTATTATAATGTTGTTTCCTCATCACAAACAGACCTGGTGTTGAATTGTGTTTCATTCACACATGTTAAACAAACAAACTCTGCACATTTAACTTTGGAGATGTAGACAGACTAATAATAAATGGTTACTCAAACTCATGTGTGAATGAAAGGAAACACAAATCCAGATATGTTTTTGAGGAGGTTCCAACATTATAATATGTCTTAAATTCAGTTAATTAAAGTCAGTTTTGTGTAATACGGGACCTTTAATCCTTCACTTTAAAATGATATATATTAATGCCATAATTCTGAATATAGTATAATTTAATTTAATCTAACTAAATGTAGGTAATAGGGATGGGCATGATTAGTCGACTAATCGAAAACTGATCATTAAGAATTTCGTTGATTACGTTAATTTTTAATCGACAAACTGAATATAGGTTGCTGTGCGCAGCGAAGTGCAAGGAGACGAGGCTGTGTCTTACAGCGGCCTCACAGTCCCATCAGTATCCCGGGGTTTCATCATCGTGCATGTATCCTCCGAGTTACTGCAACGTAAAGAGCTGCACTAAACATGCACACGTGTGATTTCTGAAAACATGAACCATCTCCAACGCAATATAAACACAGAACAGACTCACCATCAGCACCATCAACATCCCTCTGTCACAGAAAGAACACTCATAATCCACTGAGTCATGTCCTTTACTCCAACAAAAGCTAAACCGCATCAGCACACAAGGAAAGAGCTGTTTTTATTATTTCTTTTCTCTTATAGTTTATGCAAATGAGCCATGTGGTTTTAAGTTTACTTTCTGTAAAACATAAACAAATGTGTCAAAGCTGAATTAAACACACTATAATCTGAAGCGGGCTGATGTGGCTCTATAGTGGTTCTGGTTTATATGTTGTAAAGTTGAGTTTATTTATGCTGATTAGTAACATTAATCATAGCAATAATACTTTGGTAACACTTTGATGACGATGTTTTGATCGTTAATACATAAAAAGTTTGACACAAATTAAAATGAATATGGTCCCTATTCTAAAGTGGTCTCTTTTTCACACTTAATTCATGTATTATGACATGCATATTAATAGTTCATATAAGAATAGGTAGTTGTACAAAACTATTCTTGGACAAAAATGGCCTAGTATCATACTTATAAGCAGTAATAAGGAGTGTATTAATAGGAAAGTGTTTGTAAATGTCTAACTAATATCAGAATAAGCTTATGGGGAATTAGACATTAATAAAGGCTGAATAAATACTAATTAATGACAAATTACTACAACTATGCTAATTAGCAGGTAGATAGATGTTAATAAGTGTACCCTAAAATAAATTGTTACACATACTTTTAATATAAAAACTTTAATGATGAATCGAAAATCAATCATTAATTCTCCCGACAATCAATTAAGAAAATTTAATCGAATGCCCATCCCTCGTATGTAATATGTATTTTTCCTTCAGTAATTGTAGGATACTTCCACTCAACGATGTGCAGAGCGGCCTGTCTGATGGGGTTGTTGAGTCGGAGGCAGAACAGGGCTCTGGGGGCTCTCTGCACCTGGTTTGTGCCTTGGACCTGGAGAAGAAACCAGCAAAAAGAACATTAGTACTATAATTTAGCCCATAATAATCAAGCTGAGACTAGCAGGTGCAGTTTCATCCTGTATTTCATATTAACTTTGCACAAATAGGGTTTTTTCACAAAGAAATATTGTTGTTAAAATGTATTTGGTTCTTAAAAAACAGTAATATATCATGTGTAATACATCGATTATCACATGTATTGCTATATCGACTTTGTGAGCCATGTATCGAGTATTGTATTGAATCGAGCAAAGAGTGACTCAGAATTAAGTTGTGTTTTTTTCTTATGGTTGTATCTTAAATCCCCCCTCACCTCTAAAAGCCCGTCACCCCCATAAGCCAGGCCCCTCACCTGTTTCTTGTGCGTCTGGCCCTTCCTTCTCTGTGTTCCAGTTGAACTTGTCGTAGAATGTAAAGTATCTGTCCTCTTCATCCTCATCCCGTCCGGTCCTCCTTCAGGATCTCCATCCAACTCGGGGTCCCATTGGTCTCCGCCCCCTTCCTCCTGTGGGGACCCCCATTGTTTCTCTGTGTCCCCGCCCCCTCCATCGCCGTCGCCCTCGCCCTCCCCTTCTCCTGCCCCCGGAGCAGAGCCGTCCATGCCTTTGGTGTAGCCATTTCGAACACCACCTGAACACAACACACAAAGAAAAGAAACGTTACTAAGAGCTCTTAAACACCACACAGAGAGTTGCTCAGGTGGTTCAGAGGTCATCTAAGTGATATTTTGTCGATGTAATCAGCAGTCCTTCGGGGTGCTGCTCTGTGAGAAGCTACACTAGTTAGATTGCATTTGATCTTTATTTTGACACAATCTGACCAGAAAAAGCCGACTTAGCTGGAACTACAACAGGTGAGATGATTTATGTTGTTAACAAGTCTCTCATATGTATGTACATTTACAGTCTACAGTCCTCCCAATCATTGACTATGGAGACTTAGTTTACAAATCCGCATCCGCAACACTGCTCCATAAGCTCGATGTGATTTATCACATGGCCATCTGCTTTGTCATAAGTGCACCATTCACCACCATCACTGCACACTTTACTCCTTGGTGAAGTGGCCTCTCTCCACACCAGCAGACAAACCCACTGGTTATTGTTAATTTACAAATGTTTAACTGGTAAAATGTTGTTCTACCTCAGCTCACTACTGCACATCCACAGCTCCAGACATCACAAGGTGGAACAGAGCATTTTGAGCTTTGGACATGCAGACAGACTGTAATAAAGGATTACTCAAACATGTGCGACACATGTGGTGTGTTTTTGAGGAGTTAACAACATAATAACATGGCTTAATGTTCACAAGAGTTAATTTTGAGTAATATAAGGCCTTTAAGATGCCAAATAACTGTATATTATATAGTGCTATAATTCCTATAGGCTTCCGACATAACAGCTTTAACCTCAATATCCGCTTTCACACTTTTTGACTATGGACCATATGTTGAAAATTGTAAATGTAAAATGTGTAAAAAAACAAAAAAAACAACCTTCCGTTCATTTGCTGTAGTGTGAAATGTGTTGAACCATGTGACCAGAGAACAGCTGTGACCTACATCTGACTCCAACCATCACTAATCACAATATACCTGATATTTAAGGGACTAAACCAAGACTAAACCAGGACTAAACCAGGACTAAACCAGGATTAAACCAGGACTGTACTAAGACTAACTCAGGGTTACTAAACCAGGACATAGTCAAGACTAAAACAAGCTTGAACTAGGCCTAAACCAGGACCGAACTAGGACTTGCCAAAGACTACTGAACCAGGACTAAACCAAGTCTGAACTAGGTCTAAATCTGAAATGAACCAGATCTATTGAACTAGGGCTAAACCAGGGTAGAACCAGGACAAAGATAAGATCATGACATTAACCAGGATTAAATGAAGACTAAAGATGTGACAGGGATGGAACCAAAACTAAACCAGGACTAAATCAGGACTAATCAGAATGAAACCAAAATTGAACCAGGATTTAACAAAGACTAAACTAAGACTTAATCAGAACTATCCCAAAATGGAACCAGAACTAAATCAGGACTAAACAGGAACTAAACCAGGACTAAACCAGGACTAAACCAGAACTAAATCAGGACTAAACAGGAACTAAACCAGGACTAAACCAGGACTAAACCAGAACTAAATCAGGACTAAACAGGAACTAAACAAGGACAAAACCGGGACTAAACCAATGATAAACTAAGACCTTATCAGTACAAACCCTAAATGGAACCAGGACTAAACCAGGACTAAATGAGAACTAAGCCAGAACTAAATCAGGACTAAATGAGAACTAAACCAGGACTTAATCAGAATTAAACCAAAACTGAACCAGCACTGAAACAGGACTGAACCAGGACTAAACCAAGACTTAATGAGAGCTATCCCGAAAAGGAACAAGAACTAAATGAGGACTAAACCAGACCTAAACCAGGACTAAACCAATAATAAACAAGGACCTAATCAGTGCAAACCCTAAATGAACCAGGATTAAACCAGGATTACATGAGAACAAAACCAGGACCAAACAAGAACTAAACCAGTCTTAATCAGAATTAAACCAAAATCAAACCAGGACTAAACCAAGACTTAATCAGAGTTATCCTGAAATGGAACCAGAACTTAACAGGGATTAAACGAGAACTAAACCAGGATTTAATCAGATTTAAACCAAAAGTGGAACCAGGACTGAAACTACTGACTAAATCAAACTTAACTAAACAGGATCTAAACCAGATATAAACCAGAGTTAGATCTAAATCCAGACCGGACAGATGTGTTGTGTTTCTAAATATACTAGTACAGAGCAGAAGGACCAAGTGAGCCATCACATGGTCACATGACTGGAGTCACATGACCTGCTGGGGGCTGGTGGAGCCTCAGGTCCAGACAATTATCCCAAACAGTGTCTTCACTCAGTCCACTGCTCTGTCTCCTCTCATCACATCAGTGACACAGGCCTGGTCCTGGACAGAGGAGGAGTCAAGTGGGACTAAAGACTCATATGAAACAGACTGAGGAGAAGAAGGAGGTGTACCAGTTAAATAGTAATAATCATAGCCTGCATGTAAATGGACATAGCTAACCCAAGGAAGTGTTCATGGAGGCTCTTCTGGCTCCACTGACTCTGGCACCAATTGACTTTATTTTAAAAAATTGTCTCCCCTCTTTCTCAAACTGCTGCTGTGAGCTTCATCATTTTGGTCTTAAAATGGCTCTACATGATGTTTTTATTTCACTATTCTGTATGTAACCGAAATATATAATATCATCAAAAGTCTCACAGTAATATCATGGACTATCACAATATATCGAATCACAAGTTTGCTTAAATGCATGGTTTTACAGTAGCAACAGCTTCAGAACATCGGAAACTACATGTCTCATGATTCATCAGTGCAGACAACATGAAGATATACGTGTTTGACTTGAATTCTTGGGATGATGATGGAAATAATTTACACCAAAATCTTGTCAAGGTATTTTAAAAATATAAACGTGTCTTATCTACAGTTATATCAGCCTCTCCAAAATATAGCAATAAACATCGTACCGTGAGATTTGGATATCGTTACATCCCTAAGAATAATGCATCAGTTTTATATAGCGCTTTTCTGGACACTCAAAGATGCTTTTGTCCGTAATTCCTGATATGCATTTGGCTCCAATTTTGCTCCTATGACCGCTAGCGTCGTGAGCTGAACACTGTGGGTCAGCGGTCCTCAACCATTTTTTTGCGCCACGGACCGGTTTAATATTGAACAATATTTTCACAGCCCGGCCTTTAAGGTGTGGTGGATAAATATGACAAAATAAAATGATAACGACCAACACAAAAACTGGTATTTTGTAAATATTAGGAGTGTAACGATATCCACAATACGATATCATCACGGTATGAACCTCACGGTACGATATTTATTGCGATATCGTGGGAAAGCTCACGATATGGTGGGGAGGCTCACGATTAGGGATGTAACAATATCCAAATCTCTCTGTATGATATTTTCATGATATACATCTCCCGGTCCGATATTTACTGCGATATTTTGTGGAGGCTGCGAACAAAACTGTTAATATGCTTCTTTTTCCTCTTAAAATGCCTTGACAAGACTTAATCCAAAGAACTAAGACTTAAAAGTGATTAGAACTGTTATTTCTTCATGTAGTCTACACTGAAATAAAGCAAAGGATCATGGTCTATGTAGTTCTCTCTCTTTTTTTTAGCTATTGCTGCACCATAACTCTTAATTTAAGCAAAGAGACTTGAAATTCGATATATTGTGATGGTCCACGATATTATTGTGAGAACTTTGGCAATACGATATCACGATATTTCGGTTACTGTTACATCCCTAGTAAATATAATAATAAACGTTTCCAAAGACGTCTTTTTTTACTCATTTTGCAGCTTGCAAATTTAATATTAGCGTTAATTTATCACGTGACCGAGACAAGCATCGCAAAATGAGTGAGTCAAGAGTGTGTCATAGACGGATGCAATGGAAAGAATTTGAAAATGTTTCTAAATCGGATTTGGATAATGAATAAAATGGAAATAATGTAAGTTATTTATTCTTTCTGTGTGTACCAGTACCAAATGACCCACCATCTGTGATAATAATACTTGTTTTGGAGATTTTACAGCAAACTTAGGACTTGATATTGTATTAAAATGAAAACTATTTAAAGTGACTTAAAAAGATGCATAAAATATATAAAGATTTTGTCAATATTGCCCAACTCCACCAGAGAGATTCATTTGAATGCAAAGGAAATACAATATTACTTTTTCAGTGTGATTTTTGTGAACTTTGCCACTGATAAAATGCTTTTTCAAATGTAAAATTACATATATATATATATATATATATATATATATATATATATATATTATTATATATATATATATATATATATATATATATATATTTTTTTTTTTTTTTCCCAGTTATCTGTAACAAAAAAGCTTCAAATCGATCCCCTGTAGCATCTGCCATAAAAACTCAGAGAAGAATTGCCCATATTGCTCTCGCTGCTTTATCTCCTGGACCTCCTGAACTTTATCTAAATTGAGAAGTTAATCCCTAAGGAGGATCTGAGCTCAAATGGCTGTCGCTGTCTATGGTGCTGATGCTGTTGTCGTGGAAACAGGGCTTTAGATCTGACCCAAGATGACATGATTGTTACAGTGACAGCGAAAAGGTAATCCGCCCTTTTGTCCCAGATACAAACCCTAAACACCTTAGACCTGGTTTAGTTCTAGTTTAGTCCAAATAGAGGCTGGATAGTCCGGGTTCAGTCAGTTCAGTATAATCTTCACATTTCCTTTAAGTCTTTTCTGATCCAACGTGTGATTATTTGAACAAAGGGTTAAATACACTCTTTAAGATTATGAATTTAAATAAAGACTATGAAAAGTTTTTGAATTAACCTATATTAAGCTATATATAAAAGTCCATATTATGCGATTTTCTTGGGATGTAACGATATCCAAATCTCTCGATACGATATTCTCACGATATGTTTTTCACGGTACGATATTTATTGTGATATTTTGTGGAAGCAAAAACAAAAAAAAATTTGAGTATATGCTACTTTTCCCTCAAATAAAATCCAAATAATTAAGATTTAAAAGTGCATCATAACAATTATTTCAGCATGTTGACAGGACTGAAACAGAGCAAAGGATCATGGTCTATGTAGTTTTTTAGCTGTTGTGGCACCAAAACAATGAATCTAAGCAGAGATACTTGAGATTCGATATATCGTGACGACCCATGATATTATTGTGAGACTTTTGACGATACGATATCACGATATTTCGATTATTGCTACATCCCTACTATTTTCTGATCTGTGTTATAATGTTGTTTCCTCATCACAAACAGACCTGGAGTTGTGTTTTGTTTCATTCAAACATGTTTAACACACAAACCCTGCATATTTAGGCTGTTATTCTCTCAAACAGAAAGCACTCTGTTGCACCTTGTGATGTCATGTGGTAATACAGGATGTGCTCCACTGTGTTTTTAAACTCCATACACCTTCACTAGAATCATTCAGATAATTTCAGTCATGGAATTGCCAATCTCTGCTAAACAAAAGATAAAAGGCATTTGTTAATATGAAAACTACCGCTTCATGACATCAGACATTGGAACTGAGCATTTTGAGCTTTGGAGATGTAAACAAATAGGGCTAGGTATCATTAAGAAGTTGCAGATACGAAACACTTTCGATATGATACGATTCGATAGGATACATTTCAAATGAATTCGATATGGTTCAATAAAAAATAAAGGCTAAATCATGGCTGTGCAACATTCATATGAAACACAAACATTTTAATCATCACAACAGTAAATATGTCAAATGTGTTGCATGAACGAGTTTTTTTTTTTCACTAAACAAGTAACAAAACTGTAGCGCTGTAACAGAATCATTTAGTAAAATATACCCCAAAAATACTCTTGGTGATATATCGATACAGCAGCCCACAATATCACTACTGTATCATCACATTTAACTATAAGATATATCAATATTTCAATATTTTAGCACACCCCTATATACAAATAATACATTATTACTCAAACATGTACAAATGAAACAAAACACAACTCCATGTCTGTTTTTGAGGAGGTAACAACATTATAACATGGCTTAAATCTCACAAAAGTCAATTTTGCGTAATATAGGACCTTTAACTGTCACCATAGTTGATAATAAGTAAATTTAGAGCAAATTTTCACACAATATCAGATCGATTTATGAATTGTAAAGACAAATGTTGACAATATTTGAGAAATTAAACCTAGGCTACAGTTTCTTCGTAATATTTCAGCTACGTGGCCAAAATGATTGTGTTTGTATGTTCCAAGAGAGAATGAGTACAGAACGCATGGTGGACCAGTTGAGGTGGTAATTTTAGGTCAAGAAACGTGCACTCTAATAGGGCAATGTAAAAACGCAATGATACAGTATTAACAGATTTTATATTTACTTGGTCATTTTAAGTAGAAAATCAGATTCAAATGAATTTATACACTGGAATATACACAGAAAGTTCAGTTCGTGGTTACAATAAGTGCCATGCTCAGTGTTAATTATTACAATTGACCTAAACAGAGGCTAAGGCAGAACTAAAAGACAGGGTGCTTACAGAACTGAAGACCCTGGTTTAAAAGGTTTTCTGATCTATGTTATAATGTTGTTTCCTTATTAAAGCATATTTCACTAGAATAATTTGGATAATTTCAGCTCTGGATTCATCTTCTTTACTGAACAAAACATAAAAGGAGCTGGTGACTTGAAAATTTTACAATTGCTGGAAGAGAGCATTTTGAACTTTGAAGAGAGGATTAATCAAACATGTGTGAATGAAAAAAACAAAACAAAACACAACTCCAGGTATGTTTTTAATAAGGTAACAACATTTTAACAAGGCTTAAAGCTCACAAGAGTCAATTTTGCGTAATAAAGGACCTTTAAAGAGGACCCAGGTTTAAGTGAAAGTAAAATGAGTGACGGGTCAAAACAAGATTTAAAACAGGACTAAACCAGAACTAATAAATGCACCAAAAATGGATATCGTGCAACACAATTTTAGTAGATCCAACATTTGACGTGAAATGATGTAATATAAATCATAAACGTAGCCGGTTATCTGTGAGAAAATGGTGGAAAAACACGTATTTGACGCTGATGTTGATCAAAAATGACGTTTCTTACTTTTCCGTCCTTCGTCGTACATCTCTCCAGTTTCCAACTCTCAGCTCCGGACGCGCTCTGCTCTCTCCATCTTCACTTCAGTTTTTATTTTACACTTTTAACCCGACCGTATCCCATTCCTTTTTCTGTTCATTTCACAAACGATTCCCATGGCTACGTTTTTGGAAAATATAATCCACAAAAAACGTCAAAAAATTCTTCTGTAAACAATATTCCGTCCGGTTTGGTTGAGTGCGCGCTTTGACCCTGCTCCTCCTGCGCGTTAATCTGCGTCCGCGCGCGCACGACAGAGTTGGGTGCACGTGAGAGAGAGTGCTCGTGAAGCCGTATACGAGGGATTAGAGAGAGAGAGAGAGAGTGAAAGATGGATGGATGGACGGATGGAAGTGAAAAACAGAAGAGGGAAACGGTCTATTGTGTATCCGGATGGGAGGCGGTAAGGGACAAATGGAAGCAAATTTGTACATTTTACTTTACGAGGACTATTTTTTTGACCTAAATGTTTATCATGCAACAGGTCTCATTCTATAGAGCGTCTCCTACTCTTATATACAGCCTATAGAATATTAAAGATGTCATTTTTTTGTTTATAAGACCTGCTTTTCACTTGAGATGTTAAGGTTTGTCAGTAATGTCCCACAGTATGACATTAAATTTGTATATTTATAACATTTATTTCATTACAGGTGCTTTTATTACCTGTAGATCTCTGAAGGAAACAACTACAACTCCACACACAAGAATCAAATCCAAACCCACCTGTTCTGTGTAAAGTATTCTTCTTTGTAACACAGATCACAATGACCTCATACCGAGCCTCCTTCTCGTGTCCTCTCCTCTGATTGGACGGAATCGGCAGGGCATTTCCTGTAAAGAAGGGGAGTGAGGTAGCCCACATGTGTACACTTCAGGTAAATTGACTTTGTGTAAGAGAGGACAACGTGAAGGTCAAAACCTCTCCTCATGTCGTGTGTGTGTGTGTGAGGGTTTAAGGAAGTGATGAGGTCGAAAATAAGGAGAAAGAAACAATCGTAATCTCTTATTTTGTTTTTCGCATTAACCGTTCGGACCAGAATCTTCCCACGAGAGCAGTTTCTTCATTTCTGCTGTTGGACACTGGTCACTTTAAAGGTGCATTGCGTAACTTTTTGGCTTGTTTCCATGGAGATGTTATTGCTTTGCCTGGAATGTTCCATGGTATGACATTAATCACATCCATCTAACATTTATTCATATTTATACGGGTGTTTCTGTTGCTCAAAAATACAACAGTTCTCTGTGAATAGGATTGCCTCTCCACAGATCTGGCCTGTAATCTAGCCTATAGATGTCTCCAGGTTTAATCTCTACTATGGAACATTCTAGAGACCATTGTTTCCCAAAGACTGGGTGAAACTGAGAGATTTTGTTGGGTCGCCTTGTCACGATCTGCACATTGGTTAAAATGTTGACATGTTTTGTATAATTTCTAATCTTTTTGTAATTATTTTATTGATTATTTTGTTCCAATATTGCTGTGGTTCAATTGAATTTTGAAAAAAAAAAAAGAAACGGGCTGCATTTAATGTCCAAATAGGCGACTTATGGATCCTTTTATTGCTGGTTCAATTTCTGTTTTTCATTGTTTATAACTTGAGTAATACTAATTGTTCAGAGAGACACGATCACTCAGTCAACAATAAAATATCCTCATTAATGTTCAATAATGTTCAAATTCACTTTTATTTTGTGATTCACAAATAATGTCTATTGACTTGGGTCGCGAAGGTTTGTGACTTTTAAAATATGGATCCCCACAAAAAAAAGTTTGGGAAACACTGTTCTAATCATCTCCATGAAAACAAGCAAGTGACGGAACTCCCACCAGAAAAGTTGTGCAATGCATCTTTAAATAACTCACTTCATATTTGCACTGTTGCTGTGTCCACACTGTATATTTGTTTCATATTCAGTATTCTATTTGTAAATTCTTTATTTTAAGCATGGCTTTTAGCTGAACTTTATATTTGACAATGTTTTACTATTATTTTTTATTACTGTCTATTATTATTACTACTACTACATCAATAAATTAACCTTTGGCTGTAGGAGAAATGTGGGAACGCTGTACATGATTCTCTGAGCCAGGATCCAGATCAGGACCAGGTTCCAGTCAAGTGAAGCTCACGAGGCTGGCAGTTATAGGAGCATATCTGGAGTCGGTATCTATATTAGGAATAGGAATTTATTAATGAAGAAAATGCCGAAATAAAAACATGTAGTACGTTATTACGAACATTTTAAAGGGACAGTCCGGAATATTGGACATAAGGCCTCATTTCCTAGTGAGCCAGAGTCTTGGAGACGTGTGGAGAAACATTTTTAAATATTCCATCCAGTCCTTGTATTTACAGAGGTCGCTGGTGCTAGGCTAGAGCATGTCAAGGGTCTTAGTTATCCTGCCTCTAAAAACAGTATTACCCACTACAAAACACCCAAAGCAAGTCTGTAATTACACCAGACTGTCGATGTAAATGTCTGTGTTGATAGAATAACGTTAGAAATAAAACTAACCTTGCACCGCATGAATCGTCGCATGTTGAGGGACTATTTTCTCATAGATCAGTCCACCACTGCCAAGTTTTCTATCAAGAAGTACAACTCACTGCTGCTGCTCAGACATAAATCCTTCAAATGCAAGGTTGGTTTTACTTCTAAAATTATTCTATCAACACTGACATTCACATCGACAGTCTGGTGTAATAATAGATTTTCTTCAGGTGTTTTGTGGAGTGGGAAAGACTGTTTTTAGTGGCAGGATAACTATGGCCATTGACATGCACTAGCCTAGCACCAGCGACCTCTGCAAATACAAGGACTGGATGGAATATTTAAAAAAGTGTCTCCACACATCTCCAACACTCTGGTTCACTAGGAAATGAGGTCCTATGTCCAAAATTCTGGACTGTCCCTTTAAGACCAAAATGACAAAGCTCACAGCAGCAGTTACAGAGAGAGGGGTGGCAATTTTTCAAGGTAAAATCAATTGGAGCCAAAAGCATCTCCGTGAACATTATTTCAATATTCCACATTTGGAACGTGGTGGATAGTGGGTTAGCATTGCCATTTATATACACAGTCTATGGTCAGAACCCAAAAATAGACCAAATGGAACTTGCGTCAAGATCTGGAAATCGATGGAGTTTAACACAAAACACTGACCCTGGTTTGAATCCCGCTCACTTCTGTTAGTTCCTCATTATTTCTTCTTCTCTCCCTGATTTCCTGTCAAACAAAGGCACTTTATTGGACTTTGTAACACGTTTTAATGACACAAATACGACATTCTCCTCCTTTCTGGTGTTTCCTCTCTGCAATGGGACCACTCTCCTCTCTGTGTTAATCCACATTAATCCTGCTCTAATCCAGACCTCGGCCCGGACCGTAACACTTGAGTTATTTTTTCCCTTCAGCTCAATAACACTACATTTTAGACAGGGGCAGACAGGAGCAGACAGGAGCAGAGACAGAGGAGCTGACAGGAGCTGAAATAGAGGAGCAGGCAGGAGCAGAGACAGAGGAGCAGGCAGGAGCAGACAGGTGCAGAGCCAGAGGAGCTGACAGGAGCAGAGACAGGAGCAGACAGAAGGAGAGACAGGGGAAGACAGGTGCAGACAGGAGCACACAGGTGCAGAGCCAGTGGAACTGACAGGTGTAGAGGAAGAGGAGCAGACAGGAGCAGGGACAGAAGAACAGACAGGCGCAGATAGGAGCAGAGCCAGAGGAGCAGGCAGGTGCAAAAAGGAGCAGAGACAGGAGCAGACGGGTGCAGAGGAGCTGACAGGTGTAGAGACAGAGGAGCTGGCTGGTGCAGAGACAGGAGTAGGGACAGGAGCAGACAGGAGTAGACAGGAGCAGATAGACTACAGAATTACACAGAGACTTTACACAATATTTTAAAATGCTGTTTCTTTAATGAAGCACCAGTTCAATAAAATGGCAGATTAAAAAAAAACACAGTATAAAAATAAAAGCATGGTATAAAAAACAAAACACAAGGATATATACCGTAAGTGCAATGGACACACGGTTTAAAATTGTAGCTGCTTCAGTTCAGAGTGCACTGTGGGTAGTGTAGTTCCTATAATACAGTTCTATTGAGTTTATTTGCTGGTGGTTGAACACTGATTTTATGATATGATAATTCTGTTAAGACAATTTGTAGAAAAAGGTGGAATTACACATTTAAAATCACTTCTGTATGATAATAAAACTGCATCTACAAAGCAGTGAGAAAGGAATTCAAGTTTAGTTTTTATGTACAAGTCCGAGTAACTCTTTTGTTATGAAAATGTAATTTGATAAAAATATTGTACAGTTTTCCCTTTAGTTAATTATTATGCATTTAATTTAAAGGTGCACTGTGCAACTTTTCTGGAGGAGGATATGCCACGGAGATGTTATGACCTATCCTAGAATGTTCCAAAGCATTGTTTTATTTCTTTATCTCCATGGAGACAAGGTAAAATTACAGAGAGGTCCCAAAATAATGCAAGTTTTTCAAGGTATTTTTTTTAGCAATAATAACATATGCACTGGAATAATAAAAAAATAAATGACCATAATGTGGACATATACAAAGCAATATCATTTTCCTGACATGTTATGTACTCTCCTCTAGGAAAGTTACACAGAGCACCATTAACAGCGGGGTCACCTCTCCACAGATCTGACCTGTAACTTGCTCTGATTTGGTCTCCATGAAGATAGAAATGTTTAATACCATACTGTGAAACATTCCAGACAAAGCAATAACATATCCATGGAGAAAAGCGTCGACGGACACTTACTTCAACAGAAAAGTTACACAATGCACCTTTAAATGTCATTGATTTGATTTAAGAGTCTGGTTCTAGTCCATTTCCATCTGCAGGCCTAATCTAAGGACCTAAAAAGTTACGTTCACATTCTAAAATTTAAAATGGAGGGCGTGGACCTTTATATCTCTATGAAAGATTCACGTTTTTTGACGGAAATATCCCAAAATTACGTTTTCGTTACTTGTTAGAAACTGCCATAGTCTCTTGGCTTTAAATCCTGACAGCAATTACACCATTAGATTGGCACCATGTTCTGCAGCAATTGTGAACAAATAAATTCCCTTTTGTTTATTCAAGCTGACAGAGAAGGCATTGAACTTTGCACCAGTTTTGTTTCTCTTGTATAGACCCAGTAATTACAGAGATATTAACCATAAACCAGGTCAACAAATCTGCAATCTGACAGTTAAAAAGTCCTATATTATGCAAAAGTTGACTCTTGTGAGCTTCAGAATATAATATAGTTTTTATAATGTTGCTACCTCTTCAAAACCACACCCAGAGTTGTGTTTTGTTTCATTCACACGTTTGAGTAACTCTTTATTATTTGTCTGTCTACATCTCCAAAGCTCAAAATGCTCTGTTGCTCTTTGTGTAGTTTTCAGCGACATTTTATCTTTTGTTTAGTAGTGACTGGCAATTCTAGGGATGAAATTATCCAAATGAAGGCCTATGGAGTTTAAAAACACAGTGGAGCACTTCTGGGATTACCATATGACATCACAAGGTGGACTAAATCTGCAGGATTTATGTGTTAAACATGTGTGAATGAAACAAAACACAGCTCCAATTATGTTTGTGATGTGGAAACAACATTATAATATGGATAAAATAGTGTAATATGGGCCCTACTATAATGTTTTGATGTGAATGTAGTCTAATAAAATAGTATTGTGTAGTTTTCTTTCCTTCATCTCTACGTGCTATGATGGTCCTGGTCCTGGCTGATCAGGGGTCAGTTCCATCAGGTCTCGGTCTGGGCTCTGGACTGGTCTCTGAGTTCATCTCTCTTTAGCTGTTCTGAGGTCTGTGGTGATGGGGTCGTGCTGAATCGTCTGGTGTAGCATTAAAGCCAACATCCCCGCTCTGTTGGTCATGGCCGTGCGAAGGTTCCTCTCCTGCTCAAACAGTTCATCCAGTTTGTACCACTGAAAAAGAGAAGATTATATTTAATTAGGATTATATTGTACAATTTATTTTATAATGTACAGTGAGTTTCAGTTTTAAAAATGTTGCTGATTCAGTGCAAAGAGGCATGTTATTAGCAATTATATGTTTTCTCAATTGAACTAAAATACATACTGTGTCCCAAGAACAAGCATTAATGATTACTTGCTCATTACTTTGCAGCTGATTTCATCAACATTCCCTGGGGTTGTGAAGTGAACTGAAAGCACTACTCTGTCTGAGGCTCTGTTACTCAAGTTAGATTAAATCTGATCTTTATTTTTACACAATCTGACCAGAATGAGCTGACTTGGTTGAAACTTGAAGAGGTGAGATGATCTGTATGATCTGTGGGAAGTCTCTCACACAAAATTCCGACAGTTTTTCCAGCAGTTTTTTAGTTTGGTTCGTCAGGACCATGAATGCTTGTAATGATCATAGGCTTCAGAAAATGTGCTGTTTAAATCTATTTTGTATTTCTTTCTTGAGTTATCTGACTGTTATAAAACATGTTTGACAGCGTTCGCTAATGTGTTATTGTTCATTACTGATAAACATAAACTGATAAACATTTCACCAAAAGATAAATGTAGAACACCCCCAGCATGATGTAACCACAAAGTATCAACAGGTGTGAAGATAGAGTCTGTGGTTGTATATTTTATATTAGCCTAAATATCCTATGAATTAATTATAAAGCGTAATTTACAATAGAGGTCTGCGCGGGACAGAATTTTCAGTCCCTCTCCCGTCCGCACCCACAAAGAATTGTAATTTTCATGTCTGCTTCTGCTCACATCTGTGATATTTTGTCCCACTCCCACCCACAAATCCCGCAAGATGGGGACGTACGCTTTCTTAAGCTTATTCAAACACAGAGAAGCTGGAAGGAATTGTCTAAAATGTGCGCAAGATTAGACCACATCTGCAAATTTAGGCTGCTTAAAATGTTTTTATTAATGCCCAATAAAATATCCAGCACAAATGATGCATGATAGGCAGACATTAATCATTTGTATATTTTAATTTACACTCATATTTAGTTTGTGGGAGTGCAGTTTATCATCCCACCCGCCCGCTCATGCATTGTGCAGTCCCACTCCCGCCCGCAATGAGCTTTCAAAATGTGTCCCGTGCCGCATTGTTTTGCGTCAGGACCTGCGGGGCTCTAATTTACAAGTACTGATATTCCAGATCCAGATCCAGCTTTGTTCCAGTTGCAGAGTATAATGTACATTTCTGAAAAGGTTTTATTCACTCTTCTCTTTTAATGTTAATTTTATGGTGATTATTTATGTTTAGATTTTTTTGTATTGTGATGTTAATGTCTTTCTTATTCTGTAAAGCACTTTGAATTACTTTGTGTACAAATTGTGCTGCCTTGCCTTGTTTTGAGTATATTATTAGTGTGTACACTGTCCAGATTTGTTCCAGGGTTGAAGAACTGTTGTACATAGCAGCAGTTTTTTTCTGTTTTGAGTATTATTAGGGTGTAATGCATAGGTTAATATTGTCCTCACCACTCTGACCCTCTCCAGATCCACCTCAGCCCTCCTCAGTTTCTCCCAGCAGTAATGTTTGTTACACTTCCTCTTGGACACTCTGCAGAACTCTCCTGTCGGCTCAAACACGTCTTTGACCAGAGGACAGCCACACACCTCATCAGCCGGGACCTGGGACAGAGAGAATAAATGAGTTATCAAGTGCGAGCTGCTGTAACATCATTGTATTTTATTGTTATTCATATTTTTCTCACCTTGGGGTCTCTGGAGTGCTCTGGGCACAGCACCTGCAGCCTCTTACAGTAGGTTTTACTCTGAGGATTGTACACATCACAGAACAGTCTAGTGGCTCTGGAACAAAAACCAAAAGAAAATTATAAGTAAAGTATAATTTTGTATTCACAGTAGACATAAAATGAAACAGTGAGAACATAAGGCTACATTTAATTGCGTCTGACCATGAAGTTGTGATAACCTAACTGAGTCTACTTTTTCAAGGATTTGATTTATATAGCACTTTTTATTTACAGTGCATTCACTCCATACTTAGTGGTGATTCTAGAATTGTAGCCACAGCTGCCCTGGGATAGACTGATGGATGTACACTACCAGTCAAAAGATTTACAGCTTCCTATTTTTTATTTTTTATTTTTTGCAATTCAAGTCGTGCAAGTGCAATGAAGAGCTTGAAATGGTACAAAGGTAAGAACTGAACAGCCAGAGGTTAAAAAAGATAATAAAGGAAAATAAAACACAAGTCCAATCTCTGCCAAAACTACCTCAGGAAAAAAGAACAAGATGGTAAACATAAAAACATGGAGTGTCCAGCACAGACTCCAGACTTAAACCCCATCGAGCTGATTTGGGATGAACTGGACAGAAGAGTGAAAGTCAAACAACCTACAAGTGCCACACATTTATGGGAACTTTTGCAAAAGACTTGGGAAGTACTTTCTGAAGAATATTTGATTTCTATTGTAGAAAGAACAAGCCACGAGTGTGTTCAGCTGTTATATCTGCCAAAGGTGGACACTTTTCATGAATCAGAAGTTTAGAATACGTTTTGGTCAACAGTAAACAGTAAAAAACTGGAAAAAGTGTGGTGTTCTAAAACTTTTGACCAGTAGTGTATGGCTGCCCCTCTGTGCCATCGGCCTCTACGACCAAAACTTTTTAGATTCTAACATGATTTTAGATTCTGACATAGTTTAGATATTTCTATACATGGGCCTTGGCTGAGATAGTGTGGCTGATGTGGACATGATAATTTCCTTCGTAGATAAAACTCACCCCTCTATCCGAGTTGGATACATGGATCCGAAGGAGGTCTGGCTCTCATACTGAGGACACATATCCACAAATTAGCTCACAAAATAAAACATTAGTGATGAATACAGTCCTCTATGGGCTCATACACACCTTGGCATAGCACCTCTCCATGTGACGCAGCGCCACCTTGGGGTTGATGGGATGACTGCACGACACACAGAAGATCTGGAGGTCTGTGTCATCCCCCTCTCCCTCTGGGACCTGCAAAACGGGACAATTAAAGGACCTGTATTACACTATTTTCTGTTCTAATGCTGTTTCCTCTTCACAAACAGACCTGGAGTTGTGTTTTGTTTCATTCACACATGTTTAACACACAAACCCTGCATATTTAGGCTAAATTGTAGGGATGTAATGATATCCAAATCTCTCTGTACGATATTTATTGCGATATTTTGGAGAGACGTATATAATTGTAGATAGGACACGTTTCTGCTTTTAAAATACCTTAACAAGATTTTGGTGTGAATTATTTCCATCATAATCCCAAGAATTCATGTCAAAAAGATATTTCTTCATTTTGTCTGTGCTCAAATGAATCATGGGATATGTAGTTCCCTATGTTTATAAGATGTTGCTTTTATAAAACAAATATACAAATATACTGTGACAGCCCACGATATTATTGTGAGACTTTTGACAATACGATATTACGATATTTTGGTTATTGTTACATCCCTGCTAAATTGACTTTTAAGAGCTTTTAATCATGTTATAGCTGTATAGCCTCCTTCTCATTTACCCTCTGGAAATTGTATTTGGAGTGATTTGTGCATGTTTGAGGAACCTTTAATCTTATTTTGAAGACGCCATATTGTCGATCATGCCCACCAACATACGTCTACTGCTCTGTACTGACTTCGTTCTACAATTTTATTTTCTCAATGAGTGATACATAGGGCTGTTCGATTATGGAAAAAATTATTATCACAAGTATTTTGGTCAATATTGAAATCATGATTATTCAAACCATTTTTTTTAGTTACACGATGCATTTATTCAGCATTTCTCTCTCTCTCAAAAAAAACCCAACCCTTTGTTATTGGTAATTTCAGTAAAACTTTCAAATTGAAAATAAAATATAGGCTACAAATATGAACCTTAGAGCAGTTTTGCGAAGTATAAAACATAAAATGAATAAAATATACTTTGAACATAAAATAACGCATAGAAAAACATAAATGTATCCAAAATAAACTATATCCAGCTGTTCTACAATCTCTATATTAAAAAAATTAAATAAATGTACTTATTTCTATTAAAAAATATCCCAAAATAACTTTCTTAAGCTAAATCATTCCAACTCGATTATATGAGTTTGGAGATCGTTTGTCAAACAAATCGCAATAGCGATCAAAATTAAATTAATTGTACAGCCCTAGTGATACGTGCAGCAGTGTAGCGAAGTAATTTTGATACATAATGCTCGCTAAAGTGATGTGCAGTTTATCCAATGAGAAAGACACACAAATAATAAATGATTACTCAAATTTATGAAACAAAACACAACTCCAGGAATGTTTTTCATGAGGCAATAACATTATAATCAGGGCTAAAAGTTCACAACACAAATGTCAATTTTGCGTATTAAAAGGCACTAATAGAAACACTAATATATGCACAGATCAGTGAAACAGCCTGGGTGCTTAGCGTGTGCGTGGGTTGAATGTTACCTCCTCGTCATGCTGGACCTGCTGTAGTTTAGCGTTGGCAATGATCCCCTCCAGTTCGTGAAAGCGTTTCTCCATAGCAGGTGAGCTTAAGCCGTGCGGCCTGCTGCTCTCGCCGGATCCGCTCCAACTGTCTGCGCCCCATCTCCTCCGCAATGCAAGGGCTCTGCTGCCACTGCTGGATCCGCTGAGGCAGGATCTCATAGATACGACTGGAAAGAGAAAAGAATAAGGAACAGATAACCCTGTCCTGTCAATCATTATTTCATCTTTGTTCTGGTTCTTCTTACAACTTTTTAAATACTAGTGGATCAATAATGTTGAAGTCTAAAGAACTGAATTTTTCATCATAACTCACTAATAAGGTTGTCAAAAGTATCAAAAATCAGATACTAATCGATACTGAAACTAGAGTCACAGGACAGAAATGAGTCATTCCTGAATAGCTTTAGAATGATCTTGAGCTGTATCAGAACAAGTATAAGAGCACATAGATACGCCCATGGACCAATATGGAACCTACCTGGACCACTGAGGGATTACACACATATAAGTGACTTATACTCCGGTGCAATGTTTATATTAAAATTTTCACACTGAAGCCACGAGAGGGTGCTCTAGGCTTGTGTGTCAGTATCTGCTACTCCTGTTGCTCCTGTACCACTGTAACTTGACTCTACTGCGCATGTCCCCTCCAAAAAAAGCCACTATATAAGTCCAAGGTATTACTAATAGTGTTGAGTGTATTTATTTATTATTTATTTTTATTTTATTATTTTTTTATTATTATTATTTTGGTTTTAATAAAATAGACACAAAAACGTAATGCCCTCCCCCACACCATCCCATACACAAAGACATAAATAAAACAGTACTGACTTAGCAGCGAGCTTCATGCCACAGTCCTCAGAGCAGTATTTGGAGTTATTGCGAGCTGGTTCCACACAGCCAGGCCCCAGACACTGCCTCAAGCCCAAAGCAGAGTCTTTAGTCCCGCCCTCTCCGCGCTCACTGTGGCGGACCCTCACACGGTGACGCTGTTTCACTTTGTGTTTACGCTCCTCCTTATGCACAGACTCCTGAGATTTCTGATGGGAGAATATCAGTAACATCATAGTTTCATTAAAAAAACAAAAACAAAAAAACAAGAATACAAAAGCAAAGAAACTGGATTTTTTTTTTTGAATCAGAGGGAAGTATGTATAAATATTTAACTTTCCAAATATTTGCTGTACCAAGTTTACATAAAGATTCCACATTATGCAGCTCTGCTCTGTTGCACAGGGCTGTGAGGAGCTCAAGAAGAGCGTGTGTTGAGACCAGAGTTTGGGAAATAAACGCCCCCATTTAAGACCAAAATAACTATTTATTCAGAAGCAGGAGAGCAGATCACCACTGTGTTACGTGAGGTCACTCTTTAGTTGACACATGTTTTTCTGCTCCACAAGGGAAATTAGGCATTAAACTGTTACATGAATGAGTCCAATAAAGTTTTCACCTCTCTGTGTTTAAGTGACATAATCTGACTTAACAGTCTGCTGAACCCAATTATCAAAGCAACAACTATAAAAACATCTATTCATTATTTTTAATTAATCATTGCATTTACATAGCGCCTTTCAAAATACCCAAAGCGCTTTACAGTTCATTGTTTATTCACTCCACACTCAGTGGTGGTAAGATACTATTGTAGCCACAGCTGCCCTGGGACAGACTGACGGACGCGAGGCTGCCACCACCACCAACACTCACACACACACCACTTTCATACTAGGCAATGTGGGTGAAGTGTCTTGCCTAAGGACACAATGACAGTTTCATCCAAGTACTAACCAGGCCTAGCCTCGCTTAGCCACTATGACCACATCTATTAGTAATTTGATGTAAAACTGCGTATTGTGCGTATTTTTTTACTTTGAAAATCTGGATGTATTTCTGTTTTCTGTTTGGAGCGTTCTGAACAGTGGAGACTGATCAGGACCTACAGTGGAAAATAAACATCTATAGACGCAGTGTGTAGAGATCGACGATGTGGAATCAGCCCATATGTCTAAGTCACATTAGTAGTTGGAGTACCAATAAATAAAGTAGTAGTAAGCAGAAGTACAACAATTGTAGTAGTAGTAGTAGTAGTAGTAGTAGTAGTAGTAGTAGTAGCAGCAATAGTCTGTACCTTCTTCTCTGGTTTCTTGTCTCGTCTCTTCACGTGTTTGACCTTCACAGCCTTCTTCACAGACTGCCCCTCCTCCTCTTCCTCACTGTGCCAAACCTACAACATCAAACAAGGCAAATAACATTAACATCAATAGAACACACAGGACCAGATGTACCATTAACTTTTAATAGGATTTTAAATGACTGTTCCTCACCAGATCTCTGTACCCAGCTGCCTTGTACTGCTCATACAGCTCCAGTTCACTCTCGCTGTAGGCTTCATCGTCGTCTTCGTCCTCTGTGTGAAGCCCGGCCCCTTTCCTCTGCAAGCTCCGCCCCCTCACAGGTGGACGGCCGACCATCTCCTCCTCGTCCTTCACTCGGAGCATCTTCTACTCAGAGAAGATGACAACATTAGATAAAAACAGCAAAAATAGCAACTACTAGTTTTGCCTTTTTATTACCACAGAAAAAAATTCTAGTAAATTTCTTATTCAGCCAGGTGGTTAATAGTTTAAAGTGGCTGTATCCATTTTTGTAAATGTATGTGAGCAAAATTTGGCTTCCCCCAGTCCAGATATATTATAAAAGAAGCTCTGAGGATCAAATTAGACCACTGTGCACTTCCTCCGTCTAACTAGGCCTGTCACAATAATCAAACCTGATATAATGGAGCTACAGAGATATACTACGATAAGCAATAATATGGAAACTACTTGATACAAAACCAATAAAACAAGATAATCCCAGTAAACCATTTTAAAATAGACAGTATCATTAAAAGACCTGAGCTGCAACAAATGAATAGAATATAGTATCATTTGTCAATAATTATCCATAAAAGTGACTTATTCAACCCTCTACATCTCAAATTTAATTGTATTACAACAAAATTACCTCAAATCTCCCCACGTTTACAAAGTAAATGAACACACAATAAATACTGAGCCCAAAAATATATTGTTGGAGCTTATATGTACTGAACAATAAATATATATAGTATTTATCGTGACAGGCCTACATCTGATATTGTCCAAGAAACAGGAAGCGTGTGGTTAGTGTGATAGTTGTTGTTTGCTTAAACTCTGCTCTGGCTTCTAAAAGCTGAAGAGACAAGCTTATAAAGTCATTGTGATGAAAACTAGGCTAGGAATGTGTTTGAAAAGTGAAGAATAACTTTGGAAACTTTTTAAACTAGAAAATAAAACAGAACAAGTTTATTTTAGTAGAAGTATCATGGTTGGCAAATTGGAAAATGCATGAATAATTATTTTAATAGAAAAAAATGTGTTTGCATCTAAAATCTGGATTTTTGTACAATTATTTTCTTTAAAACACAAGGGAAATAATAATATTGCATAACTCGGTTTAGTGGATTAATGGTTTACTGTTTTAAAAGTCCTATAATACGCAATATTGACTCTTGTGAGCTTTAAGCCATGTTATAATGTTGTTTTGTGTCATACATGAAGTTGTGTTTTGTTTCATGCACACGTTTGATAAATTTTTTATTATTTGTCTGTCTCTAAAGCTCAAAATGCTCTGTTCCACCTTGTGATGTAATGAAGCTGTAGTTTTCATGTTAACACCTACCGTTTACCTTTTGTTCAGAAAAGATTGACAATTTCAGTGCTTAAATCATCCAAATTATTCTACTGAAGACGTATGGAGTTTAAAAACACAGTGGAGCACTTCCTGTATTACCACATGACATCAAAAGGTGGAACAGAGTGTTTTCTGTTTGAGAGAAGAACTAAATATTCAGGGTTTGTGTAAATGAGAGAAAACACTACTCCAGGTATGTTTTTGACAAGGAAATAACATTATAACAAAGCTCATCAAATAGGAATATAGCCCCTTTAGGATAAAATAAGACAATTATAAACCAGGACTAAACTCAATTTCTATTACATTTACATCAGTCTCCTCACAGTCTCCACACAAAACCAGGTAAACAAAGCCAGAACTGGACCAGCAGCATTTGAATAAGGATAAAAGGCTGTTTTTAAAGCCCGCCCCTTTTCAGATACACACTCGTGATTGGCCAGGAGTTTGACTGACAACACTCACCCGTGCTCTGACTTCACACTGCCTCAGACGACACTTCTGCCTGATCCGGTTTGGACCTCCGAACTTCTTCATGTCTTTACAGAAGTCGCACTGAGAGCAGTCTTCTGTTCTGAGGCACGCATCACACTCCCCACACATACGAGCAGAGCGTTTAATCTGGGAAAGAAAAGAAGAAAATCAGGATTAGACCAGGACTAATCCAGGACTAAACCAGGCTAAAACACGGGTTAAACCGAGACTAGACAGGGATTAAACCAGGATAAAACCACGGCTAATTCAACACAAAGCACAGACGACAACAGCAAACAAGTGTTAAAACAGATGTAAACTAATACTAATCCAGGACTACAACTTGAACTAAACCAGGACTATTCTGGGTCCATATACTCTAAATAATCTTAAATCTAAAGCAAGTCTAGACAAGAGACAAACCTGGACAGGACTGGACAGGACAAAACAGAAGTAGGGCAAACTAGGCAGGATCAAACCAGTACTAAACCAGGAAGTAGGAAGTGTTTTTGTGTGGGGAGGGAGGAGCTACATTACCTGCTGAGAGCCCCTCCTCTTATCCATGTTTGAAGGTGGCTGGGGGAACTCCTCATTGTCCAGTGTCTCTTGTCCTGGCTCCTTCTCTTTTAACTTTTTAGGACGATATTTAATCTCTAATGAAGGGTCTTTCTCTGAATAAACAATAAATGTAAAAGAAAATGTAAATTAAAATTGTAAACTACTAAATGACCAGGTGGGAAAAACATATACTGTATACTGCAGGGGTCTCCAACCTTTTTCCTCTGGTGAGCTACCCTTACCAAATGAAGATAAAAGAAAGCTACTCATTTTAGTGGTTGCAAGAAATTGAGTAAATATAAGAGCCTTAGATTTATACATTTAGATGATTATAAAACATAAACCATTATCCATCTATTAGTGCACAGAGAGGCATCAAAATGACACATTTACAATGGTTATTACTGGTAAGCATAATGTATAGAATTCATAAATCCTTTGGTGAGCTACTTGTCAGAGAGTGAACAGCTACTGGTAGTTCCCGAGCTACGGGTTGGAGACCCCTGCTGTAGAGCATATATATAATGTATGTGAATTAGGAATGTAACAATGACCAAAATATTGTGATATTTCATCAAAAGTCTCTCAATAATATCATGGGCCATCACAATATATCAAATTACAAGTCTCTTTGCTTAAATTCATTGTTTTTGTGCAGCAATGGCTAAAAGAAACAGAGGGAACTACATAGACCATCACCCTCTGCTCTGTTTCAGTCCAATGAAATTATTTATTAAGCACTTTTTGATCTTAACTCTTTGGTTTATGACACAACATGTTTAAAGGAAAAAGTAGTATATTCACAATTCTGTTAGCTTCAACAAAATATCACAATAAATATCGTACCATAACGTGCATATCATGATAATATAGTACAGAGGAATTTGGATATCGTTACATCTCTAATGTGAACCTAATGAAGTTTTATTATTTGGAATAGTGAATAAATATAATATAGTCAGTGGCACATCGGACTGCATTTATAACAATAGTAATAATGCATTAGTCTTATACTGTGCTTTTGCAGACACTGAAAGTTGCTTTACAATTCGGTGCATTATTCATTCATTCATTCAGACACAGCCTATTCACCAATATTGGAGCCAGTTCCATACAAGTAATAAGAATTTATTTACAGACAAAACAGCAAAATGAAAACATCAGCTGTGAACTCACCTCGACATGAAGGACAGTACCAGACTCGTATGGGTTTAGCGGCTTTCTCTGATATACCAATACAGTCTCCATGAAACCACTCAGCACAACTGTCACACCCTCTGAACAAATTAAACACAGAAATATTTCAATACGTTTTCATAAACAAGGACTAAACCAGGACTAAACCAGATCCCGGCACTCACATCATGAAACAGTTGATGTCTGGTTTTCTGCAGAGGCAGTACACTGGAGCAGATGCAGTTTCCACGGCGACAGGCCTTTTCTGTTCAGGTGTTTTACTTCCCGGATCCTGGTCCTCATCTTCCTCCTTTGGACCATGTTCAGCTGCTGCCTCCTCAGCCTCACAAAAATCAACAAACAAAGACAAAGTTATTCCTTATATAGCCTAAAGCCTATGTATTTTCCTCACTTGTGCACTATTTTGAAGACCTTTGTAATGTATAATAATATGTTGGCATCTATAACTGACAACAATAACTGTCCCAAAGTAGTAAATAGAAAAACTGAAAAAAAAAAATTCTCTTAAAGATGTGAAGCCAAAATCACAAAAAGATGAATATTTGTATTTATATTCAATAAAAGTAAATTTATTTTTATTTTAAACTTATTTTACCTTATTTGCATACCTTTTTATCCTAATTATTAACATTTCACTATTATTATTTATCCTTTATGTCGCAAAACATCACCAAAGCAAATCTGTAGTTTCTGAGTTTGGTTCACTTTCAATATGGCAATGAACTTTTTTTCTAAATATGATGACAGCAAAATGCTTATCCTACTCATCATGTAAATAATAACTTAAATACATAATATACACCTTTCTGTATAGCTCAATGCCAAAAATAGATACTTTAATTTGTAAAACCAATCACAAAATGTTTAATGTTTAATAAGAGCGCTAAACTTTAAACTAAATACAAGAATCGCTGTTTCTACTGTTTAATTCATAATTTTATTTCACATCAGACATATTTTACTATCATTTTCAATTGGCTATACACAAGCAGACATTTTCTTTTGATTTTAAACAACGAAATTGCTTTTTTTTAGCCTAATAAAAATGAGTTTGGGTTCCAGATGTGAGGATGCGCTGTAGTTAAGAGTGAATAACTGTCTTTTTACACGTGCGTGCATTAATTACGCAAAAACAGCGCCACTTCCACTGCGAACCTTTGAGTTAAATACATTATTAGGATTAAGCAGATTAGCCACTTTCCTGCGGATTTAGCTCCGTTTGAGATTTTGTGCAAAAGGATGCTGCAGTTTCCATCAACATCTGCATCTAACAAATCCAACACTCACCATCGCGAGAAACGGTTGTATTGTTTTCTATTCCTTTACTCGTGATTCTCTGTAACTCCTGTCGTGTGAAGCTTTTGTAGATTATAACATTTGGGGAAAATCGGGAATTTTTTTGCAGAAATCGCTTTGTTTTCCGCCGCGTCTTCTTCTGCCGTGCCCAATCTGGAAACGTGGATGCGCTGGATTACACTGGGTCCAGCGCATTGAGGACATCTACTGGTCAGAATGGGTATTACACTAAAATACATCTGCGTAATCACTCAGTAGTCAACAGTAGTAGTCAACTTTTTTATGTGCTGTTGACATCTATTAGTGTGTTGTTTTTTTGTTTTGTTTTTTTGCTACTAAAAAGTCCACAAACAAAACAATACATTAAAATACACAAATTCTAGACAAACATGTGGAAAACCTCAAAACTTGGAAAGTGAAAACAAAAGTACCCTATATGGTTTTAATGTTTTAGTAGCCATATCAGCCTAAAAAGTTCCATTATATAAGGATATATATTTAAAGGGACAATATTTCTCTATTTTCTGGCCTGTTATAATGTTGTTTCCTCATCACAAACAGACCTGGAGTTGTGATTTGTTTCATTCACGCATGTTTAACACACAAATCCTGCATATTTAGGCTGCGTTCTTCTCTCAAACTGACTCTGCTCCACCTTGTGATGTCATGTGGTAATGTGGAAATGCACCGCTGTGTTTTTAAACTCCATACACCTTCACTAGAAACATTTAGATAATTTCAGCCTTGAAATTGCCGATCTCTACTAAACTAAGGTTAACATCAGATCTACAACTAATAATAAACTCACTCAAACATGTGTGAATAAACCAAAACACAATTCCAGGTCTGTTTTTGATGACATAACAACATTATAACATGTCTTAACGTTCACAGGAGTCAATTGTGTGTAATATAGGACCTTTAAAGCTATAATGGCTATACAAAACTGTATAATCCTGGCATACAATTTACTTTCTTACACTATGAAATTAGCTTTATATGAGGTAAACTGTGACTAAAAAGAAAGCATTGTCATAAAGTAACTATATGTAGTTATTAGAGTAAATATGATTTGGTTCAGAGAGAAAGCTGAAGTATTCACAATTCAGAGCGTGTCTTTGTCGAACAGATAAAAGAGCTCAGAGGAAACAGGAGGAGCTCAGACAGACCACAAACCATAACGGGACAAAAGAGACCAATATACAGTCTGCTCCAAACCAGCACGGAACAGGAATTTGATTTAACCAAGGACTTCTTCAACATTAAAAGGACAATCAGAAAAAGAGAAGAAGAAATAGACCACAAAGATCTGACTCAGGTCTGAACAGGAGATGATCTGAGTTTTAACCAGGAATAAATCTAAAACTAAAAACGAAACTGGGACTGTTAAAATAGTACCACCGGATTATGCTTCTGACAGAAAATCTAAATTATTCTAGCAACATTTTGGACAGACGCAGATGAGAGAATGAACCAAGATCTAAGATGGAACATATCAAGAAGGACGCTGAAGTTCTGAGAGAGACATTTGGACGATAACTCAAGAACAGAGGAATAAAAACTGCTATTTTTGCAGGTGAGACAATAATATTCATAATTAAATATAAATGTATGTGTATTATGAGCGGGGAAGTCAAGTTTGTAGGCCTAGTTTTTATTTGTTTGACTTTATATTCCAGGCCAGCAGAAATTTAGACTAATTTAGCTGCCTAACTTGAACCATGTATTAAAGAAATGTTTAGATTTTTGTACATAGATGGATATTTTCACTTCTTAATGCACTAAGTTGCCTATCTTTTATTTTAGTTAGCTTTAGTTAACTAAGCTTTATGATTTTGAGAACTTTAAATTCAAACAGCAAAAGATCACAGAAAGTTTGGCATTTGTAATACTGAGTTATTTATTTATTTTTTTGTTGTGGTTACTGCAAATTAGAAAAAAAAAAGTTTTATGAATTCAGTTATTATTTAAATGGTGAGATTCAGACCTCCAGAATCACCAGAGAACCATGTTTAACTATTGTTTAATAATACATAATATCACTGCATGACATCACAAAGTGGAACAGAGCAAGTTGAGCGTTTGAGATGTAAACAGATAATAATAAAGGGTTACTCAAACATGTGTGAATGGAAAAAAAGACAACTCCAGTTCTGTTTTTGAAGAGGTAACAACATCATAAAGCTACAAGAATCCATTTTGTTTAATACAGAAACCTTTATATAATAAGTAATTACCTTCTGTACATTCAAGAATGGATGAGACATCGGTTCAACAGAATAAGACAAGTGTGGACCAATCAGAATCGATCGTCGCTCAGCCAACAGCCAATGGGATCCTGCCACATCACGACACAGGTGAGAGAGAAAACTTTAAACTTTAACTTTAACTTTAAACTGTCCTCTGAGAGTGTGTGACTTTTCTGGTTGGAAAAGTTTATCTAGAATGTTGCACAGCATGGTATTAAAGGGACAGTTTGGAGTTTTCCTAGTGAGCCAGAGTGTTGGAGACGTGTGGAGAAATTTAAAAAAAAATATTCCATCCAGTCCTTGTATTTGCAGAGGTGGCTGGTGCTAGACTAGTGCATGCCAATGGCCATAGTTATCCTGCCACTAAAAACAGTCTTACCCACTCCACAAAACACCCGAAGCAAAACAATTATTACAAAAGACTGTCGATGTAAATGTCTGTGTTGATAGAATAATGTTTGAAATAAAACTAACCTTGCATCGCATGAATCGTCGCATGTTGAGGGACTATTTTTTCATAAATCAGTCCGCCGCTGTCAAGCTTTCTATCAGGAAGTACAACTCGCTGCTGCTGCTCAGACATAAATCCTTCAAATGCAAGGTTGTTTTTACTTCTAAAATGATTCTATTGACACAAACATTTACATCGACAGTCTGGCGTAATAGTTTTGCTTCGGGTGTTTTGTGAAGTGGGTAAGACTGTATTTAGTGGCAGGATAACTATGGCCATTGACATGCACTAGCCTAGCACCAGTGACCTCTGCAAATACAAGGACTGGATGGAATATTTTAAAAAAGTGTCTCCACACGTCTCCAGCACTCTGGATAACTAGTCATATGTCATACTGTGGAACATTCCAGACATCTCCATAGAAACAAGCAGGTTTAAACAAGAAGTTACATACAATAGTGCACCTTTAAATCATGAATAAAAACACATTGTATTTATTGGTGGTTCAAGTCTTTACACCGGATGCCCTTTCTTTTGAAACCTTAAACTATGACTGAGTAAGAAGAAAAACACAGATATTTATTGACATTCACTGTAATAATCTTTTCTGGTTTGACCAAATACCAGACCAGGCCGCGCCCCCTGGTCTGGATGGGTCAGAGGACTGCAACATCAGCAGCGGGTGCTCGGCGACGGACAGTTTATCGTCCAGTGACAACACTCAGCTTCTTCTTGGCTCCTCCCCCTCCTCCCAACCACAGACAGGTTAGACACTGTAATGTTAATCTATGCATTGATCTATTGATACTTTGCAGCTGATGATGAATATTCCTTGGGGGTGTGATGCTAACTGTAGGCTCTGCTCTGTCTGAGGCAATGTTAGACTTTAATTCAAGCTTTATTTTAACACAATTTGATTTAAAAAAAAAAATAATAATAATAATAACTGTCAGGCTCCTGAAAATGTGTTGTTTAGAGGTGTATTGTGTAATTTTCTGGTGGAGGGTCCATCAAATGCTTTTCTTTGTGTTAGAGATGTAACAGTAACTGAAATATCGTGATATCGTATCGTCAAAGTTCCCACAATAATATCGTGGACAGTCACAATATATCGAATTACAAACATCTTTGCTTAAATTAAGAGTTATGGTGCAGCAATAGCTAAAAAAAAAAAACAGAGGGAGCTACATAGACCATGATCCTTTGCTCCATTTAAGTTCAGACTACATGAAGAAATAACAGTGCTACGCACTTTTAAGTTTTAGATCTTTGGATTAAGTCTTGTCAAGGCATTTTAAGAGGAAAAAGTAGCATATTCACAGTTTCGTTTGCCTCCACAAAATATCACAATAAATATCCATGAGATGTATAATGTGAAAATATCGTACCGAGAGATTTGGATATTGTTACATCTCTAATCGTGATATCGATATCGTATCATGAGACTTGGATATTGTTACACCCCTACTCCATGGACATGTTGCTGCTTTGTCTGGAATGTTTCACAGTCTGGCATTAAACCTTTCTATTTTCATGGAGACCAAACCAGACCAAGTTACAGTTCAGATCTGTGAAGAGGCTAAACTTAACCCCCGCTCACAGTCAGAATGCTGGAATGGTTTTTCTAGGTATTTATGAGCTATAAAATCACCTGTAACTGAATAAATGTATCACAGAGCTGTTTAATGTCACACTGTGGAACATTCCAGACCATTTTGGAATGTAACAATACCCAAATTTCTCAGTATGATATTTTCACAGTATGCATCTCACTGTACGATATTTACTGCAATATTTTGTGGAGGCTAAACAAAACTGTGAATATGCTACTTTTTCTTTTTAAACACCTTCACAAGACTTTGGTTCTGTCATCATCCAAAGAACTAACATTCAAAAAATTATGATTATTATTATTAGCAGTTAATTCTTCATGGAGTCTACACTTAAACAGAGCAAAGCATTATGGTCTATGTCGTTTCCTGTTTTTTTTAAACTGTTGCTGTCAATAACAATGAATTTAAGCAAGCAGACTCATAATTTGATATATTGTGAAAGTCCACGATATTATTGTGAGAATTTTGACGATACAATATCACGATATTTTGGTTATTGTTACATCTCTACCATTTTGCACTGTTTTTCTTGAGTTTTCATCTTAAAACTTAATTGGCTGTTTGCTAATGTGTACAATATATCTCTGAGGTATCTTGTGAACAATCTACCAATATGTATCCATGTAGAACACCCCCAGTGTGATGATACTGCTAAGCATCAATTTATTTTTTGTAATAACTGTAACTTAACTTTTCATAACTTTTCTCTCTCAGTAGAAAACAGTTCCAGCAGTTCCCTTCAGGATCGTCATCAAAAAGTCAATCAGAGAAACACAAGCCCCGCCCCCAATATGACCGACGCCCACATCAAACAAGCGGCAGAAGGAGGTCAGACATTAAAACTTTTGTCGCCTGCTTGTTTCCATGGAGATGTTTTTGCTTTGCTCAGAATGTTCCACTGTATGGCATTAAAGTCATCTATCTTGCATTGATTTAATTATCAGTGTTTGTTGTTCAGAAAAGCATGGATTTGAACTTTGAGCTTTTGGCCTGGTGGTGTCACATACTTGTATATATGGAAATAGATAAAGTCCAATGCCATATTGTGAATGAAGACAAGTTTGTGGCGGACCCTCCACCTTTAAGTAAATGTACTGATACTGGAGCAAAGAAATACTGTAGTACTAATGAAACTAAGTGAAAGTATCACATGATAAAATCTACTTAAGTAAAAATATTAAAGTACCTGTTTAAAAATGTACTTAAAGAGTAAAAAATAAAAGTATTTCATGCAGATTCTGAGATCTAATGAAGCTTCAAATGTAGTGATTTTGATAAAGATTTGTTCAAACAGTTTAATTGATAATTTGTTCTAGTTTAAAAAAAAATAAATCTTTTTTTTGCTCAAGCTACTTGTTAAAAATAAACCCTCAGCCTTTTCAGCAGGTCTCACACAATAATAAAGAATACTTTTCTTTTTCAGTCCTGTTCAAAAATGTAGTGGACTCAAGTCAGACTGGACTTACAATTTTTAGGACTTGAGACTTGACTTGATAAAAATTTAAATGGACTAAGACTTGGGGCTCGACTTGGACTTGAACCCAGTGACCTGAGAAGACTTGATGCTTCCTCTAAAAATATATATTTTTATAGAAAATACTTTTCTCTTTACAGTTGATAAATGCGGTGCTGAATTTTACAGGAACAAACTGGAATGTGTCCCTCCCACTTCTGTTTGTTACTTTGGATGTAAATGAAGTACTGCAATATCCTGAAATGTACTACAGTAATATACAGAACAATACAGTCAAACAGAGGGAACTACATAGAACATGATCCTTCCATTTCATTGCAGACGACATGACGATGACAAAATGACTTATTTAGCCCTTTAAAATGTGAATTATTTTTGTTCTGACTGTAATAATTTGCACTAAGATCTTGTCAAGACATTTAAAAAGGAAAAAAATGCATAACTGTTATATAAATACTCATATATAAATATATCATGACTTTGAAGTACAGTTTAATTTAAAATTCATATAAAATGTGAAAATCAAAGCTATATTTTGTACTTTGGTTTAAAGACTTTAATTGTCTTGAAGCTCAAACCGGATGATTTGAACTTGACTTGGACTTATAAGCTGTGGACTCATGACTTGACTTGAACTTATCTGTATTTGACTTGGGACTTGACTCAGACTTGAGGTCAAAGACTTGAGACTCACAAAACAATGACTTGGTCCCACCTCTGTTAGAAAGTACAGATACCTGCTCTCAAATGTCATGAAGTGAAAGTAAAAAGTATCCACTTTAAAATGTACTTGAGTAAAGTACTGATACCTAAAATTTATTTAACACAATACACCCTTAAGGAAAGTACTTTATTACTTTTAATTTGTTATGTTCCACCACTTCTAACTGTTGGAAAAATTACATAAAGCAACTATAACTGATTAGAACTTTGAATAGTACTATACTTGAGTACTTTTTACACTGCTCCCTGCAGACCTGCCCTGTGAGCACATGTGGCGAGGGAGATAAGCACCTGTATGTGAAAGATAAACTGAAATATTTCCAACCGTCATCAGAATAGAAACTAGATTCATGTTCTATAGTGTCCACCTCTGTAGCCTAACCCAGGCAAAGCAATAAAATCTCCATGGAGACAAGCAGGTTCAGATATTATTATTACTATTTCTTTCACCTTGTAATAATAACAAGGATAACATTAAAAATCAAAATATGTGAGCTAGAACAGTGTTGTGTAACTTTTCTGGTGGAGGGTCCATCAAATTCCTCTTGTCTGAAATGTTTCACAGTATGGCATTAAACCTTTCTATTTTCATGATGATCAAACCAGGCCAAGTTACAGGTCAGATCTGTGGAGAGGTGACCCTACTGACAGTCAAAATGTTTGTTTTTCTAGGTATTTTTCAGCTATAAAACCACCTATAATTGAATAAATGTAAAATAGAGCTGTTTAATGCCATATTGTGGAACATTCCAATGACAAATCAAAAGAGACAAGTAAAAGCAGCAGTCGTTGTTGACTTTCTGTGTTGTTTTACAGACTGTTGTGTTCACTGTTTGCTGGCCTGTCTCTTCTGTGAGCTCTCGTCTCTGTGCTCGGCCCTGGTTCAGTGTCTGCTCTGTGGAGGGGGCGCGGCCTGTGCAGAGATGGGCGGGGCCTGCTGTTGTTCGGACGCTCTGATTGGCTGTTGCTGTCTGGATGCGGGATGCACAGATGAGTGTGGAGTCATAGAAACCTGCTGTGGATCTGCAGACTGTCTGGAGATCTGCCTCGAGTGTTGTTCTATCTGTTTCCCCACATGAACCAGAACTAAACCGGGACTGAAACCGGCCTGAACCAGTTCGGGGCCAAAGATAAACCAAGTCTAAACCAGGTCCAGGCCAGGTCTGAACCAGGAATAAAACAGGACTTAAACAGGGCTGAACCAGTTCTGGACCAAAGAAAAAACAAGTCCAAGCCAGATCTGAACCAGGACTAAAAATGGTCTAAACCAGTTCTGGACCAAAGCTAAACCAAGTTAAAATCAAGTTTAAACCAAGTCCAAGCCAGTTCTGAACCAGGACTAAAACCGGTCTGAACCAGTTCTGCACCAAAGATGAACCAAGACTGTACCAAGTCTAAACCAGGTCTGAACCAGGACTAAGCCAAGTCCAAGCCAGGTCTAAACCAAGACTAAACATGGGAACAAAGTAATTTAATAAAATGTTCACAATGTCTGACAATTAAATCTATCTCCATGGAGACAAGCTGGCGACTTTACAAGGACAAGTTACAGGTCAGATCTGTGGTGAGGTGACCCTGCTCATACAGGACGCTGGCATTTCAAGGTATTTTGAAGCAGCTGTAATGAAACAAAAGCAGAAAAACATTCTTAATGCCATACTGTGGAACATTCTTCATTGGCAAAAGAATAACACCTCCACAAAGACAGGCAGGTATAGGAGACACTTTATCAGAAAAGTTACATAGTGCAAAGATTTTCCAACTATAATGACCCAATTACCCAATAATCCCTCTGTAAGAACCACAGACTGTATAAAGAAGTGGAGTGAGTGAGTGTGACTTCACCCACAGCGTTCGGCTCCAGTCAAACGACGCTCATGATGCCAGCCATTACAGGGGCGAAATTGGAACCAAGGTCAATATTATGAACAGGATTTTTTTAACAGACAAAACAGTGAAATAAAAACACCAGCATCATGTAGAGCGGGTTAATACGAACATTTTAAGACTACATTATGAAGGCTCACAGCAGCAGGTACAGAGAGTGAGAGAGTGAGTGACAATATTATAATGTAAACAGAGGCAACAGTAGGCAGGGTCCCCAATCAACTGCCCTCAGTGCCACTAATGGCCAAGGCGTCAGAGCAATTAGATTTTCTCTCAATATGACATTAAATGAGAGTAGTTTACTTTTAAACAAAAAATAAATAAATAAAATCATCAGAATTGTAAATGACTGTCAAATCTATTTCAACTGTCAAAGCATCCCCCCCTTTCACATTAGAACGGACGAATCAGCTTGACCCTGATTTGAACATAATCATAGCATAATCATAATCATATATAATGGATGTAAACAAAAATGTAATACTAGCAAAAAAAATGAAACTACTTTCAGCTCTGGTTATCTATAGTCACGCTGGTGCCACCTAGTGCCTCCACACAATTTCATTTCTCTCCAGCGACTAGGTCAGGAATCTACAAACCGGCCAATCAGTGAAGAGCCATACATTCTGTGTTGGCAACGATTCCTGAGATTGAGGATTTAAAGCCGGAACAAAGAGAATGTTTGATGAATTTTATCAAGGGGAAAGATGTTATTGCCCTTGTTCCTACAGGATTTGGTAAAGGCTTAATATACCAGTTATCCCTGTTAGTGGTGCATTACATGCGTCACGACCAAATAGCAATGATTGGTTAAATTAAAAAAAGAACCCGTCTACCGCTGAGCGAAGGGATCCTAATGCTGCGAGGTCAGACAGTTTTCACGGAGTGAAACTGGCTAATGAATCAGCTCTGGTTATCTAGTAGGCTCCCTAACTAATAAGACAATCCACCATAATTCAAATAGAGATGTGCGTGTCTCAAGAACAATGGGGCAAAATAGATAATAAATAAATAAAATGGTGCATTATAGTGAGGGCGCCAAACTCAAGTTCACCCAGGCCCCCAAATTGTTAACTCTGCCACTGAATGTAAGTCAATAGGAGCTAGGGTCAGAAGGAACCGGAAGAGCCCTCATGCGAACTTCCTATTTGGAATCCTGCGGCTTGTGTGTCCATTTATATTTACAGTTAAGAGTTCACCTCCTGCTGTTATTAACAACATAGCATGTTTATGTAGAAAATAAAATCTGTTTACATCTATTCACAAATCAAGGTAAAAGGCACAATGGCAAAATGAACAGAACCACAGAGTTGAACCAACAACCCCCCCATGCTCCCTGTTCTTCTGTGAGAACATTCAGGCTGATGTGAGAACTCAAGGGCAGGAGGCAGTGTTCAGGAAACAATGCCTGTTGTGTTATGTACTCGGTCACAGGATATCACTGTCTGTTCCTCAGGTTTTGTATTTTTGATGTTGCCAGAGGTCGAAGATCACTGCTAGCACACTGTACTTCCTGTTTCCTGTTTGGACGCACTTCAGGCCCGTCCCATAAATCTGCAGTGAGGAGAGAGGCAGGTTCTGTCCACTCCCTCTCCCCTGCTGTGGGCGTGATTGACAGCTGAGAAATCTACAAACTGAGCAGATTTGCTGTGGCAGTGGGGCCCCCTTCCTGTTTTTCTGTCTCCTAAAGTGACTCCGCTTCTCTTTGCACACGACAATAAAAATCAATGTCAACGATTCAAGGAAAATAGGATGGGGCCCTCTGCCTTAGATGACCCCTACTGTGCCTGTACACTGTATTTATAAATGAACGCGTTCCAAATAGGAAGTGAGCGTGGGGGCACTTCCCTCTCCACTGACTCTGGCTCCAATTGACTTAACAATGAAAAACTGTCACCTGTCTCTGTAACTGCTGCAGTGAACCTTGTCTTAAAATGTTCATATTAAGTCTCTACATGATCCTGGTGTTTTATTTAGCAATTTTGTCCGTAAATAAATTTGTAATATGGAACTTGGCTCCAAATTTGCTCCTGTAACTGAGTTTCATTTGACTAGAGCCGAGCGCAAGGGGTGACGTCACACTCACTTTGTCCACTTCTTTATACATCACAAGGTGGTACAGTGTTTTCTGTTTGAGATGCAGAGTTTGTGTGTTAAACATGTGTGAAAGAAACAAAACACAACTCTGAGTAGGTTTTTGATGCATAAACAACATTATAACACATCAGAAAATATTGTATTATGGGCCCTTTAACAAGTCGTCACTGTGCTCCTCTGTCTCCCTCTGGTGGTTTCACTGACATGGAAACTTGTTGCGATCCAAAACTCTAACGCCAGAACTTCTGTGGTCTGGAATATGTTACAACAGCGCCACCTGGTGATGATATGAAGCATAAAAGTATACAGACTGACCTTGTCTCAACTGTACTTGTAAACACTTGTTTGTTAAAATTACTAAACAACTGTGATAAAAAAAATAAAATAAAAAAAAAGACGCTAAATGACTTGACATGAGCTACATTAATTTAATATTTTTATTTATAAGTGCTCCTAAGGGACAAATGAAAGTGAACCGGGACAGAAGAGTGTGATAATGGTCTTGTGCTTTTTCATACTAAAACAAGAATAATGTGTGACTATAAATAAAGCAAGCAAATCAAAGCAGTTTTCTTTCTTTTTTTTTTTTTCATTTATTAAAAAATATGTTTTTTTTGTAAAACAAACACAAGAATTGGATAATAAATGAAATACACATTTATAAAATATGACAGACAGCTGTACGAATGTTGTTCCCTTGTTTAAGAGCTTCAGCATGAAATCACTTTTAATGGTAACAGGGAAAATAATTACAAAAACTGAAAAAACAGCAAAAATAAAGGGTTGAAAATCTACAAATCATAACAGTAACTTAACGAGGGAATAGCATAGATCTGGTTTAGTTTTAGGCAAATAACTGACAACATGATTTTATTTTCTATGCGCCCCAAAAGCCGCTTACATCCCTTAAATTCACACACTTAAAGACAAATCAGTGCATCAAATAAGACATAATAAAAGGCACATTGCGTAACTTTTGTGGTGGAGGGTTCGATACCTACTTGTCTCCATGGAGATTTTATTGCTTTGCTTGAAATATTCCATGATATGACATTAAACATACACATCTAGAATTCATTATTGGTGTTTCTAAGGCTCAAAAATACAATCGTTCCTTCTGTGAATAAAAGCGACACTCCACAGATCTGATTTGTAATGTAGTGTAGGTAGGTAGACAGGTTTACTGTGGAACATTTTAGACAAAGCAATAACATTTCCATGGAGACAAGCACGTGACGGACCCTCCACTAGAAATGTTACGCAGTGCACCTTTAAGGAAACATGGATGTATATAAACAAATGGAATAAAAAGCTTGGGAAGAAGAAAATGGTTAATTGAGTTAGTAAAGAAATTAAAACATAAAAATTGTGAAAAAGATGATTTTGATTTGACTCTGGAAGTGATTAAATGGAAGAATCAGTTTTACGTAGCTGTCCCCTGTTGAAGGTTACTTAACACTGAAGTAAAAGTAAAATCATAAACATACAAAAATACAAAAATAATACAGCATGAGTCCAGCATGAAATAACTGTGGTCCTTTATGTGAAGAGATATAAAGTTTTCCCTTATGAGAAAGTATTAGTTTAGACGAGCAAACAAGAACAGCCCGAAATACACTAACGAACTATGAGACCCAACTTTTATCTTTTAGAAGTACTACTAACCAGTAGTGGTATGTAACAAAGTAAAAGTAGTATTTAAGTATATATTTTAGGTATCTATACTTTACTTAAATGTATTTTAAAGTGAGAACTATTTACTTTTACTTCACTACATCTGAGAGCAGGTATCTGTACTTTCTACTCCACTACACTTTTGAACAGGACTGAAAATTAAAAGTATTTTTCTTTATTGTTTGAGACCTGCTGAAAAGGCTTAAGGTTCATTTTGAACACATTCAAAGTTTGAGCAAACAAGAATATACAAATGAAAACAGCTAGAACTTTTGTTTTTTTCCAATTGAACAAAATTCAGAACAAATCTTTATCAAAATCAAGATATTTGAAGCCTTATACTACCTCAAATATGCTCAAACCTTTACTTTTTTAGTATTTTCTTGCTTTGCTATCTGTACTTCTACTAACTTCTGGAGATGTACTAATAAAACAGACCAGGTAAAAGGCTAACCTGGTCCTATAGTTGATTTGGTTTGGTTTTATTATTAGTCTGCATTCTTCAAGCTGTCTCTGAAATTAAAATAAAAAATCCGTGTATCATTCGTTCATTCATTTTTCAATATAAAACCAAAAATAAGAAAATGAAAAAAACAACTATTTTCTTCATTACTTGTCTCCAAAACCAAAATGAACCAACAGTGATGATTGATTCATTTTTTCAGTTTTTCGATTTTGTGTTTAAATGAATAATGGAAAAAACGGATAACGGCTGTTTCCCGTTTCCGTGACTTAAACTGCGATACTGGACTTTTACGCCACATACAGACTGGACCAGGACTAAACCAGGACTAAAACAGGTCCAGGACTAGACCGGAATCAGACCAGGACTGAGACCAGGACTGAGACTAGGACCAGACCAGGAATGAGTCCAGGATCAGACCGGGACCAGGACCAGCATTGAGACAGGGACCAGACCAGAACTGAGACCAGGACTGAGACCGGGACTGAGATCGGGACCAGACTGGGACTGAGACAGGCACTGAGACCGGGACTGAGATCGGGACCAGACTGGGACTGAGACAGGCACTGAGACCGGGACCAGACAGGGACCAAGACCAGGACTGAGACTGGGACCAGACCAGAACTGAGACCAGGACTGAGACCAGGACCAGACCAGGACTGAGACTGGGACTGAGGCCAGGACCAGACCAGGACCAGACCATGAATGAAACCGAGACCAGACTAGGACCAGACTGGGACTGACACTCGGACCAGACTGGGAATGAGACCGGGACCAGACCGGGACTGAAAACGGTTTATCATGATTTTGTCCTGGTTTAGTCCTGGTACTGTCCTGGTTCAGTCCATATGTGGCACAAAAGTCACAAAAGATTCTTTTTCTTATTTTTGGTTTTATTTTGAAAAACGAATGAACAAATGATACACAGATTTACCAGGCTCCATTTTGGGTATATTATATTTCTAACTGTAATAGCAAAGTTTTTTTTTTTTTTTCCTAACTCATATTTACAACATTTAAAGGAGAACTATGTAACTTTTTCTGGTGGAGGATCTGACGGTTGCTTTTCACCATGGAGATGTTATTACTTTGCTTAGAATGTTCCACAGTATGGCATTAAACCAGACTAGAAGTATCAGGTGAGATGTGCAGAGAGCCAAACCCGCTCACAGTAAGAATGCCTGTTTTTTTTAAGGTGTTTGCCAGCAATAAAAACATACAGTACTTAATCGAATAAATGCAAGTTAGATATGTTTTAATGTCATACTGTGGAACATTTCAAGCAATGCTATAACAACCAAGTGTCAGAATCTCTGTCAAAAAAGTTACATTTAATGAAAAAAAGATACACATTTTCTCATTTGACTTACAATTTTGTGATCAGGCAGCATTTCAAAATAAAGCACATTTAAAAAGATAAAAAATATATTTGCATTAACTGAAGTGATGAAATAGTTGTGTAAATAGACCCATAATCCTTTGCTGTTTGTTGATGTGATTAAACAGTCCTTTTATTTTAACTTTAGGATCAGTTGTAAGGAATCCATAGACTGTATAAAGGAGTGGACTAAGCGAATGTGACGTCAATTTGGAGCCAGATCCGTTTTAGGAATAGGATAGAATAGGATTTTTTCATGACAAAATAGCACAATAAAAACCCCAGGATCATGTAGAGCAGGGGTGTCCAAACTTTTTTCATCAAGGGCTACATATCTAAACACAGACAAAGCAGAGGGCCGATCGAGAGCCGTAGACTGGTGCTCAATACAGCTAATAATTGAAATATGTGCATGTTTAACACGTTAGAATGAGCCATCAGTCTTTATTCATGCTAAGATCCTTAAAACCATACATAAATATTCAACACTGGCTTTATCAAGGTAGATTTTCAAAAAAAATTTAATTGATGCAAGGTAATTTGGGCCAAATCACCTGGAAGTCTGAGGGCCAAGAAAAATGTGTCTGAGGGCCGCATTTGGCCCCCGGGCCATAGTTTGGACATGCCTGATGTAGAGGGTTAGCTATGTCCATTTATATATACAGTCTATGGTCCAATCCAATTCAGAGCTTGCTGTGGTTATGAAAGTAAATTGTGCATTCATTTTCTCCCTAAAAAATGTTGACGAAATGTTACAATTCATAAAGTTTCAGAGACAGATTTTAAATACATTTATAGGTCTTTCTTCAGTTTCAACATATCTAATAATCCCCAAGTAATCATTCAAACATTTATTTATGTATTGTTTTAGAAAGTTACCTGGAAAAATGAATAAAATTTACTTCCTAAACCGAGCGGTGCCCAGTTTGTGGAGCTCACAGCAGCCTCTGGTGGCCATCAGTGGAATTACATGTATGATACTGTTAGTTTGTTGATATTGTGATAACTGTAGCTTGACTTAATAAAGGTGCATTGTGAAACTTTTCTGGTGGGGGGTCTGTCATCTGCTTGTTTCTATGGATATATTATTGCTCTGCCTGGAATGTTCCACAGTATGGCATTAAACAGCTCTACGTTACATTTATTACATTATTTATTCAATTACAGGTGGTTTTAGAGCTCAAAAACACAAAGAAAAAGAGACATTCTGACTATGAGTGACTTTCTGACCTGTCACTTCTGGTTTGGTTAATGCCATACTGTGAAACATTCCAGACAAAGCAATAACATCGCCATGAGAAAAGCATTTAATGGACCCTCTAGCAAAAAAGTGCACCTTTAAAACATCTATACTGGTAAAAGTCCATTGTAAAAGAGTGTAACCTCAAAGATCTTCCTCCATGCTGAAGCTGCTTCTTCTACTGCTGCACTTGGAGGCCCCACAGGAAAGAAGAGGATCAGCCCCGCATTCCTCCATCAACACGTCCACCCCCAGACCCAGGTCCAGCCCATCGCCAAGCCCAGAGAGAGCCTCCAAACCCGGGGAGAAGACGCTGCTCCTGACCCCCCGAGCCTCGTCGTCCAGGGGGTCTTCTAGAGAGGTATCGGTGAAGCTGAGAGAGTCTAGCCCCAGAGGAGAGACCAAGGCTGGGGACATGGACGGGTTCAGGGCCGGGGAAGGGGGGGGCAGAAGACGCTGTGTCATGGGGGGGTCCAGTGAGGAGGTGGTGGAGGTGGAGGAGGAGATGCCATGAAGACGAGCTTGAACTTCCAACTCCTGAAGAAGATGAAGGCAAGTTATCAGCTAGAGGTTGGTAAAATTTTTGTAGGGCTACAATGATTCAGATCTCCACAGATCTGAATTGTAACCTGGTCTGGTTTGGTCTTCATGAGGATAGAAAAGTTTAATACTGTGAAAACATTCCAGATAAAACAATAATATCTCCATGGAGAAAGATATTTGACGGACCCTCCACCAGAAAAGTTACACAATGCACCACAATGACCCTCTGTACTTAAGTCTGTTCCCTGTAGTATCACAGTAACTGTAGTTGTAGTAATAGCAGCAGTAGTAGTATAGTAGTAACATTAGTCGTAGTACATACTTGTATTCTCAGTAGTAATGATCTGTTGGTACTTTCCAGCCTCCTCTGTCTGTCCTCCAGCTCTCTCGCTCGCTGCTGTTCTTTCTGTAGTTTTCTGATGTAGTCCACAGAGGCCTTCAGGATGGTCCCTTTGTTCCAGCGCATCTCTCTGAAACAACAAATCAAAACCATTTTGGTATTCTGCAATTAATCTTATTCTTCCAGGGGTGTACAAAGGTTTTGATTTAAGATAAATTGATATAAAACCTTTTCTATGGTGGTGCATTAAAGTTATATATGGGGCGTTTACTTACGGGTCACTAGACTTGGGAATCAGGACTCCCAGTTCTTTGATTCTGTCATTTATGTTGAACCGTCTCCTTCTCTCAACTGTAACAGAACAAGCCAATATATATATATATATATATATATATATATATATATATATATATATATATATATATATATATATATATATATATATATATATATATATATATATATATATATATATATAAAATGATACAATAAACATAAACAAATAAGATATGACCAAAACCCCTGTTACAATAGTTTTTATTAATCTTCTACTTACACAATTCCACTTGAAAACGGGGACTAAACTTTAACCCTGCACAGTAAAATGGATTTTCGTTTTATTTGTGAGTTCACAAACTCATGAGAATCCATCTTGGCGCCCGCTGTACGTTTAACTGGGTGGGCGACTAAACACAGAGCAGCATTGAGGTTTGTGCGGAAGCCAAAGTGCCCAAATGAACCAAAACAAACACAATGACGCCAACAAACGCACTTCAGCCTATTTTAGCATAAATACAGATTATTTTGTTTGTCAAACATGCAGAGAGCTTTGTGCATCTGTAGACAGGGAAAATGTTTCTCTTTTCTCTCAACTGGATTTAACAAAAGTTTGATTTTTCGATTTGTTCCGCTGTTGTGACATTTTGACCAAACAAGTTCAAACAGACGTCAAGACGCTTCGTGTTTTCCGATCATTTTCAGTGAGAACCATTCCAGATTGAGAATGTGTAGAACTCGATTCAGTGCGCTACACATATCAGTCCGGTGTAAGACAGGTTAACTAAACCCATAACTTAACTATTAGTATTATTATTAGTATTAGACCAGTACAAAACCAGGACTAGAAGAGGGCCAATCCAAATAAGCACTGGGATCCAATCCAGGACCAAAGCAGGACAAGTGTGAAAGCTTAAATTACTTTTTAACATATTTAACTCTTGGTAAAATGTACATTATGTCACACACGATGATGTCATGAGTTGTAGGTTACACATATACATGTGTACATATACTGTGTGTGAGTGTATATTTATATACACATGACTCACTGAGGTTGTGGTTGTCCTTCTTCTGTCTTTCTTTGATCAGGGCTTTGGTATCGACTTCTGAAAAACAAAATGTCCATATAATATATAAACTACACATCATATGTTAGTGGAGCAGTTATTAAAAGTAGTAGTACTACACTTAAGTATTTTTTTAGGCCTCTGTACATGGTACTCCCCTACATTGAACTGGACTGAAAAGTAAAAAGTACTTCTCAAATGATTTATACCAGGTTTGTGATAAGATCCTGACTAAAGCTTTTGAATTCAAGCTTCAGCTTTCAGGAAACAAAATGTCAAACGCTTTCTCCATGGAGATGTTATTGCTTTGTCTGGAATGTTTCACAGTATGGTATTAAACCTTTCTATCTTCATGGAGACCAAACCAGACCAAGTTACAGGTCAGATCTGTGGAGAGGCGACCCCGCTCAGAGTCAGAATGCTTGTTTTTCTAGGTATTTTTGAGTGATAAAACCACCTGTAAATGAATAAATGTAAACTAGAGCTGTTTAATGTCATACTGTGGAAAGTTCCAGGCTGAGCAATGAGCTGAGCAATATTAAAAAATAAAACAGTAAAACAGTAGCACTATTCTTGATTTCTTGAGTGCATACAATTTGAAAACATTTCCATAGAAAAGCTGAAGTCTGTAGAGGAAGTGTGAACTGACAGCGACTGGGGAGGGCAGGAAGAGCTGATTCTGAATCAGCAACCACAGTAGTTTAGGCACAGATCATTACTGAAAACCAGGAACCAGCAACTTACGAAAAGCTCATAAAAGAACATGATTTTGTATTGATTCATGTATTGATAATTTTATGAATGAACAAAATGGTGCAGCAACATTTTTAATGTGAAGTTTACAGCAGCAGCAGCATTGGTTTATGTATTAATTCATTAAAAGGCCCATATTATGACATTTTCTGATCTATGTTATAATGTTGTTTCCTCATCACAAAACAAACCTGGAGTTGTGTTTTGTTTCATTCACACATGTTTAACACACAAATCCTGCATATTTAGGGTGAGTCCTTCTCTCAAATGGAAAACACTCTGTTCCACCTTGTGATGTCATGCGATAATACAGGAAGTGCTCCACTGTGTTAATAAACTCCATACACCTTCACTAGAATAATTTGGATAATGTCAGGCCTGGATTTGACAATGTCTACTGAGCAAAAGGTAAAATGTAGCTGTTAACATGAAGACTACCACTACATGACATCACAAAGTGGAACAAAGCATTCTGCGCTTTGGAGATGTAGACAGACTAATAATAAAGCGTTATTCAAATGAAATAAAACACAACTCTAGATTTGTTTTTGAGGAGGTAACAACATTGTAACATTGCTTAAAGTGGACAAGAGTTAATTTTATGTAATATAGGACCATTAATTTTCCACACAAAAATAAAGAACAAACCGAAAGTCTTACTGTTGATTTTTCTTGCTTTTTAATTTCTATCTCTGAGGACAGTGTTTTCGTTTTTTGCACAACCACAAATCCTAAGTTGCACAATGACTTCTTTTGTTATGCAATTTTCAACTCTTTAGCTTTACATCAATTCCAAAAGAGAAAAAAGTAAAAAGAGTAAATATCTTGAAGAATTCTGAGACCAGAAAGATAAACTAAAACTTCAATATTAATCAAACCTTATAGAAAAAAGATGCACTATGTAACTTTTTGGTTGGGGGTCCGTCACCTACTTATTTCTATAAATATGTCATTGCTCTGCCTGAAATGTTCCACAATATGACATTAAACTTTACATGTATTAAATTACAGGTGGTTTTATAGCTCAAAAACATCTAGAAAAACAGGCATTCTGACTGTGAGTGGGGACGCCTCTCCACAGATCATTTGAACTTGAAAAGCACACAGTTTTGACAGGTCCTCCACCAGAAAAGTTGCACACTGCACCTTTAAATATCTTTTCTTATGTCGCTATGTTTGATTTATATTTGGTTTGTTGTTGCTGCTGAACTCTGAATTTCCTTTGGGATCAATAAAGTATCTAAAGGCCAATCAGAACTCACCGTGGATCTCGTGTTTGATCGCGTGCAGCTCGGCGGGACAGCTGTTGCTCACAGTGACAGAGGGCGTGGCCAACCCTTTGCCGCTGTACATGTCCAGAGCCCCCACATCTGGCATCTGGGACAGACCAATCAGAGAAGAGGGTCACATACACAGACAACCACCTGGAGCTGATCGATCAGAGTCTACATCAAGAGAACAAAAATTAATTATAAGATACGGCATGGATTTTAAAAACTGGGAAGGCGCGACACACATGAAGAAAAAATAATGGTCCAAATCTGTACACATCTGCAGCAGTACTGATATCGGTAATAGTGCATGCAAGTATTAGCTGTAAAATGCAATGTTTTCTAATTCTGAAATTTAGTGAACAGGCCAGTTGAGTTTTTTAAGAGGAAGAGCAATGATTTGATGACGCCATTCTGACACCTTGTATGTCGCCAATCTGACAACCTACTCATAGTTTGGAGCGTCACCTTTTTTGCCTTGTATACGCTGCGTGGACCGCGCCTCCCCCCGTACACCACACGCACCGTGCCACCTATGCTGCCAGTCCGTGAAAATATTGTCCCGAAAAGAGAATGCCGCCGCAGTTTAATAATTACCTTGTGTGTCAGAATGGCAGAATGTTGGAAAAAAAAAGCTTAAGTGCTCGTATATCGGAATGGCAGCATGTAACCCCATAACATTGGAGAAACATTGCTACTCCCTCCTATTTTGTTCATGACCATGCGCTTAACATAAGGCCCAGACATGTGCTGATTTCAGCCATCAGGTTTTGGCACTGATTACAAATGTTAAGCATGTTCTGTTGATTTGGATAGGTCTACTGATGTTCAAAAAAAAGGAAAAAAAAAAAAAAGAAAATACAATACATTATCAGTTGGTATTGAAACTCATCACTGCCAGGAACACAAAAGATGCATTTACTTCAAAGTCCTGTGTGGGGTAGGGCAGGCGGATGGGATTTTGAGGAAGGGGGGGACTCGGCTGTCTTTACCTACTCTAAGGGGAGGCTCACATTCACCCAATTTGAAAACCCCTGCCCTAAAACATCTTAAAGGGCCCATGTTACGCTATTTTCTGATCTTTGTTCTAATGCTGTTTCCTCATCACAAACACCTGGAATTGTGTTTTGTTTCATTCACACATATTTAGGTTGAGTCCTTCTCTCAAACAGAAAACACTGTGTTCCACCTTGTGATGTCACGTGGTAATACAGGAAGTGCTCCACTGTTGTTTTTAAACTCCATACATCTTTACTAGAATCATTTGGATGATTTCAGACCTGGTATGGCCCATCTCTACTAAACTGGAGATGAAACTTGGAGATGTAGACAGACTAATAATAAAGTATTACTCAAACATGTGTGAATGAAACAAAAAACACACCTCCAGGTCTGTTTTTGGTGAGGTAACAACATTATAATGTTGCTTAAATCTTACAAGAGTCAATTTTGTGTAATATAGGACCTTAAATAATAAAGTCTATGATTAAAATACAACATTAAGTAAGCTAACAATGAAGAAATACTGTTATAACATGATTAATATATTTTCATATAATGTCCCTTTAAAGAATGAATCACTGTTTGCTTAGATCAACTATTTGAACTGAATTTCTGTGACAAATAGTTTTTTAAGACTTAAACTCAGGTCACAACATTTACAGAGTCTGTTTGCTTTGCCTAATCCTGGAATTCAAGGCCCTGCACTCTTTCAACTGAAATCTTTGTCTTGTATGTTTACAATTATTATCAGTGAACGCATAGTTTAAAGTTAGTCTTGGATTTCCTTGGGTTTTATGTTTAAAGCCATAGTGTGTAACTTTTTAGGCCCAAAAACGTACTAGAAAAAAGCATTTGTGTTGAAAAAGTGGCTTGCATCTCCACAAACCTGACTTATTTGGTCTAAATGATGATCTCCTCTTCCAAACCCTCTACTTTCTTGTTTCCATGGAAATGTTTTTTCTTTGGCTATAATTTTTCACAGTATATCATAAAACCTATCTATCTCCATGGAGAATATGAACTTTATATTTCCATGGAACACTGAAGTTGACTTTCCACCCCGAAAAAGTTACATACTGTCACTTTAAAGACAGCAACTAAGTTCAAAGCTTCACTAAACTAGAAGAGAACTTAAAGCTGCACTGTGGAACTTTCATTCAACATATCTAGCTCACATTCATTCAATTAAAGTTGTTTTTATTGCTCAAAAACACCTTGAAACTTGCATTCTTACTGTGAACATGATCAGATCTCCATAGATCTGACCTGTTACTTTTTACGGAAATGGCCAAGTCTGAAACCATATTGTGGCACATTCCAGGCCAAGCAGTAACATCCCCATGGAAACAAGCATTGAGCAGACCCTCAATCCTCCAAAAAAGTCACACAGTGCAGCTTTAAAATAAGGAAATCTCAATGAAAAACACACTATCTGATGCTTTTAAGGGAGTGCAAATAAAACACTTTCTTCGTAATGTTGTGGTTCACAGATAAAACCATTAAAAAGAAAAAATACAAAAACATGCATTAGCTGTTTACAAAGCTTTGGGCCATGTCTCTGTTTTCCCAATCTCTTCTCACACATGGGTTAAGCCAGCCCCTCCTCCCTGTGAGTAAACTCCCCTTTAATCCCGATCCTTTAATTGTTGCTGTGGTTACGATCTATTTATTTGACGTCTGTGAATAATCTCTAAAATGTGGGCTGTTTTGCGTCACAAATTAGGATATTTAGAAAAGCAAATTGAACTGCAAGGAGATAAAAAAATGTAACATGGCATCTAATCTTTGAAAATAATATGTGAAGCATTTTAACTGTTCCATTAAACATGACACAAATTTGATTTCCAAGGTGCATTGTGTAACTTTTCTAGTGGAGGGTCTGTCAAATGTTTCACAGTTTTGCCTTAAACCTTCTATCTTCATGGAGACCAAACCAAACCAAGCTACAGGTCAGATCTGTGAGGAGGTGACCCCACTCACAGTCAAAATGTCAGTTTTTCTAGGTATTTTTGAGCTATAAATCCATCTGTAAGTGAATAAATGAAAGGTAGAGCTGTTTAATGTCATGCTGTGGAACATTCCAGGCTCCATAGAAAAAAGCAGGTGATGGACCATCCACCAGAAAAGTTACGTAATGCTAAAAATGTGGTGTAGTTATTCTCAAAGGAATCTCCCTCTACAATATTTGGTCGGATCTCGGGATGCACTGATCTGATATTGGCATCAGATATCGGTGCTGATACTGAAAATTTAGCTGGATCCGCTTCCAAATTAGCCAGGCTGGTGCCACCTAGTGCCTCCGATCGATTTCATTTCACTCCAGCGACTAGATCAGGAATTGGAATTCACTAGACGGTTCGCAAAAACCCCGGAAGTGCGACCAGCCAATCAGCGAAGAGCCATATATTCTGTTTTGGCAACGATTCCAAGATCGAGGATTTAAAGCCGGAACAAAGAGAATGTTTGGTGAATTTTATCAAGGGGAAAGACGTTATTTTTTTCTACGGGATTTGAGAAAAGCTTAATATATCAGTTATCCCCGTTAGCGGTGCATTACATATGTCAAATAGCAGCGATTGGTTAAATTAAGAAAAAGTACCCGTCTGCTGTTGAGCAAACAAATCCTAATGCTGCGAGGTCAGACGGTTTCCATGGAGTGAAACCGGCTGATGAATCAGGCTACTTTCCAAATATCGCTTCAGTTGGTTGGACATACAAATTGATGTAATAAGATTATTTCTTGTCGTAGTCAAACTCAAACATTTGAACTTTTATTTGGAAAAAGTTGTTCTGTAGTTATAAAGAGATAAATAATAGAGCAGGTTAATACGAACATTTTAAAACCAAAATGATGAGCCTCACTGCAGCAGTTACAGAGAGAGGGGCATACATTTTTCAATGTAAAGTCAACTGGAGCCAGAGTCGATGGAGCCGGAAGTGCCCCCATGCTCACTTCCTAGCAGGTTAGCTATGTTCATTTATATATACAGTCTAAGGAAATTAAACTGGATATTTTCTCACTTTTAAGGTTATTTTTAATAGTTTTAACAATACGCCCAATAGTTTACGAAACAAAAACTGAAATATATTGACAATTCTTTAACATTTCTCCCATTTCTACTTGCTCTGCTTCAATAAAAGATGTAATCTATGTTTCAAACCATATTTCCTCTAAGCAAAACATGAAAAACATATTAACTTATAAAAGAGATTACATTGCAGAAAAAAATTTGTGCTTAAACATCATATCCACACAAAACTGTCTCTTGTGAGCTTTAAGTTACAATGTTGAATTGTGTTTTGTTTCATTCACACATGTTTGAGTAACACTTTATTTTTAGTCTGTCTACATTTTCAAAGCTCAAAATGCTCTGTTCCACCTTGTAATATCATGAAGCAGTAGTTTTAAAGTAAACAGCTTCCTTTTACCTTTTGTTTAGTCAAGATTGGAAATTCCAGTAGTGAAGTCATCCAAATGATTCTAGTGAAGGTGTAAACATGCAGGGTTTGTGCGTTAAAAATGTGAACGAAACAAAACACAACTCCAGGTATGTTTGTAATGAGGAAACAACATTATAACACAGATCAGAAAATAATACTCTACAAATGTGAATGAGTTTAAATTATTAAAATAAAACCAGACCTATGGGAAACACTGCAAACTGAGTCGTATTTGTGTAAGAGTAAGTATCTACTGGGTGTATGTCAGTTGTTTTTTTGTGTTTTGTGTGAAGAGTCAAAGATTATCAGACTTTAGGGACGCTCTTATCCCTGGGTCCAGGCCTGAGTCTGTAACAGATTCCTCCAAAACTGATAAAAAACACAACTGATTTCCAGTGGTGGAAGGTGACAAAGTACAAAAGTAAAAGAACGATACAAAGTTGACATATCTGTACTTTTCTTGAGTGGATACTTTTAACTTGTGAGAGCAGGTATCTGTACTTTCTACTCCACTAAATTTTAGATCTGGACTGAAAAGTAAAATGTACTTTTCTTTAAGGTTTAAGACCTGCAGAAATGGCTGAAACTGTATTTTTTAGCACATTTCATTTGAGTTAACTTCCCAAATTTGAGCAAACCAAATACACAAAAGTGTGTAGAAAA